CCCCCCCATTGCCAAAGCTCTGCTGCCCAAGCTCTGCTGCTGAAGCTCCTGCAGCGCGCAGGCCAGATGCCGCTGCCGTCTGCTGGCGGTGACTGCGTTTAGCTGGTACCACAGTTTGCATGGGACCTCGTCGTCCCAACTCCAGGCAATAAGCTCTGGACTCTGGACTTTGGAGGCCTGCCGCAGGCCAACCCTTCCATGCTCCGCCGGATTGCTTCTCGTATCGACGCAGGCTGGCGGTGCATGTCGGCTCTCTGGTCTGTGCACAATGCAGAGACAAAACATAAATCTCTTGCCGTGCTCGCTTCATCTGGGACTGGCGGCCTCTTGTTAAAGCTCTGTTTCCCACTCTTTGTCGCTCAGAGCAGAGGAGCAAGGTGCCTCGGGTCGGTACCTTGCTGGCCTGCAGCGCCAGCCCCAACCCAGCCCCGGCAACCAGAGACAAGCCCCGAAGCCTCCACCGCAATGCGTCTGCTCCCCCCTCTGGGAGAGCATCGACAGGATAAGAATATACCAACATGCGCACAACGCCGGCTTCCCACGCGCAAGGCCCCTCACTTCCCCGCTTCAGTCCAAGTACGGGTACTCGGTGCGCAAATTGACTTGTTGGGAGCATTTCAGGCCAAGAGACTGCGCAGCCTGCGCGGACTGGCGAGGACTCGACCCAGCCCAAAATACTAATCACCCTCGCGTAGACCACGTCGGTGTCCCTAACTTCTGGCGTAGGCTCCGCAACTACCTTGGAGTAATCAGCAAGCACGGACCTGCCCCAGCCTCGGGTTCTAGAAAATGGGAGGCCCCCGACGGGCCCGACATTTTTGCCCGCTGACACCGGGCTGGCAGCCGAATTTACTTTGCACGAGCTTGCATATGCCGTCGAACGGCCTCATTTCCTCGGACATTCCCGCTGCGGCGGAGGGGCAAAGCAGGTCGACATGCGACGTATTCGTACCTACAAAGCGTCGCTGCACGCCGGCAGGTGTCGCGCGAGGCAGGCGGATCGCCCATGTCTCGTGTGCCTCTCGGCAGATCCACCGAATAGACTGAGTCCGCCAAGTGCGAAGACGAGAGGATAGCGATGAGAAACCCAGAATGCGCGTCCGCCGTGGACATGCTACCCCGCCGGGCAGCGCTGGGCGCCAGGGCTTGCGCTGCTGGCGGCTGTGGGGAGAACGGTGAGGGCCGAGGACCAGCGGGCTAGCTGGGGATCGAGCAACATGATGGAGGATCTGGCAACAGAGGCCGACGCCCCGATCCTGCGGCGACGCGGCGTCTTGTCCGGCTCAGGGCAACGGTTGAGCAGCCAGACGGCTCGAGGGCAACACCTCAAGGGCAGTCACCAGAAACAAAGGGACCGGACGCGTAGCAACAGCCTGGTGCTCGCTGATTGAAACACGTCAACAAGAGCTCAAGCAAGCAAGACGACAGTCGGTCAGAGTCGTTCCGCTGGAGACGTTCCGACTGGCCATCACGCTCGTGGCGGAGGAGAGGCTCCGGCCCACCGTGGATGCAAGACACTGAGAGCCCTGCCGCCCGCACCGCAGGGCACCACAGGCACCAAGGGCAGCGGTACATGGTCGCGACAAGGGCGACCTAACAGATGCCAACAGCGTTTGCACGCAGGCTAGCGGCCTGCAAGCCATGCTCGAGACTTTGGCCAATATCAGCGACCGCAGCGCTGGTACAGTTGGCGCTAGCCTCATCTGACGGCCGCCATCCCGCCCGCAGTGCCTTTGCAAGCGGGCTGGGCTTGGCTCTGGCTGCGAAGCCTCCCCTCCCAGGCGCCGCCCCCGACATTTGGCGTGGCGGAAATCCCATGGCCCCGGCCAAGAATCGCATCCTCTGGGTGCCGCCTCGCCTCTCGCTCGGGCACGGGCAGACCATGCCTCCACGATGCCCCTGGCTCGTGGCGCCCGACATGCATCGGGCCAGCAGCCACACAGAGTTTGGCCCGCCTCTGGGAGTTTCCAAATACCCGGAGCCCACCAGGAGGTCACGCTCCGCCCGGCCTGGTGGCGAATGGCCGCGACGACGGCTCAGTTTCCCATGCTCTCGCTGTCCCTCGATGCTCACTGCGAGGGTTGTATGGTAGCAGACCCGGCGCCCTTGAGGCCAGGATCGCCAGTTATCTTTTGGCCAGTGCTATTCCTGTCCCCTTGGCCGACGCGGGCGATGTGTCTGTGTCAAGAACGTCAAAGCTGCCATGCTCTTCGCGGCCGTCGTCTTTACACATTGGGAGCTGCGTAGCGATGCTTTATGGGGGAAATGGCATGCTCTGCGCATGAGGTGGTAACTTGCCCAGCTCACTGAGGCCCGACTCCCCGCTCGCCGCCATCAAGACATACTCTGTCCTGCCTACCAAGCCGTGTGCCAGCGCCGCCGCCAATGTGCCCAGCGGCGGTCGGGACGGCGCAATAGCTGGGCATTGTTCCCGTTGCCTGCCGTGAATGCACAACCCGCTCTCCTCGCTTCAGCCATGACATCACGGCCTGGTCCAGAAGTGAGTGAAGATGGCCGGGAGTTGCGCGAATCGCGGCCCTCAAGCTGGAACTGCCGCCCCGGTGGCGCTGGGGCTGATGAACGCCCACCGAGGCCGTCCGGGCCAGTGAGTGCTGGGCCTCACCGAGCTGGCTTCCCAACTTGGCAACGGGGCGATGAGACGGCGGACAGTTGTCCAGGTGGGATCGGGACCCTGTCCTGTGCGGCGTAGCATCGACGCAATCAATTGGCATCCCCGCGGCGCTTTCGCATGGATTTGGAAGCCCATCTAGGGTTCTAGACGTAGGACATCATGACGTTCTTGTGTCGCATCTGGCGACGCAGATCGGACATGAGATTTGATGACCAAACTGCCGGGTCGATGGACGAGCACAACGGTCTCCTCCACGGCATCGCCGCACCGCGACGCTCTCACTGATTCACTGGAGCCGGCAGCGCAACTCCAGCGGCGCTCAGAAGAGGTCATATACTGCCAAGCGTAATCGTCTCTACTTATGCGTTTCCGTTTCTGCGTCACTCGGCTTGTACCGGCCATCGGGAACGGTTCTTGTGTGGCCCGGGTCGCTGTCCTCGCAGGCTACCCTAAAGCTTGACCGAGATGCCGAGTATTGTCCACGCCCAAGGCCTGCGTGCTACTGTACCCAACAGTCGTTCTTCAACGTAGTAGTCGATCCTTCGGTTGGTTGGTCTTGTTGGAATTTCTGCTTGCTGCAGGTACGCCGGCTGCGACGTTGATGCGTTGCATGTTGTGCCGGGGATGGGCTGCCCTGCCAGACTTCGTACAATCAAGGGGCGGCTCATTTCGAGGGCCTTGGACGACGGCATGCTTCCAGACGTGCGCGTCAAGGGCAATCTATTCTAGCAAGGGGGCCTTATCTCGCGAACCGGCATCTGTGGGCCGCACCCTGAATTGCCTCCATGGGCGGTCACGACTCAAGTCACCCGGACATGGGCAGATGGCGTCGCGCTCGAATGCGCCACGCTCGAGACAATGTGCACCGTACCGTTACTGTACAGGACACGCATGCAAAGCTGGACGAGACAGAGACCAGATCGCGTACCGCGTGAGCCCAAAGGTCGGGACACGACGCCGAGGAGGAGATGCACGGCATGCGGCGAGGGCCAAGACCTGGGCCATGTGGGAGGATGATTGGCCCGTCCGAGCCTCGAGGTCGGCGGCGATACTTTGCTCTGGCACGCTCGACCTGCCCGAGGGGCCGTGGCCAAGAAAGCCATTTCAGTTGATAAAGAGGGGAGGAAGACGGAGGCGGCATGTGCCCTTGGAACCGTTCCTGTCTTCGCCTCTGTCTGCGCGTTGTTTCTTCCAAAGTTTTCATCCTGTCTTGACGCCGAGTCGTGTCCGCTGCCGCCGCGCAGCATCTTGGCATCTGGCGCTGGTGACGACAGTGCCAACTGGCTGCCCAGACATCCCCTCAAGTACTGCTACTTGGCTGGCACAGCGTGGTCCCGCCCCAGGCCGAAGCCGGTCGCTGCCCCGCCCACTCATTTGACACGTCGGAACCCCAACCTGGCACAGCCTGCGGCGCTGCGGCAACCCCACCCTCAACCATCTCCAGGTATCGGTACCCGGACGGGCCCTGGCACACCGCAGACGTCACACAATCCCGCCGCCGAACCCGCACCTTTTGTCGAGGCGAGGCGAGGCGAGGCGAGTTCCAACAGCGAGCAGGGCGGTCCAACCTTGCACTGCTTCGCTTCTTCCCTCCCGCGTCCGCAGCATCGCACCCCCTTTGCCTTGCCCTCGTCGGCCCCATCGTCCAGCAAGCCTACCTCGGCGAGCCTACACAGCTGCACTGCACTGCACTGCACTGCGCTGCACTTCGTTCTGTGCATCCGCGACGGACGAGTTCCCTCAAGTACAGTGCTGGTTGCTGGACGACGCCACCAACCGCGCAGCAGGCGAGAGATACCGTGCCTGCGGAAGAGGCGAGCGTCGACGACAGTCTTGCCCCTGTCTGCCACCCGTCTCCTCTTCCTGCTGCCCGCCGCTGCCCGGCTCACCTGTGCATCGCATACTCGCATCGCATACAGGTATCGACTACACGCACCGCGTCGCATCGCATTCGCCATGGCGACGTCAACCACGCCCCCGACCGTCGATGCGCCGGACGAACCGCAGAGCGAGGGCTCCAAGCTGCGGACGTTTCTGGGCATCCTGAAAAAGTACGTGGACCCCCGTGTCGCGGCACCTTCCGTCTGAGACAGCGGGCGTCGTCGCGGGCACAAGGCGCCTTCGCCGCGACAGCGTCGAAAAAAAGAGACATTGCTGACGACTGGCCCTCGCCGGGCTTCTTCTCAGGTTCATCGGCGTCACCGACCTCGCCGCCGTGCGCTTTTCGCTCCCCTCGCAGCTGCTGGAGCCGACCCCCAACCTCGAGTACTGGACCTACCTCGACGCCCCCAACGCCTTTGTCGCCATCGGCACCTCGGACGAGCCGCTAGACCGCATGCTCGAGGTGGTGCGCTTCTGGCTCACAAAGGACCTCAAGTACGCCAAGGGCAAGCCGTGCAAGCCCTACAACTCGTGCCTGGGCGAGTTTTTCAGGGTGCGTCGAACCCCCTTGTTCCTCCCGCGAGGGGCGGTGTGCCGGCATGTGGGGGGGAACGATGCCGCCGCGGGGAAAACAAAAGTGCTGCATCCCTCGGGGCCTTTGGCTGACTTTGCGCGCAGTGTAACTGGGAGACCGAGGACAATGCGCCGAGGATCGATACCAAGGAGCTGAAGAGCGACAAGACCAACGGCAATGCCAGTGCCTCGTCCAGTTTGAAGAGCGGCGTGTCCGGCCTCAAGGCCGCCGTCAAGGATGACAAGAATGCGTCGTCCGTCTCGCTGTCGGTTCCTCAACACGGCAAGCCCGCCGACGCCCACCTCGTCCGCGTCTCGTACCTCACCGAGCAGACGTCGCATCACCCTCCCGTCAGCGCCTTCCACGTCACGTGTCCGGAAAAGGGCATCACGGCGCGCGGCTTCGACCAGATCACGGCAAAGTTCACCGGCACGTCGGTCAAGGTGCTGCCGGGCGAGCACAACATGGGCATCTTCATCACGCTCGACAAGCGCGACGGCGAGACGTACCAGCTGACGCACCCGGCGGCGCACCTGGGCGGGCTCCTGAGGGGCAGCCTCAGCGTGTCGGTCAGCGAGATGGCCTACTTTACGTGCCCCCAGACCAAGATCAAGGCCATCCTGCACTACGTCGAGGAGGGCTGGCTCGGCCGCACCACGAACAAGATTGACGGCGTCATCTTCCGCTACGACCCGGAGAACGACAACAAGTCGAGGGTCCAGGACGTGCCCGAAGAGGACGTCTTGGCTCGTCTGAGCGGCCCCTGGAGGGAGAGGGTGGTCTTTACCCTCGGCCCGCGGCCTGTGGTACGTCTGCTCGGCATTCCCTCCCTCTTGTCCCGGCCCCCATACTAACCCGTTGTGCCAGAAAACTGTCCCTGCCGAAGAGCAGTACACCATCATCGACATTGGGCCGCTCAGCGTCGCGCCCAAGATTGTGCCGCCCGAGGACCAGCAGCGGCCCAACGAGTCGCTCACGCTCTGGGGCGGCGTCACGCGGGCCATCCACGCCAAGCAGTTCTCCAAGGCGACGGAGCTCAAGGTCGAGCTCGAGGAGAAGCAGCGCGAAAAGGCCCGCCAGCGCGAGAAGTCGGGCGAGGAGTGGAAGCCCGTCTTCTTCGAGCACGTCGTCGGCAACGGCGGCAAGCCCGGCCTCACGGAGGAGGGCCGGCGGGTCCTCGAGCTCGCGCAAAAGGGCGAGTGGGCCATGGACGGCGTCGTGCAGAACGGCACCACCGCGGAATGATGCGCCAGACGACGGCGACCCAACGCTAGACGATATCCTGCTATAGACGGTGACGCGAGGAGGGGAACGAGAGAGCGCAGATGGAGACATCCGACGTTGTTGGCGCCATGTCTAGCTGCTTAGTGCCGCCGACATAAGCTCGACATGTACATATAGACAATGTAGCGCTGCGTCGGACGAGGGAGGATGGAAGGCTGTGCGGACGAAGAGGGGGGAAACAAAGGGCCATCATCATCAATGTGCGTGCGTGCATCCAACTTCTCGGGCAGTGTCCGGCTGTTGAGAGGGCGGCGTTTGTAGGCGTTTTCTGCGCGGGCACACGGCTGGGTCGCCCGAGACTCGGCGTGCCGAGCCAGTCTAGTCATTTTGCTGCTTGCTACAGGTAGCAGCGTACGTTCAAGTATACATGCGGGCATACAATACAATGAGCAGTCTTGCGTTTTAGATTGGATTGGAATTGGCTGTTGATACAATGTACGTTACTGAAGACGTCTTCCCGTTACAAAAACTCCCGTGGTCCCTCGTACAGCGCAGGCGGAGCCGCATATGATGTTACAACATGAGTGAGATTCGCATTCGCCCGCTGGAAAAAGGGGCGCGACTCGAAACGAGTCTCTCCTTGCTAGCGTAGCCAGCAATTTTCCTGTGAGTGGTGGTGGAGGTGGCGGCGGTGGTGGACAAAGAGCTTAGGCATCGACAAAGCCCTTGACGTTGCTCAGCCACCGGAGGTACTCGCGCTGCTCCTTGACGTCGACGTAGTCGGGCACAAAGACGGCCATGGCCTGGGTGATGCCGCGCTCCTCGAGGAAGCGCTCCATGAGCACCTGCAGGTCCTCATCGAGGGAGCCGAACGGCGGGCCGGGGTAGACGTCGGCGCGGCGCTGGGCGGCCTCGGGGGACTCGACCTTGGCGACCTTGGCGTCCTCGTAGAAGAACATGTTCTCGACGACAATGTTGCCGTCCTGCGCGGTGGCGTCGATGTTGAGCGCGCCGGCCGTCTTGCCGGGCTTCTCGATGACGATGGACAGGTTGATGGGCGCGGCCGTCTCCTCGTCGAGGTCCTCGTCGAGGTCCTCCTCGAGCTGCTCCTCGGGGCGCGCCGACGCGCTGTTGCCCTGCTTGCCGGAGCCCTGCAGCGCGGCGTCGTCGCCGGCGAGATCCTCGTCCTCGAGGGCGGGGTCCTCCGAGTAGGGGTCGTAGTTGGTGATGTCGGCGATGGAGAAGCTCACGGTGATCCTGGCGGCACGTCAGTCTCGATGCTCCAATCGGCAGCGGCGCATGCTGCGCAAAGGTCCAGGGCGCTTACTTCTCGTCGCCAAAGGAGCGGGTCAGCTTGACGACCTCCTGGCCGGCCGTGTCGATGAGCTCAAAGGGGCTGTTGTCCAGGAAGTCCTTGACGCTCGCGGGCTGCTGCTCGTTGGCCTTCATGTCCTCCTCGATCTGGATCTCGCTCTCGAGCTTCGCCGACAGCTCATCGTCGGTCTCGCCGTCGGCGGCCCTCCGGCCGGCGGTCGAGGAGAAGGCCGCGCGCGACGGTCGCAGGGCGCCGACGAAAGCGGGCGAGGCTCTGGAGAGGGCGACGGGGCGGGCGGCCGAGGCGCGCAGCGTAGAGGCGGTCATGCGGCTGATGGCCCGCGGGGCCGACCGCGCGAATGTTCTGACGGAGAGCATCTTGGCTGTGTGGAATGAGGATGGCTGAGAATTGGAAGGAGGAAGATGGACGGCGGACGAGGGAATGATGTCTGCGTGAGGGAGCAGAGCTCTGGAAATTTTTGGGAGCCGGCGCTAAAGCGGGAGCTTCGCCCAGGGTCCACAGCATTCACGTGACAGCTGGCCTCAGTGAAGAGCCAGTCTACATGCCGCTCGAGAAAGCATTGAACCGCACGTCAATATTTCGCATTAGACAGTGATATATTCGTTAGATTCGTCATGATGCGCCCGGGCCCTAAAGCCACCCTAGCTATCTGGGGCGCTTGGCTCTGTCGTTCATCCCTCCTCAGCCTCGAGCCCGGCGTTTGACCCGCTCATCGTCATCTCATGTAGAGGCATGAGTGAGGCCAATATGTACGGCCTGAGGAAGACATGGCTTCGTTCTGGCTTGGACCGGCGCGTGTGGTCTCGGCGAGTCTCTGCATCAAGGTGTATGCTGCGGCGGCCTAGTCGGCTGGGCGAAATGAGAGACCGCCTGTGCCGTGATGGCTCTGTCGTGTCGTTCGAATGAGCCGCTCAATCGACGGAAGTGTTTAGCCGCCATGCTAGTCATTCGCCATATCCCCTCTAGTTGATGCCCTTGTTTGGAAAGTCGGCTTGGCGCACGTTGCCCTCGCTGGAGACCTTGATCCAAGGCAGTGTCGTCAGTCTCGCCCAGGAGCCCTCCCACTCCGCCAACAGCTTGACGTTCTCTTCTTTGATGATATCAGGGATCACTTGGACTGTCAGCACCGGCTCGTTGTCAAAAGAACGCGAAGGTGTCATACCGAATCCGTTCTTGAACTCTGTTCTCAAGGCCGCAATCTTCATCTTGAGCAGATCTTCTCTCGCGCTGCCTGGCCGGCCCGGCCTCCGCGCCTTTTTCAAGGAGTCGTACTCTTCATCGTACTGGCCGATGAATCTGACCAGCATTAGCTGAGTCTGGAAATGGTCGACGACAAAGACACACTCACTCTTCCACAAACTCCTGTGCGGTGGCGACATCGACGACCTTGTCGTCCTTTTCCTTGAGCTTCTCCTGAAAGAATGCCACGCGGTCGACTACCAAGTGTGAGTGCCAGGGTCTGCCTTCGAGACGGCTGATACATACCAATGGGCTGTTCCCTTTTGCCCCTCGCCTCGGCCAGCTTCTGCAGCCTCAAGTCTCTCACGCCGGCCTTGTGCAGGCGCTGGGAGTCTCGCGACTTTTGATGGAGCGCATTGACCTCGCCGTTGCGCTTCTTGGCAATCTGCTTCCGGGTTTTTGAGAGTGACGAAGGCATGGCGACGGTTGATGCGATGCGACGATGAGATTCGGAGATTGATTTTCTTCAAACGTCGACGCAGTGGATCTTTTCGGCGAGCGGCAGTCAACTTTTTTGGTTTCGGGGCTCCACCAGCACTCGGACCCTGACACGCCCAGCTGCCTGGGCGGATCTGGCAGCGGTTGAAAGTCGGCCCAACCCGCCCCGCACCGTCGGCTGGGCTGGCTCCGTCTCGTCGCTGAAGAGCGGCCGTTGATCTCCACCTCAGGGCTCTAGCGCCGCAGTAGGCTCCCGACGACACCCCGTAAAGTAAACAAGGAAATTTCCAGGCTTCCAGGTCGTAAGCACCCCCGACAAGTGCACGGAGAAAAGGCAGCGCCGCCATGCGCGCGTTATGGAGGCTGGAAATGCCTGCAGTTGCGGCGGCATCATCTCAGACAAACTGATTCACCTCGAAAGCGAGATTTCGACATTTCGCAGCCCGATGCGGGATGGCGGTTGCTGGGGGAATGCAGCGGCCGCGGCCTAGCCCGCTTTAGGCCCCAGAGCGCTGGACAGACGCGACAGGCTCCACCTCGACTCGCCCATCAACGCGCCCTGGGCCGCACTCCTCAGTGACGCACCCCGGCACGCGTCTGGTGGTGCTCTTTGCCGCCAGGTCCCCGCGCACTTACCGCCTGCACAGTCATTTATGAGTGCTGCTGCTCTCTGGCGTGTCTGCCGCTCTGACTTTGTTCATCTACTAACCTTGGCGGCTGCCTCTTCCCTCTCCAGCTTCAACGCCGTTCACCCTTTGCTCGCATCAATCGTCTCACCGCCAGTCCGACGTGCATCGCCATCCCGTTCTCCTCCGGCCGTCCCGTCGTGACCTGTCTGCTCGCGGCTCTGTGCACCCCTTCGACCGATGCTGCTTCGCGTTCCGTCGCGTGCTTCGACCTCCGACCGCCTCTTGTGATCGCTGACACGCTTACGGACGACACGGCGCCGACAGACTCGCTGAGGATCCCTCAACTGCCCATCGGAGGGCCGCGTCTCTTGATTGCTGGGCTTGCCGCAGCCTGAGCGAGGAGGAACCACGACATCTGGCACGGGGCTCGGGCGAGGCGTGAGCCATTGGCCCAAACGCACGCTCAGTCTGGCAAGTGCCAGCCTCCGGCCTGAACGATGGGTGTCTCTGGTGCGTTGTGTATGACCCGCCGCGCGGCGTCACGTTGCTGACACGGCCAAGGACTGCTGCCGCTCCTCAAGTCCATACAGCACCCCTTGGAGCTGAAGAAATGCAAGGGTGAAACGCTCGGCGTGGATGCGTACGGCTGGCTGCACCGTGCCGCGTACTGCTGTGCCGTCGAGCTGGGCCAGGGCAAACCCACCAAGAAGTGAGCGTGACCGCGCCGGTCCGAGCCCCTAGCCCCGTGCTGATCGTGGTCCCGTAGGTACATCAACGCGGCGATGCACCGCGTCCGCATGCTTCGTCACTTTGGCATCACCCCCTACATGGTCTTCGACGGCGACTATCTCCCCAGCAAGGCGGCCACTGAGGAATCCCGAGCACAAAAACGAGACGAAAGAAAGAAGCTGGCCCATGAGCTTCTCAAGGCGGGAAAGCCCACCCAGGCAACCCAGGAGTTCCAGAAATGCATCGACATCACGCCCGAGATGGCGTCGGCCGTGATTCAGCAGCTCAAGGAGATGGGCGTCCCGTACGTCGTGGCCCCGTACGAGGCGGACGCGCAGCTGGTCTACCTCGAACGCCAGGGCCTCATCAGCGGCATCATCTCGGACGACTCCGATCTCCTCGTCTTCGGAGCCAAGAGGCTGCTCACGAAGCTCGACCAGTACGGCAACTGCACGGAAATCAAGCGGCGCGACTTTTGCGCGTGCCGCGAGGTCTCGCTGACGGGCTGGACGGATGCCGACTTTCGACGCATGGCCATCATGAGCGGCTGCGACTATCTCAGCGGGCTCCCGAGCGTCGGCCTCAAGACGGCGTACCGCATGCTGCGAAAGTGCAAGACGCCCGAGCGTGTCGTTCGCATGCTTCAGTTTGAAGGGAAGCGCGTCTCGGAGAACTACATGACGCAGTTCTACCAGGCGGAGCTGACGTTTCTGCACCAATGGGTGTTTTGCCCGACGAAAAAGGAGCTCGTGCACCTGACGGAGCTGGGAGAGTCGAGGACGGCCGAGGAGATGCCATACATTGGCGCGTACGTTGAGCCGGCCCTCGCAAATGCCATTGCGGCTGGCGACGTCAATCCCATCACCAAGGAACCGATCCGGGCCCAGACGACCCCGTCCAAGCGGAGACACTCCCAGACCCTGGCAACGCTCCCCAGCAAGCCGCCTGCGAAGCCCATCGGCTCGTACTTCAAGGGGCACTCCCGGGTCCCAATGGGCGAGATGGACCCGAATTGCTTCTCTGTCGACCCTCAACGAGTCGCGCAGCTTACGGATGGTGGAATGGTGCCCCGTGTCTTTCCACTACCTCGGCCGTATCTGGACGAGACTGGCGCTCCTACAAACACCACCTCCGCGAGAGCGGCTACGGCCCCGCGAACCTCGCCTCGTCTTCAACGGTGGCGAACGGAGCCCATCACCAACATGCTTGCTTCGCTCTCGAGCAGCACCGCACCGGCGCGGTCGACTTCGAATGGCGTGAGCGCGTCCACCGGCCCCGTACAACAGGGAGAGGCTGCCAACAGGCCGAAGAAGAAGGCCCGGCTTTGTCAGGAGGTCGACGACGGCTCGCCCAAGAACAGCAAGTTCTTCTCTGTTCCGCAGCGCAAGAGCCCCAGACGAGCCAAGAGCGATGCGTACCTTTTGTCCGATGACTCCATCGAGGAGGCTCTCCGCGATCTTCCTGATATTGACGGATGGAAGCCGGCCACGAAACCCGTCAAGTCCATTGCCATATTCAACGACAACAGCCAGGACACGAGCCAGGACACGCAGACCACGACCACCGAATCGCAGCAGACGGATGCCCTGAGCAACGAGACACCCAGCTCGTCGATCGAGGTCACGATGCCGCCCCCACCTTTGACCAAGTCGCTCTCGCAGCAGTCTCAGACATCCCGAACGCCCGTCCGTCGCAGCCTGAGCCGCTTTTCCTTTTCCTCGCAATCCTCGAACACGCCCGCCTCTTCCATGTCTCAGCAGTCGTCCATTTTCAGTGCTGCATCCACCGCCTCCACGGCCCCCTCCACCGGCCGGTCGAGGCTCACTCCTCTTCAGCGCCTGGGCGCCAGAGCTGCAAACACCGCTGCGTCTCCGCACATGACAAGGTCGAAACCGACGGGACAGCTTCCCGGCAAAGGGCTGCCCGTCAACCCGTCGTTTGTTCCCCTGCCCAAGGTGGATCTCGACGAGGTGGAGGCGCTCAACAAGCCCTGCGGCAGCGAGGATCAGCTTGTGCCCGACAGCGACGGCGAGGCCGAGGACGAGGTGGAGCTGCCCCCCAAGAAGCTCAACCTTTCCCGCTTCGCGTTTGCTTAGCCGCGGCGTCTTGCCCGGGGACGTGGCCGCTACAACTACACGTGTCATGATGTTGCATTGCCGGCGTTGGTAGCCTGCTTTATTGTATACACTACGCTGCGAATGCAGTACATATCTTGTGCGCCTTGGCTGCCGCCAGTGTCTGAGTATGATGGGCTGGTGGCTGACAGCATACTTTTTTTCGATAATACAGGGGCCGCGGCGGATACGTGGGTCTTCTTTCTGGGGGAGGAGCACGGAACGGAGGCATGGGACGAGCATCCTATGTGGAACAGAACTTGTCAGCTAGGCGTTATGGAGAACCTCTTTGTGCAAATATACCAGTGTGGTCAGGCGTCGAGGGTCACTGGCGAGCGAGCGTGTCACTCGGGTGCGTGTCACTCAGGTACAATGCCTCACAGGCTGCGTCAAGTGTCTGTACGTGGAGTATATTCGCCCATGAGGTACAATATTTCTACTTGCTGTGTTGTGCTAGCCTGGCCGACCACGAGAGGCGACTCCAGTCGCCGCGCGGCGGCACAGACAAGCCACCGTCAAGCCGTACATGTAGTAGTATATCAACCACGAGGCCCCGCCTACGTGCCCGTCCCGCGCCATGTTGAGCGAGAGCCGACACGACGCCCGAGGGCGAGGCAGGCCCCCGCGTCCGTCTATATGCGGCGCAAAAGAACGCCTCCGCAATGCTGGGAGAGAGAGACCGGTCGTCCGCTATGCCCTTCTGCTGTCCGGCTCCGCCCGCAGTCTGTGTCTGTGCCCGCAGAGAAAGAAAACGGGAAAGCGACAAAAAGAAGCAGCCCCCGAGCGAAGCGACAAATTCCAAATAGTACCGCTAGACACCCCAAAGGAAAAATCGCGAGAAACAGTGACAGTGAAACCGGTTCCGTCCAACGCCAGGAAGGCAGCAGCCTTCAGATGGGCCCAGCCGCTTCGTGTGTGTGAGTGTGAGAGAGTCGTTGACAATTCGTTATGATAGAGGAAGAACAAGGCTTTCAATCTAATGGTAAGGGATGGCCGATGCAATGCCTCGAGGCGGGTGTCTCCGCCATGCTATGAGTGTGGGTTAGCGGCGAGCCGTGGGCGCCGGGGTCGGGTTCGTGAGGTCGGAATTGAATGTCCATTTCGCTGAGAGGGCAGGGTCAGTACAAGCGTGAGCCACTCGGGGTCTATGCGGGTGACGAGCATACATTTGGCGAGATTGTCCGCCGTGTCCTCAAGCAGAATCACGCGGCGCTTGTTGCAGTAGGACGTCTTGTCCATTATGTCCACCTTGAGCTTCGAGTCCGAGAGCTCCTGGATGGGCTTCTCGAACATCTCCGACAGGTTCTCCACCGCCATCTCCAGGTCCTTTTGGTTGTCCTCGAATATCTCGGTCAGGTTGTTCTTAGCAAGGTAGAAGGCGAAGGCATAGGTCCACTTGAGTGTCTGGCGGCAGGTCTGCAGCGCCTGGGAGGCCGAGTTGAGGTACTGCACCTCGATCCACGACATGCCCGAGGTGGTCTGCAGCTGCACCATCTTCTTCTCCGTCTTCTGCGCAATGTCCTTGTCGAGCTTGGCCGACTGCTCGTGGTTGGCGTATCGGTTGTAGTAGTGCAGGTACCGCTCCAGCGACGTGCGGCTCTTGGCCTGTGCATCGCGGGCCTCGGATCCGCTCTTCTCCTCGTAGCGGTTGCAGTTGTACCAGCTGGTGCCGTGCTCCGACCAGAGGCCCATGCACATCCAGCAGAACTCGTACTTACACTTTCGGCACGTCATGTGGTTGCAGCCGCCATTCTTCTCAATCGTCGAGCTGCACTTGGGGCATTCCTTGGTATTCGCCGAGATCCAGTTTGCCGTCTCGGAGTCGTCGGCACACTTCTTGAGCCACTTCTTCACCAGGCCGCAAGGAGCAGGCTGGTGGTCGGGATTGGGGCAGCCGAAGCAGAAGCGGTAGCCGCACTGGCACTCGACCGTCGGCACGATCCTGTCCAGGTCCTTTTTCTTGACGCCGCACTCGATGACGTTGGGGCAGTCCGGCGCCGGGCACCACTTGAACATGTCCTTGTCCTCGACGTATGTGCGGTTCAGCAGGTCATGGTACCTTTCCGTGAGGTCCTCTGTAACGAGCAGGTCCAGCGACCGAGAGTCGAGGATGCGGCCGCAGCCGTCGGCGGGGCACTGGATTCTGGCCGCTTCGCCCTCGCCCCGGATCTTCTGCGTCAGGTACTGCCGATAGCAGTCGACGCAGTAGCGGTGGCCGCACTTCATGCCAAACGACTGGAGTCCCTCCTCGTCCTCGCAGCAGATGTCGCAGACAAAGCCGGGGATCGTTTCGAGCTTCGGCAGCGCCGACGAGTTGTTGCTCAGGCCAGCCGCCTCGAGAACCTTGTCGGGACGATCCATGTAGTCCTCGAGCAAGCGCTCCTTGTTCCACCGAAAGTATCGCAACAATATGGCTGCATCCTCTTTGCGCATGTCGAGGATCATGTTTACTTCGTTGATCATGTCGTCCTGCTGACGCTGAATGTCGGTCGGCTCGAACACCTTGAAGGGGATCACGTGTGCCTGTCGCTTCGTCTTGTCGATGTCCTTGGCGGACAAGCCAAAGTCGGGATCGGGCTCGTCAAAGTCATCTTCGTCAAAGTCTGCAGCAGTCAGATAAGCTGTCCCTGCACCCTGGGGGGAGCGATGGGGGGGCGATGGGGGACAAGGGGAGCGGCTCTCGTACCTTCGCCTGCGGACACGTCCTCGTCGGCACTGTATTCCTGCATAATCTCGTCGTCGCTCGACATGTTGGACATGTACTCCTCTTCAGAATCCATGCCGGTGGTGACGGGCGTGGGTGGAGCGGCAGGCGCGGCAGGCGTGGTGGCAGCTGAGGCGACGAGACGTTTGGCTGGAGGGTTATCCCGCGGGTCGGGGCTGATCGTCGCCTCAGCAGCCTTTCGCTTCCTCGTTATGGGGGGAATGGTGCCGGCTCGGTGGTGCACGGGCGGGTGCGGGCTCGTCAAGGGTTGGGCGTCGACGAGCTGACAACGGGCAGACCGAGATTCAACGGCGGACGGGGAGGGGCACCAACGGCCTGCGGATGTATGACCGAGGGGACGTGGGACGGGGAGGGCAGGTTTCACGGGGAGGCGCGAAGAGGCGTGAAGGGGCCAAGCGAAAGTGCAAACCACGGGGCGTTGCAGCGGTGAGTCGGGGGAGCGCGGTGGAGGTTCGAAGGGTTGAGGTTTTCCGAGGCTGAGTTGGTCGCTGTTCCCGGCACGAGAGAGGATGGGATGCTGGGTCAGGCGCCTGGGGCAGAGGGACCATGACGAAGGCGGCCGTTGAACCGGCTGGCGGTACTTGAACATGCCAGCGGTCGGGAGATCCTCGGCGCCAGCTGACTCATGGGTCCGCAGGGGCATCAGTCAGGATTTTGGCGTGCAGTTGCCACCCAGGCCCCGCCCCAGCCGCTCACCTGCGGGCGGCCGACGCAGCCTGGCGCGCTCCAGCTGGTTCTAGCGGGGCTGGTCTCGCCTCGTCAGCGAGCGAGGCGGGTTGCCTGCCGAGAGAGTGGCGGGGCCCTGTCAGTCATCCTCCACAGTGGATGACTGCCGCCTGGACATGTGCTACGGGCTACCCTGGATGCGAGGCATGTTGATGCGATGATAGCTTAGGCGGCAGCCGTCCGGCTGAGCTTGGCGAAAGGGGGCAAGGACTGAATGCAGTAGGCTGCTCGCTGCCTAGACATACAGCTCATCTTGTCAACGTCACGAGGATGCACCACGATATGGATCGTGGTTGTGAGCCTGGCGTGAATCTACATCCGTCATCCAGCCGCCACGTCTCCTGCGGTGAGCGAGTGTCTGCAGATGCTCTTTGCAAATAAATGCCCGAGAGCCAATTGCTGTGACAGTATATTGCAAATGTTCTTTTCTCAAACCAGGCTCCAACACCACAGGCTTCATGCGTATACGCTCCGTCCCCGTCCACGCCCTCGCCCGCTGTCATCCTCACCCTCAGCCCAGGACCTTTTCGGCCATCGACACTACGCGGCAAGTCAGTAAATTCGTTCACATTAAACACAGTCCTTGGAGCAACGCACCATCGGCTCCAGTACCGTCGGGCTCAATGTGCGTCTCGGTAATCTTGCCGTCCTCGACCTTGAGCGCGTATCGCTGGCTGCGGACACCACCGAAGATGGCCGTCCCGTCAAAGCCCACGTCCAGGGCTTTGGTGAACTCGGCGGCCGGGTCAGCAATGAAGCGGATCTGTATGTACACCCGTCAGCACACAATGGCTTCATCCATCCCATGTCAGAAGGAACACGTACGCCCGTCTCGCCGGCCGGGTCGAGCTGCTCGCTCCAGGCCTTCATGCTGCAACACCGTCAGAGTGTGATCATTTGACAAGCTACACGATGCCGTCGCTTACACAAATGGGTCGTTGACCGAGACGACAAAGACCTGTCCCGCCTTCTTGAGGTTGGGGTGGTTGATGTACGACGGCACATGCTTGCTGGAGCACGTCCCCGTAAAGGCGCCCGGCACGCCGACAATGTACCCGTTGGCCGTCTTGAACTCGTCGGCCAGGTTGACCTTGTTGCCGGGCGAGTTCTCGAGGAGCTCGACGGCGGGGACCTCGTCGCCGACCTTGACCCAGGCGCGGGGCGTCGCGTGGAAGCTCCGGGCCACGCCGGCGGCGGGACGGGCGACGGCGACGCGTCGGAGGGATGCGCGGAAGGCCATTGCGTGTCTGTGGAGGGTCGGGGTCGGGCTCGTCGACGGCGATAGGGTCGTGTGCGGGAGGGAGAAAAAAAGACAGACGACGGGTGTTGGTCGTTGGGGATGAGGCAGGACGTGGCGCCGGGGGGTTGAGAGGATGCGCCACTGGATCTCCAGGTCTTTGAGCTCCCGTCCCGGTCTCGCCTCGCTGCTCAGCTCCCGCCTGTCGTCACTTCGCCTGGGGTCGGCTTAATGTCCCGGCGGACCCACTGCATCCCGACACCGCAGCACCGGCACTCGTCAGCAGCCCGCGCCGTTTCGCGGTCTGTGAGTGAAGGCGCCCGAAACTCTTCTTCACATCAGCGATGGAAATGAGAGAGAGGCGATGAAATCTCCTAATCGAGCTGGCTTTGCGAGATGCACTTCATCAAACCGGGCCATCTCCGTTGCGGCTCAACCAACTGGTCTGTGTCAGACATCACGACTCCCAACGACGCACATCGCGCTGTATCCCCCGGCGAGGCGCGGGCGAGGACCCGGGACCAGCTGAAAATACCCTCCAAGGTAGGCCGAGGTGTCTATCAAGATGAAGCACAATGGTGACTGCAAGTGGTCCGGCAGGGGCCCGATGTTGAAGGACAGGTCCATTTGGCCTCGATGGCTTACAGCTAGTGTCTCGTTTGAGGCGGGAGCCTGGCGTTCCCAGCTATGGTGAACGTGGAAGATGGTCCATCCTTGGATCATGGGAAGCCGCAGTACAGAAGGCACAAGTATATCGAAAGAACGAGTCGGCTGCGTGATACTCATTGATAAAGTCGAGCCCATCGTCATTAGATGCGCACCCAGTGACACCCCATCTCCGCCACTCAATGGGTCAAATCGATCACTGTCTAGCTGTCAGGCGCCGCTACCTCGCAACTATGGTTGTGCATTGCACTTGATCATGTGTGTCTCCTGGAAGAAGACATCATCCAGTGTTGCTCGTCTTGGCGGCGTCAGCCAACCCTCCGACAAAAACAGCCCCGGCAATACTGCTCTTTCCCCTGGGGAGCAGTGTACGTCGGCCCGTCGCATGTGCCCTGCTGGCACACAGTTGCGCGCTGCAACGTCCACATGACGTCTTCTTCGAATCTCGCGCTGTCGAACGGGCAACCAGGTCGGTACGTCGCGGGCGACATCGTAGCTGCAGTCGGAGCTTTAGTCGGAGTTGCAGGCGGGCCCGGCCAGAGGGGCAGCCCGCGAATGCGATTGCCAACGTCGCGAGGGAAACGCGGACTCTTCGGCGTAGCCATCGTGGTGGGATCGTAGGAAGTTTGGAGTTTGAGGCAGATTTGTGAACGTAGTGCCCTGTAGTGCCTACGTTGATACGATGCCGTGAGTGAGCTGGCTACATGTGAACGTCGATCACGCTCTGCTCTATACATAATATACCACGTCACATTTGCGACTGACGCCGGCAAAAGGCCGTCGCGGAGCCAGTGCCCACAGGTAGACGTAATGGAGTGACAGTTGGAATCACAGTTCATCTAGCGATAGACATGTCGAAACTGCATATGGCCTCGCACATTCGTCATCCGGTGGATGCTTGATAGACCTGGTCTTGAAAGGATCCAAGTATGCTCTCCCGATTGTACTTCAATCGATCCACACCTCTGCTACAACGATACGACTCGGGAAGAAGTCGTCAAGAAGGGATCGCAAGAAAGCACTAGTTCATGTCAAGGCCGCAATAGCGGACTATGGACTCGTATTCATGGCCGCATTGCCCAGCACGTCGCCAAGACCGCCTCGAGGCGCCAGCGGCGTATGCGCCCTGTGCGGCGAGCGACGGCCCACGCTGTAAGCTGGTTATCACCTCGTGCCTACGGATGGCCTCGTCGCATAAACGTAAGCGGAGCTTGCAGGTTTCAGGAGCCGTGGCGGTGCCGCGAGAGAGAGACGAGACGAGACACGCATGGGCGACGTTCGTGGCATCACACGCCCGCAGTCTGATTCGCGATGTGACAGAGGCATTATTGGTAATGCGCGGGCGAGGCTTGTTTCTGTGCGACCGATAGGCTCAGGCAGGCCGACGGCGGCAGAGCATGTTTGACATTGAAACAAGGCTGAGATGCAAGCCGCAACCCACGCCCACCACGGACGGCGATGGCGAAGAGCCTGCCGGACAGCCTGGGCGGCGCTGGCCTGGGCCCTCTGGAGTCTCACTACTTCAAGGTGCGCCGGCGCCGCGATCCAGATCGGACTCTGGACCCGCGCCTCGTCGGGCTGGGAGTCGCCGCGATGCCAGGATCCTGGCCTGTCAGTTGCGGCAATAGATGCCCGAATGCAGCATCTGGTGGCGGGATGAGTCTGTGCCACGTTGTACACGTCACGCAGCAGCCGATGGGGCCCCGGGGCGTGTTTGAGCAAGCCTTCAACGACGGATCCCGAGGCACACAAGCTGCCCGATCGAGCGGCAGTCAGTTTTGGCACCAAAGCCTACGAGTACGCACGTCAGATGGCAGGGAGCCCAGGCCTGATAGAGGTCTACAACATGACGACGGGATGGACGGCATCCCGGCTCGAGTATGACGGCAGACGGCATCCGTCCAATGGCTGCGGAGAGATAATGAGAGGACAAAGCGGCAGCGGTCGCATGTACATGTAATGATGCGGTATGGTGTGCCGCAAGGAGTCTCGGGGTGGCCCAAGCGGCGAGCGACGAGACGGGACAGCCAGACGATAGACTTGCGCCGACGTTCCGAATTCATGAACATGAGAGCGATGCCATGGAGTCGAGTGTCATTGTGCGCGCAGATACGATGCGGAAACAACCAAACAACATGGCAGTCATGGTCAAGAAAGGGTGGTGGTGATGAGTGATCAGCGGTTCGCACTGCTCGCGAGCGTCCGAGCCCTCGCCAGGCACGCGGGCGCGCGCTTCCCCTGAACCCACTCCCTCGCACGCCTGCCCACTTCCCACTCGCACTCCCAGTCATCCATGCCATCCACTGCCCCTCGTCGCTCGCCCCTCGCCCCTCCCGACTCCAGACTCGAGTGGATGGACGATGAACAGGGTTGCTGGCGCAGGGGTCGACGCAGCTACAGGCACCGAGTGGGCCCGTCCGCCGCGACACGACACCCGCAAGACCCGGGCGTCTGCGGCGAGGTGGCGGGCAAAGCGAGCGCGCGTCGGCGGCGTCGTGTCGAGGGGTCCATGGGCGGAGCCTCAATCTAGGGGCGGGCATTGCGCGGGCCGCAGAAAGAGAGGCAGCGCGCACACCAAAAACGCACGCTGGACGCGGAAAAAAGGAGAGGCAAATAGGAGGGCCATGGCGATTGGGTACATAATAGGTCATTTGCCATTTGCAGGACAGGACCCCTCGCCTCGCACATGGAGGAGGAGGACTTATGCAGCGGGACAGGCACAGGCACAGGCACAGGCACTGGCCTACCTAGCCGAGAGACGGGGTGGGATGGGGGGATCGGAGCGCAATGTGACGTGTCGCAGGCGCTGAAGAAGAGATTGGAAAGTGACGGGCGACCAAGCGGCCTGCAGGAGCGCTGCATGAGAATCACGCCGTCTCGTTGTGCTGGCCGACCCGATAGGTACGGACGAACCTCTCCATCAACGGATTCATCCCGTATACCAGGCGATGCTCCGTGGTTTATATGCGTGGCCGCGACCGCAGCTCGTTCCGCATCGTGGTCTGTCCCGGCCACGGCCACAGTGTCCCCAGCGCTGGCCGTGCTGCGCCGCGACGGCGTGTCGTCCCTGGGCTCGGGCTGTCCAGACGTCCGGACGCGAGTGCGTGCGCGCGCGTGTCGTCATCGCCCGGTGGAAGCCGTGCTGGTCCTTGGCGATGCCAGCGACGCCGGTCGCCTGGAATAGACTTTGCGTCTGCCGCTGCGACCCCTCGTGCCGCCGAGGCGCCGAGATGACTGCTCGCTCGCCCCGGTGATCCGTACGGGGTGGCCGCAAAGGTATACGTATGTCCTCGTCAAGATGCCGCGGGCGGCCCAAGATGAACAGAGCAAAATCACCAATAACAACATGCACGAATGTGGACATGCCTTTGCCGCACGGAGTGCCGCGCTGATGAGTGTTATTATCGTCATTACTGGAATACTCTGTACCTTGCAACCCGTACCCCGTACCCGTGTGTCCGGCCCTCGCTGCAGCCATCCAACCCCGTCCTGACTCGGGCTGTGCTCCTCGTACCTGAAGCACTGGGGCGTCCCCGTTCGCGTGATTAGCCTGGGGTGCAGCACTCGCGCAAAGCCGTCCTGCCTGCATTGGGCGTAGCCCCTGGCCGTGGGAGGTGCCTGGCTTAGCCCTTACTGGCCTAACCCTGGCCTGAGTCGCCTTTTCGGCCAGGGCCAGCGTTGCCGTTGTGGATGCGGTGGAGGCGCCTGAGGTCACCAACGCACAGAGGGGGTGGGGGGCCCAGAGGCCTGGCCGGCGCGCCGCCCGCCATGCTTCCCAGTTGAATGATGGATGCGACCCGACCTGGATTTGATGCTGGAGCACCACTGGAGCCAGAGGCGTTGCCCCTGTCCGTCCGTCCGTCGCTGAGGTGGTCAGGCCCGTCTTGCCATCCATTTCCCCCTCCTCGACCTGCATGTCCGGCCTCCCTTGGTTCCCGGTCCTGGTCCAGAGGTGGTGAGTTCTGACAGCCACGGCCCGTTCTCTGGTGACGCCCTTGCCAGCCAGCCCGCCTGCCTGCCCTACCTGCTCCATCCATCCATCCACCATCCAGCAGCAGCAGCACCACCACCACCACCACCTGGCGCTCCTCCATTCAAGCGACCAATTCTCCTCCCCCTCCTGTCGTCTCTTGCAAGTTACAACCCTTACCTCGCACTCCACGCACTGCCGGCCGCATGCCAGCCTAATTCACCTCCGCCTCGCGCAATTCTCTCGCACCACTGCCGTTCGCACCGCCACGCCTCGTTCGAGTCCGAGACCAAACGGCACGCCGTTGGTGCGCGCCGCCGCCCTTGACGCTCGACGCCCCGACGCTTCTTGGGAGCCCGACACGGCCTGCCGCCCGAGCCCAGCCGCGCCCCCTTCGAACTCGCCGGCGACAGCGATCCGCCTTGCCGCGCGCAGACCGAGCCTATCCCTCGCCGACCCGTCGTCGACTTCGAGATAGACGACTCGACGTACCTCGTACGCTCCCGCCACGACCCCTGCGGCTCGACGGATCCCGCCGTTATACTTTGACCGCACCGCCGCCTCACGAGCGCGCATTTCAGGTCTCGCCGCCGTTGCAGTTGTGGCTTCGTCCCTCGACCCCGACCCGACTTGCGACCGTCACGCCGACGGGTAGCGCCTGCGGCTTGTCGACGGCCACGACATCGTTCCGTCGAGCTTGATTGCGCCCGCAAGCACCGCTTCACGGATAAATGATCTCGAGTCGACCGAATTCCGCTCCCTCTGCTGGTTGACCGTACCCAGCGTCAACGCAGCCGGTTCCTCGCGATTGAGGCTGTCACAGGGGCCAGCGCCCAACAGTGACTGCATACGAAGAGCAACAGCTCTTTCCACATCCCCGGCTCGCCGATTCGCCAGCAGCCCGGTCCTTCACCATGCCCGTCATGCTCCAGCCATCGCGGGCCTCGACGGCCTCGTCGTCGTCGTTCCAGCCGCTGACGCGCCAAAACACCATGTCCTCGTACGACGGCACCCGCTCCGCGCGCCAGTCGAAGCGGTACTCCATGTCCGCGCTCTACATGTCTATGTCGGCGAACGAGGGCGAGATGCAGATTGAGGATGACCTGGCCAAAGGTTCGCTTGCTGGCCTACCATGCATTGGTTTCGATTGCTGACCCGGTGTCTGCAGCCCAGAAAGTGCTTCGAGAACTCAAGTCCAAGATTTCCTCGCAGTCGAAAAAGAACTTTGTCCTCGAAAAGGACGTGCGGTATCTCGACTCTCGCATCGCCCTGCTGATCCAGAACCGCATGGCCCTCGAGGAGGTAATGCCGTCCCCCACAATCCTTCAAGAGCGTTCTGACACGCAGCAGCAAAACGAAGTGGCCAGCCATCTCGAAGACGCCACCGACATGCAGGAGGGCTTCTTCCCCAACGACGACAAGACGCAAAAGTACGGCAACCTGATGTTCCTGCTCCAGTCGGAGCCGCGGCACATTGCCCACCTCTGCAGGCTCGTGTCGATGGCCGAGATCGACTCGCTGCTGCAGACGGTCATGTTCACCATCTACGGAAACCAGTACGAGAGCCGCGAGGAGCACCTCTTGCTCACCATGTTTCAGGTCCGCCGTCCTCCCAGCCGCCGTCGACTGACCCTGCTGACCAGCGTAGTCTGTCCTCACGTTCCAATTTGACCACACCCCCGACTACTCCTCCCTGCTGCGGGCCAACACGCCCGTGTCGAGAATGATGACGACCTACACGCGACGAGGCCCCGGCCAGAGCTTCCTGAAGACGGTGCTGGCTGATAGAATCAACAGCCTGATCGAGCTCAAGGACCTGGACCTCGAGATCAACCCGCTCAAGGTGTACGAGCGCATGATTGAGCAGATCGAGGAGGACACGGGCACGCTGCCGCCTCACCTGCCCAAGGGCATCACCGCCGAGCAGGCCGCCGAGAACCACCAGGTCCAGGCCATCATCGAGCCCAGGCTGACGATGCTGACCGAGATCGCCAACGGCTTCCTGACGACCATCATCGACGGGCTGGAGGAGGCGCCGTACGGCATCCGCTGGATCTGCAAGCAGATTCGAAGCCTGACCAAGCGCAAGTACCCCGACGCCAACGACCAGGTCATCTGCACCCTTATCGGCGGCTTCTTCTTCCTGCGATTCATCAACCCGGCCATCGTCACGCCCAAGTCGTACATGCTCATCGACGGCACGCCCGCCGAGCGCCCGCGCCGGACGCTGACGCTGATTGCCAAGATGCTCCAGAACCTCGCCAACAAGCCGTCGTATGCCAAGGAGCCCTACATGGCGAAGCTGCAGCCCTTTATCCAGCAGAACAAGGACCGCATCAACAAGTTTATGCTCGACCTCTGCGAGGTCAGCGACTTTTACGAGAGCCTCGAGATGGACAACTACGTCGCGCTGTCGAAGAAGGACCTGGAGCTTGACATAACTCTCAACGAAATCTACGCCATGCACTCCTTGATTGACAAGCACCAGCAGGAGATGTGCCGGGATGAAAACTCGCACCTCGCCATCATCATCGCCGAGCTCGGCCCGGCTCCCGCGCAGGTGCCGCGCAAGGAGAACAGGGTCATCAACCTGCCGCTGTTCAGCAGGTGGGAGACGGCGATTGACGACCTGACGGCGGCGCTGGACATAACGCAGGAGGAAGTGTTCTTTATGGAAGCCAAGTCCATCTTTGTGCAGATTATGCGCTCCATCCCGCAGAGCAGCGCCGTCTTGAGGCGGCCGCTGCGCCTGGAGCGGGTCGCGGACGCGGCGGCGACGAGCCGCAACGACGCCGTCATGGTGCGCAAGGGCATCCGGGCCATGGAGCTGCTCTCGCAGCTTCAGGAACTAGGCGTCATCGACAAGAGCGACCAGTTTGACCTGTTGCGCGACGAGGTGGAGCAGGAGCTGCAGCACCTCGGGTCCCTCAAGGAGGGCGTCATTGCCGAGACGGCCAAGCTCGAGGAGGTGTACAAGACGATCCGCGACCACAACACGTACCTGGTCGGCCAGCTGGAGACGTACAAGAGCTACCTGCACAACGTGCGCTCGCAGAGCGAGGGGACGAAGCGCAAGCAGCAGAAGCAGCAGGTGCTCGGCCCGTACAAGTTTACGCATCAGCAGCTGGAGAAGGAGGGCGTCATCCAGAAGAGCAATGTCCCGGATAACAGACGGGCCAACATCTACTTCAACTTTACGAGCCCCCTGCCCGGCACGTTTGTCATTTCGCTTCACTACAAGGGTAAGTCGCCGCCGCCGCCGCCGCCGCCGCCGCGTTGGACCGACGAAGCTAACGAAGCTGCAGGCCGAAACCGCGGGCTCCTGGAGCTGGACCTCAAGCTCGACGACCTGCTCGAGATGCAAAAGGACAACCAGGACGAGCTCGACCTCGAATACGTCCAGTTCAACGTGCCCAAGGTGCTCGCCCTTCTCAACAAGCGATTCGCCCGCAAGAAGGGGTGGTAAGACGACTCGACGATGCCACGCGCATTTCACGCATGTACCACGACTATCTCGACGAGGCACCTCTGGCGTTATGGACAACATCTTGATACCACGACACGTTTCACCTTATATCCTTTGCACCGTTGCCTCGACGCATGTTGAACCCCTCGGAGGACAGCCAGCTTCGTCTCATTTTCGTTTTTGTTTTTGCCGGCAAGGTGCGCCGCTACATAGTTTCCCACCACGTAATAGCCTTTGTGGCATGAGTCGGAGAGTTGCCTCTGGAGTTTGGACAACGGCTGGTCCGGTGTGCAAAGGGACCGAGCTGCGTCTCATTTCGTTTTGCTCTGTTTTTTTTGTTGTTGCCCCTGCTACCCCCCGGGGCCTGCGATTGACATTGACTCGCGCGCGCGTACGTTGGCCGTGGATTCCGACTCGTCGGTTGGTTGGATGGCAGTGACGGGTAAATGACTACGCGATCTTGTTTCTTTAATGTTGCGTGCTTTGCTTGGATCAGCTCAGCGTCTTGACTATCGGCCACGGGGCACGCCGTCTGACGTTGTGCATTGCAGCACTGGGCTGAAGGACGATGCTGGGACGGATGCGCGGGATGCTATGCTGCGTGTTGAGCGAGCGAACATGTGTGCTAGGAGGTTGCAGTCTACTGTACGATACAAGTCTTGCCTGGGGTATTCTCCTATCTGCTGCTGTCCATGCTGCTGTCCATGCTGCTGTCCATGCTGCTGTCCAAATGCTGCCGGCTCAGGTCGTGTCTCGTGGTGCCTTCATAAGTTTGTCATGCAATCGTACAACAAGCGTCAAATCATACAGTCGTACCCGCCCAGCCTCCTCCATGATATCCTAACACAGCTTACACCTTGCCCAAGTCCACGTCTTCTGCTGTCACAATCTTGTTCCTCTGCCGCGGCCAGAGCTTCGGCCGCCAGCTCCCGAAGCGTACCCCGTTGCGGCCGTCCGCTGTCGCGACGGGCCTGTGCTTGCGTCCTCGCCGGGACGGCGGCTGGTGCTGGTGCGGGTGAGAGTGAGGGTGAGAATGCTGCTGGTGCGCATCTGCCGCAACGTCCTGCCGGCGCGAGGCGAGCGCAGCTTGAGGGAGCGACGCGACGTACGAGGCCCCCGCGGCGATCTTGCGGCCCACGAGGCTGAAGCTGCGCGTCTGGAAGAGAAAGACGATGATCATGAAGGGCACGCACACCAGGACCATGGTGACGGCGAATCTCCAGTCGGTCACCTGGATGGTGAATTCTGTCATGCCAAAGACGGACTGCGCGCGGTCAGGTCAGCTCGGCCTGTTCTCGGGTAGAGCACTCTGGATGACCAGGGAGAGGAAAGGCGGAAGGTCAGGAAGACTCACCGTCACAAAGGTCAGGGGCAGAAACACCATGCTAATCATGGTCAGGATCTGGATGTTGTCGCCCTGGTCGATGGCGCGCCTGCTCTCCTTGATGGAGCTCCCGCTGAAGAGCTGGTCGCGCAGGTTCTCAATCTCCTTGCGGGTGCGCTCGTTGCGGCGGAGCACCTCGCCGAGCTCGGCGACGACCTTGTCGAGCTCGCGGCGCAGCACGGCCATCTTGTCGCGGTAGGCGAGGCCCTCGGGCGAGGCGGGCGCCGGGTGCGGCCACAGCAGCGGGTGCGCGCCCGCCCAGAAGTCGTCGGTGAAGGTGTCGGCGTAGGCGGCCACCATGGCCTTGATGCCCGTGTTGATGACGGCGAGGGTGTTGTACGCCCAGAAGTAGCGCCGGATGTAGGTGAAGTGCTTGTCCTCGAACAGGAGCTTGTCGCGGAGGCGACGGTCGAACATGAATTCGGTCTGGCAGCGGATGGTCAGAACAGGGGGCCTCGAACGTGATGCGTCGTGGAGAGGAAGAGTGAACTTACAGGGGGCGTGATGAGCTTGGTGATGCGGTCGTGCAGAATCAGGTTGCGCTTGCCGGCGTCCCTATACTCGGACACCAAGAGGTCGAGAAAGGCGTATGGCCCATTGTAGAAGCTCTTGAGCTGGAAATCCTCGCCGCGCACCGTGTGCTGGTCGTCGGGGAACGACTGGATGCTGAGGAGGTGCCAGGGCCCAAACGTGTCGAACAGGAAGCCCTCACGCACGCGCTCCCTGCGCGGGCGCATGCGCACCGGCTTGGTGGGCGCGCCGCCGAGCGACAGCCCCAGCACGGAGCTGCACTCGGCGATGTCGATGTGGTCGCCCAGGCGCTTGTCCACGGGCCGCTTGTCGAAGCGCTGCCACGGCGCGGGCTCGAGGTGGTCCCCGACAGAGGTGTAGTACTTGAAGACGAAGAAGAAGGACCGCTGGCGCAGGTGCGCGAAGGAGGCGACGGGTTCCGGGACGGGAGGAGGTGGCGTGCCGGCGGGAGGTGGCGGCGCGTCGAGGAGGCAGGCCTGCGGCGGGAGCATCGTCGAGGGAGGGCGCTCGAAGGCGCGGTGCATGAAGGCGTGGGTGCGGCCGCGGTTGGGCGTGTCGGACACGAGGTTGCTCAGCAGCTCCGTCATGTCAAAGTGCTGCGACATGGTGAGATGGAGGGCCGCGAGGATGAGAGGCGTGGGCTCCTGGACGATGCTACCAGGTGTCAGTAACAGACTCACAATGCGGGCGAGCACACACAGCTGGGACAGCGCAAACATACGTAATGCGCCCGACGGCGTCTCCGTCCAAGTTGACGTCCTTGATGGCCTCCCACACCGTCGAGGCGTCCACAATGCCATCCGACGTCTCATACGGCACCCCGTCTCCCCCGTAGCGCGCCCCCATGGTCGAGCCGGCTCCGCCCGCAGCGTCCATGTCGACGCTCACCCTGACCGCCGATGAATCCTCCATGACATCGTACACCTCAAAGGTGGGGTTCACGTAGCTCTCACGCTCATACGCCGCAAACTCACGAAACGACATGGCCGGGTTGCTCATCTCGCCGCGCCGCCGTGTCGCCTCCTCGAGGATCTTTGCGAGGGGCGCCTCGGCGAGATCGTCCCCGCTGCCACTGCTGCCACTGCCGTCGCCCACGAGGCATGGGTCGCGCAGGTGCCGCATGAGCATGTCGTCGGAAAAGGTCATGGGCGTGAGGCGGTGTCGCTGGTGGCCGCGCGGGACGAGGATGACGTCGGGCTCGTTGGTGACGATGGAGGAGGGCGCAGGCGGCACGGGGCGACCGCCCGCCGAAGCACTGCTGCTCGTCGCATCAAGCAGCGGGATCCAGGTAATGTCCTCGTCCGGGATGATGGAGAAGTCATGGTGGTGCTGCCGGGGGTCCGCGTTGGGGACGGGCGTCAGGGGGAGGAGCGGGCGCGGCGACGGGCAGAGGGACGCGGGGCGCTCGGCCGTGGCCTCGAGCGTGGAGCGGCGCAGGCGCGGGAGGCTGCTCGGCTGGCTGAACTGGATGGTGGTGCCGTTGCCGTTGCCGTTGCCGGAGCTCGTGGTGAGGTGAAGACCGCTCTCGCTGCCGAAGCTCGTGGGCGGGTTGCTAAAGGTGGTGAAGGCGCGCAGCGGCGGCGTCATGGCCAGCGGGAGCGTGCTGCTGCGGCTGTCCGCCCTGTCTCGCTCCCTTCGCGCCGCAGCATGGACGCCGGTGCTGCTGCCCGCCTGAGCATTGGCGTTGCTGTTGGCATTGGCGATGCCATGGCCGCCCGCCCCGAGGCCGTCGTGGAGGCTGCGCAGGCTACGGATGTACTGTTCGTGTGAGGATTCGACGGCTCGGATGAGCTCCTCGATGTTCTGCGGAGGGGTGCTCGGGCCTGCTGCCATGTGGTCATGAATCCCCGTCTAAGCCGGTGACGAGACTGCGTGCATCTGGCGGCGATGCGAAACGATATGCCAGAGAAATGGGAACACGATCACGCATGAGCAAGCATGGCGGGCAGGCTGTACTATTTCTAAGCCAGAATGCAAGACAGAGACGACTGACTCCCTGGGCCGGCCGTCCGCAGCAACCGCCTCGCCAGTTTGGGACCAAGCGTTGCGTGCGTGGGCATGGCGGCCATACAGATCAGAGTCTTACCCCGAGATGCGGCTGAATGCAGACCTCGGTGACGCGCAGGAGGAAAAGAGCCCGCCTCCCAATGCACCCCAGGGTTTGTCCGTTTTAGCCAGGACGCCTCGCCTCACGCTTGGCGGCGCTGCGCTGCGTAACCCCAATGCACGTGGCGGCCGCTCCGTCCGTCTGCAGCAATGCAGCCCCCCGCAGCGTCGACCAGCTTTGGCGAGTGTGTGTGTGTGTGTGTGCGTGTGAGCAAGGGCATGCCTTCTGCGTATGCAGCGCTTGCAATAACGTTGCATGGCCAGCGCGGGCGAACCTAACCATGCCCGACGACCGAGCAGCGCCGCCAGGGCTGACGGATCGCCCCAGGATGAGGCGGCCGGGAGCCTCAGTAACGAGTGAGATATGATGGATGGCGTCCCGTCGGCTCGGGACGGCTGGACGCGGGAGGCGCTGCCCATGACGCAAACTGACGGACCACAATTCAAGGGCGCTCGTTTCCGCCGTCGCGGAAGACGAGGGCTAGTGGCAGGCAACCATGGGGATCGCGGGATGGGCGTGTGAGGGAATGCCCACGGCAGGCATCTGGAAGCAAGCTAGAAATGGAATCTCGTCAGCGTCGGGCGGGCACCAATCGATCATGGCTGCTGCAGCCTCAGATACAGCCACGGCCTTATCTCGACGTCGCCGCTTGACTAACCCGCCTGGTCCTGGCAAACACCATCGCGACCGTTTCCAAGGCACCGGAGGCGCATCAACCGACTGTCCCGTGACACGCGCGCACCGCCTCACCTCGCACAGCCAGATGCAACCGTCTCCCTCCCGTTCGTGACATATGTACCGCGGTACTGTATTGTGCGTCAATCAAAATATACTGTACTCAAACGCATCGTATCCTTTGCCGGACCAAGCAACTCTGCCTCCCTGGATATCATCATCCTTCGTTGTCCTCGTAACTCTAAGTGAAAGCCTGCCAGACGCGATGCCGTGGAAAGCCATCCTGGGCATTAATTCAGCCGAGCCCACACGCCGGGGAACACCGTCCGCCAGCGTGGGCCACCCCTCCTCGCCCTGATGCAATCGGCACCCAACTACGAGGCGACCGAAACAGGCTTGGAAGCGGCCGCGTCGGCCGGCTTCTCCGCCTCGTCGACCTCCATGGCGTCGTCCTCGGCGCCTTCGCCCTCGCCCTCTCCCTCTCCCTCTTCCTCCTCGAGCTCGTCCTCGCTCTCGCCCTCAATGTCGACGCTGCCGTCCTCGGACATCTCGTCCTCCTCCTGGCCGTTCTCGTGGCCGTTGGCCTGCTCCTGCTCGACGCCCGCCATCTCGGCGTCGTCGCCGGCGACCTTGGCCTCGCCGGCGTCTTCGGCAGCCTCCTCTTCGGCCTCCTCTGCGCCGTATTCCTCGCCGTCGGCGACGAGGTCAGCCTCGGGCTGCTCGGGCGGGAACTCGGCAGGGGCAGACGCCTCGGAATCCCTAGTAGTCCATCTGTCAGCTTCGGTAGGCTCGCCAGCACGGCGGGCCACGTACCACTTAATGGCAAACCGAGTCACACGGGGCTTCTCGGCCAGCACGTTGCGCTTCACGCGCTCCACGATGGGCTTGGCGGGGGGCTCTGCGTTGAGCTCCTCCGAATCGTACTCATTGTTCACGTAGTATCCCACGCGCACAAACTCGCGGCCGTCGTAGGCGCACGTCAGGAGAATCACCGTCACGCCGAGGATGTCGGCGTCGGGGATGCGTGACGTGCTGGGGGCATCCGCCTCGAAGATGAACTTGTTGACGCCGACGGGCACGGGCCCAACCAGCAACGAGTCGAGCTCCTGGTCGTACTGGTCGCTGCGAATCGTTAGAGGGGAAGGCGTGCGGGCTTGAGGCGCGACTCACGAGGTGGCAGAGCCGACGTAGGTGAGTTTCCACTCCAGATCTATGCCAGTCAGTCGAGCCGCGTCCACGAAGAATCATTGCCACTCACCCTTCTCCAGAGCCTCGAGGCACTCAAAGGTAATCTCGAATTCGTACTTGTCGGTGAACTTGGCGGGGTTGTTGAGAACCTTGACGCCCAGGAGCGAGACGACCGACATCTTGGTGGTGCTGAGGCGCGTGCCTTGCTTCACGTTTCTGACCCTTCACGGATGCTGTTCTTTGTCGTGGCGGGGCAGGCAGTGCGCGGTTGGGTTCGAAAAGACGTTGATCGCAGACGATGCGCGTTATGCACGGCGTAGAGCTAGCAGTGCTCAATAGATGTGGTGGGCGCGTGACGATGCTGCGAGGGATGCGTGTGTTTATGTGGGTGGAAGAGAGAGGGAAGCGGTGAAAGCGGGAGGCTGGCGAGGAAGGATAAGGCGATGGAGGGAGAAGGCAGGAGTGAGGGATGGAGCGTGACGGTTGCCGTGGTGGTGGGACGCGCTTTTTGGCCCGACCGCGTTGAGAGGTTCTGTCATGCGCCACGGGCCCGCCGGGCGGACGCGTTCTGTGGCAGGCGCCGCACGGCGCTAATCAGAGCAGTCAATGCACTGGACTTTGTTCCCCCGTAGCCACAGGGGGGCCCAGCGGCGCAGGGCGGCTGGCCCACCGTACGTCGCTTCGGCGTCTCACCGCCCGACATGCGCTAAGCCGGATTCCTCATTCTGCCAGGTGGCTGCGAGATCGCGACAGAGCTTGCTGGCTTGCTGCTGATTGCAACCAGCGCCGCCCTGCCTTTGACGAACCACGAGCAACGCCGATTTGCCAACCTTTGCATGCTCGGCATCAACGGCATCGAAACCCCATCGGATCCTTCTAGTCTGACGTTCCTCACCCGGGCAAGGTCGCGACAGGGCTTTCGAACCTGAATTCGCGACGGCGAGCAGGTCTCACCCCCAGCCTCGCCCGTCACGCGCAGGTCAGTCGCAGCAAAGCGCAGCATCCGGCCATCGCGCAGCGCATTCCCCTTGTCTCATGCAATGCTAAGTCGAGCTCGAAGCTAGGCACCATCGACGACGCATCTCGCTGTCCGATCACAGTCGCTGCGCTTTGAGAGTGCTGCAGGGCCGCGGAGACACCCATCTCGCCGAAAACCAGTCACACGTGAGCCGTCGGCGAGTGCTCAGCGCGATGGCTTCCGAGGAGGCTACATGGGGCGAGGAGGGCTATGATGGCGCGGGTGATCCTCAGATCGAGCATAGCGAAGAACAAGTTGAAGACCTTGCGCAAGACTCCCACGTGCCAGATGATGCGGCCGAAGACGGGCAAGACGAGGACGAGGACGCGGAGGACGGCGGGGACTACGATCCCGAGTCGGTTGCCTTTGATACGGCCGCCGAGCCGGACAAGGCCGCGTCTGCGACACCGTCACAACGCCCGGCGGCGTCCAAACCCAAGATGGCCGGCGGCTTCCTGGTCGAGGTCTCCGACGACGAAGACGACGACGACAATAGCGCTCAGCCCGGCGGATCGACACCCGCCCAGGGCGATGCGGGAAATGCTGCGGCTAAGAATGGCGCATCTCCGGCACCTGCCAACGCCGGTCTGCCCCATCCGCCCGGCATGGCCGGCCTCGACCCCAGTGCGCTTCTCGAAGCCCGCATCAAAGAGGACCCGCGCGGAGACATGGATGCGTGGTTGAACCTCATCGCTGACAACAAGCGGAGAGGCAGGCTGGATGACCTTCGCGGCACATATGGCCGCTTCCTGGACGTGTTTCCCCAGGCGGCTGACATCTGGGTGGAGTGGATCGAGATGGAGCTGGGCCACGACAATTTCATGGAGGCGGAGCGCCTGTTCGGAAAGAGCCTCATGACGGTGCTCAACGTCAAGCTGTGGACGCTGTACCTCAACTACATCCGGCGCCGTAATGACCTCACCAACGACCCGACCGGCCAGGCCCGCCGCACCGTCGCGCAGTCGTACGACTTTGTCATTGACAACATTGGGTGCGACCGCGATTCCGGCAACATTTGGCAGGACTATGTCAACTTTGTCAAGAGCGGTCCCGGCCAAGTCGGCGGCACTGGGTGGCAGGACCAGCAAAAGATGGACCAGCTTCGAAAGGCCTACCAGCGCGCCATCAACGTGCCTATGTTGACGGTCAACAACTTGTGGAAGGAATACGACCAGTTTGAGATGGGCCTCAACAAAGTGACGGTACGTTCACCACTCGACCTCTCCTGCACATCTGCTGACGCTGCACAGGGCCGGAAGTTCATCCAGGAGCGTTCGCCGGGATACATGTCTGCCAAGAGCGCCAACATTGCGCTCGACAACATGATGCGCACGTTGAAGCGCACCAACCTGCCGCGACTTCCCCCGGCGCCCGGATTCGACGGCGACGAAGACTTCAAGACCCAGGTCGAGGTGTGGAAGAAGTGGATAGCATGGGAGAAGGACGACCCCCTTGTCCTCAAGGACGACGAGCCCCCAGCCTTCAGGCAAAGGGTGCTCTACTGCTACAAGCAAGCGCTGATGGCCCTCCGATTCTGGCCCGAGATTTGGGTCGACGCCGCCGCCTGGTGCCTAGAGAACGACGTCCGGGACAACGACGGAAAGCCAGTCGGCACCGACCTGCTGCTGCAAGGCATCGCGGCCAACCCCGAGAGCGTTCTCCTGGCCCTGAAGCACGCCGACCACATCGAAAAGAACTACCCCGAGAAGGAAGGCGACAGGTCCGAGTACGCCAAGGCAGTGCGGCAGCCGTTCGACACTGTCCTCGACACGCTCTACAAGATGGGCGACAAAGTCAAGGAGCGTGAAAAGTTTGAGGTCAGCACGATGAAGCAGGCCGCCACTCTGGAGCCGCCGGTCCAGGAGTCCATCGAGGATGATGACGACGATGACGAGGAGGTGAAGAAGCCCAAGCTGTCGCCATCGGAGCAGCGCATCTTGGCCATTCAAAACGCGTATGCCGCCGAGTCCCAGCTGCTTTCCCGCACCATTTCCTACGTCTGGATCGCCATGGCCCGTGCCATGCGTCGCATCCAGGGCAAAGGCAACCAGACCGAGGGTGGCCTGCGCAAGGTGTTTACCGACGCCCGGCAAAAGGGCCGTCTGACCAGCGATGTGTATGTCGCGGTCGCCTTGCTCGAGTCTGTCGTCTACAAGGACCCCGTTGGCGCCAAGATCTTTGAGCGCGGCTCGCGCCTGTTCCCGAACGACGAGAACTTTATGATTGAATACATCAAGTACCTCCACGCGAGGGACGACACAACGAGTATGTTTCCGCCTCCCCTCTGAAGACTGCATGCTAACGTCGCAGATGCGCGCGTCGTCTTTGAGACCTGCGTCAACCGCCTCGTGGCGAAGCCGGAGACGCTCGCCAAGGCGAAGCCTCTGTATGCGTACTTTCACAAGTACGAATCGCAGTACGGCGAGCTCTCGCAAATCTCAAAGCTCGAAGACAGAATGGCCGAGCTCTTCCCCGAGGACCCCAAGCTGAGCTACTTTACCGCCCGATACTCGTCCGACAAGTTTGACCCCATCGCGGCGCCCATCATCATCTCCAAGGCGGTACAGATGCGCCCGAAGCAGATTGTCCCCATCGTCGAGCGGCCCCCGTCGATCCGTAACAGCGTCGCGCCCGTGCGACAGGAGCAGAGCCCTCGACCGCAGTTTGTGCGGGCGACGGCGTCGCCGAAGCGGCCGTTTGGCATCGACGACGAGGAGCTCAACCCGCCCAAGCGGCTAGCTAGAGGCGTGTCTCCGCTCAAGGGTGCGGCAGGACGTCGCCTCGACCAACAGCGCCGCAACCAGACGTCTGCTCTCCACCGGGACATAACTTTTCTGCTCGGCATCATGCCGCCCGCACATAGCTATGATGCACCGCGGCTGAACCCGACGGCCATGGTGTCGCTGCTGCGGGACACGCAGCTCCCTGACTACAGCAGCTGGCGGGCCAAGACTGGTGGACAGTATCGGCCGCTGCCTCAGGGCCACGCGAGGCAGACGTCGGGAGACTACAGCAACAGGCCGCTGAGCCCGTACGGTCGCGTCGCGTCCGCGGCCGGCGGCTATCGCAACTCGCCCCTTAGGACGGAGAGCGGAGGAGCGTTTGCCGCCAACCCGTACGCACCCCCTGACGGCGGGGCACCACCGGCGGCCTGGCCACCGGCGGCTGGAGGCTACGGCGCGCCCGCAGGACAGTACGGCGGTGGGTATCGTTTCCAGTGAGTGGGCGGATGTCTCATGAGTCCGGGAGGTTCTAGTGGGTTTTGCATGTCAAGCATCTCGCAAGGCGTTTGGTAGATCCGGGGGCCCGATCTAGGCTGGCTGCCACACTGTATTTTACTTGTCCTGTGTCGATGAAGTAGCAGCCGCGTCACTGCGCTGGAAGAATCATTTCAAGCCGTTGGCTGTTGCGCAACCGCCAACTGGCTTGCTGCATAGCATGGTGGAAGGTCTCTGATGAACGAGTCACGTCTGCAACAGCCGACGAGTGGCTCTTGGCGGGAAACTCTCAGCTCAGCACCTAATAGGAGATGGCAGCGAAATTGCGTACACTTCTGCAGACCAATTGCCCAGACGATGATGCCACAAATCTCGAATCGTGATGCACCTGAGTCCACGATTGCAAGCAGCCGACCTAAGCGTGCGTGTTTGACTGCTCTCTACCTAGCGCCCAGGGAAGACAGCGCTCTCCCATCTTTTACTTTGTTCATCCACAACAGGGATTGTGCCGTGCAGAAGGAGTGTCGAGCAGAGTTCCCCTCAGGAGACGGCAGCCCGGGGCCAACACGCCTGTCCGGTGTTGCATCTCCCCGACAACACAGGTCCTCGCCCTGCCCGCTCAGGGCCGTCGAGAAAGAATTGAATTGCCGCTCTCTATAGGTGCCTACCTAGTAGCAACAAGCCCGTGAACAGCACAGCTTGCTGCGTTGCCCGGGTGCTGGTTCTGTGCTGTGTGCGGCCTGCCTGAACAGCCCGCCCGGCACACACCCTCTCTCGCTTATAAAGCACCTCCTTCCTCCCTGCCTCCTTCCCTCTCTTTCTTCCCTCTTCACCTTTGCACAACTTCTCGGCCTCTGCCGCTCTTGACTGCACACCTCGCGCATCGTGCCTTCAAGCCGGTCAGATATCAAAATCAAGGTAAGTTGCAGCGGCTTCAGTCGTCGCCGTCGTCACCCCCTCAAAGGCATCACATCTCGCGCTGCGGACCTCTGGGCCCTGCTCGGGTAGATCCCTGCGCTGTGTTTGCCCAAGCCTTGTCCTTGCAGCCGCCTGTCGGGAAGCTGCTGTGTCTTGGCGGCTTCGTTTGCACCCTTCACCTGCCCTCACCTGGCGCGTTCTTGTTCACGCACACCTCAACGCGTAGCCTGCCGCTGCTTCAAGGCTAACTCCAGTCTCCAGGCTCGAGACCCTGTGAAGGTCTCTCCTCTCCATCACTCTCAGCAAGCCCTACCTCGAACCTACCAAACCCACACCGGCATTCTCCAACAACGACTTGAAACAAATCCCCTCCAAGTCCGATCAGGTATGTGTCTCTACTTTTCTGTCCCACCGCATCTGCTTTGACCCCAGAATCCTCGTGTGCTGCGTGTTTGCACTCTCCCTTTCTGTCTGTTTCCCTTGGTGCGGCTCTTGGTGCCGTCTTGCTCGTAAACACAAACGCCGGGCTGGTCTGAACACTCGTGTCTCGTAGCACCAGATCTTCACCATCCACTACCACCACATTCTCTTCCGTATCTACCCTTTTCTCATCTCCTTGTCTTGGCCTTTGATCCTCTGGCCTGGTCTTCTGCACTCTACTTGGTGGGCAGAGAGTCTGAGCTGGCGGCTTTGGAACGCACACGCCTCTGCCCCATTTCTGATATTCCGCCTTTCATGATTAATTCGGAGACACGCTGACCAGAGAAACAGGTCCGACAGCATGTCTGATCGAGGCCGATCTCCCGCTCCATCTGGAGGCGGCGGCTCGGGCGGTCCAAGCCGCCGAGCATCTCCCCACGGCTCTGGCTCTGGCAGCCGTGGTGCCTCCCCTGCCCGATCTGCCACGGGCAAGGCCCCAGCTCCTCCTGGCTGGGCTGCAGGCATGGGTTTCGACCCGGCCAAGCCCGCCAGGGTTGAAGAACAAGGCAACACCCGCGTCGAGCTTCCGCCTGACGCGTATCTTTCGGACACTGCCAAGTCCGAGTTCACCCTCAGAGGCACCAAGTACAACACGGAGGGCAAGCCAGCCCAGGTTGAGGTCAACCAGTACCGTCTCAAGGCGTTTGACTTTACCAAGAGGATCTACCAGTACGACGTATGTTTTCAGACTCACACTTGAAGTAAGCGCAGGATACTGACATTTCGCAGGTGACCATCTCGCCCGACAACGAGAAGAGAAACGTCATCCTCAAGAAAGTTTGGACCCACGAGACCACGAAGAAGGCCCTTGCGCCCTACAAGTACCACATGTGGATTTTCGACGGCAGAAAGCTGGCCTGGTCCAGCACTCTTGTCGATCGTGGAGAGCTCAGATTCACCGTTGACCTGGACGACGGCCAGCGCCCGCCTGGTGCTCGCCCGCGCGAGGGAGGCCAGTTTCTTATCATGATCCGGCACACCACGCAGGTCAACATGAACTCGATCCAGAGCTACCTCAAGAAGCAGGCGTCATTCGACACCAATGTTCTCGAGGCCATGAACTTTCTGGATCACTTGATTCGACAGTACCCCTCTCAGAAGTTGCTGTCGATCAAGCGCAACTTTTACGAGATGTCGGAGAGAGGCCAGCCTCTCACCGGCGGTGGATCAACAATCGTCGTCCACAAAGGCGCCTACGCATCCATCCGCATGGTCAACAACCTGACCTCGGGCGGAATGGGCCTTGCACTCAATTGTGATGTCGCCAACACCTGCTTCTGGTTCGGCCCGGAGAGCCTGGACACAGTGGCGCTTCACTACCTTGCCTCCTGCGATCGGCGCAAATGGGGTTCCTTGAACCCCAACACCATGGCCAGGGAGCTTTGGCCGGTCAAATGGGACACTGGTCAATGGGCGTCGTCGGATGCCTTCAAGCAGCTTCGCAAGTTGCGGCGCCTTCGCTTCAGGGTGGACCATCCGAATCGCAAGAACCGCGACAAGGTCTATACCATTCAAGACTTCGCCTTTGAACAAAAGTATGGCGCCGAGGGCGGCAATGCGAAGAACGTCACCTTTGAGTACAACGGCAAGGAGACTTCGGTGGCCAACTACTACGCTCAGAAGTACAAGGCTCACCTCAAGTTTGCAAATCTGCCACTCATCGTTGCAGGCAAGGGCGGACACATCCCCATGGAATTCGCCATCATTGAACCCATGCAGCGCTATGCGTTCAAGCTCAACCCCGACCAGACGGCTGCCATGATCAAAGTGGCCGTGACCCGCCCGCAACAGCGCAAGGCGGACATTGTTCACCACGCGTCCAAACTCAGGCAGGCCGAGGATCCCTATCTCCGCGAGTATGGCGTCAAGTTCGAGCCGACCTTTGCCAAGACGGAGGCTCGCATCATCGCGCCGCCTCGCGTCGACTTCTCCCAGGGCAACGCGGACCCAAGATTCTCTGGCCGCTGGGACCTCCGCGGTAAGAAGTTTTGGCGACAAAACCTTGCGCCGCTCGCAAACTGGGCCTTCATTGTCATGGATGACTGCGTCAATCTTCCGCAGCTCCAGAGCTTCGCCAAGACCTTTCGGTCGACCTTCCTGGGTCATGGCGGCAAGTGCCCCAACGACGCAATGCTTCTGAACCTTACAGGACAGATGAAGTACAACGGAGCAGACGCCATTGCCTGGGCGCATAGCGAGGTCACCCGTGCTCGTGGGTATACCCAGCTGTTGTTTGTGGTTGTCCAGCACAAGAACAGCCCCCACTACGAGCGACTCAAGAAGTCGGCAGACTGCCGGTTTGGCATCCTCACTCAGGTCGTGAATGGAGAGGCCGTCAAGCGCAACAACGGCCAGTATCACTCCAACGTCTGTATGAAGGTGAACGCCAAGCTTGGCGGCGCCACGTCGCGCACGACGCCTCCCTGGAAGACGGCTCAGACGTATTTCCCCAAGGATCGTCCGACCATGATCATCGGCGCCGACATCTCGCATACGGCACCCGGCAGCAATGCGCCTTCGACCGCCGCAATTACCATGAACGTGGACCGCGACGCCACCCGCTTCGCTGCCATGGTGGAAACCAACGGATACCGCACCGAGGTGCTCAGCCCCGCCAACATTCGTTTCATGATGCAAAACCTGTGCAAGCAGTGGCAGGCGGGACACGAGGGATCGTATCCCAAGCACATCATCTACTTCCGAGATGGTGTCTCTGAGGGACAGTTTGCCAAGGTCCTCCACCGGGAGATTGGCGAGATCAAGGCCTACTTCCGTGACAACAAACCGGCCAATCCCAACCTCGAGTTTCCCAGATTCACGGTTGTGGTGGCTACCAAGCGACATCACATTCGCTTCTTTCCGCAGCAGGGCGACAAAAACAGCAACGCCCTCCCCGGAACACTCGTGGAGAAGGAGGTCACGCACCCCTTCATGTGGGATTTTTATCTCTGCTCTCATGTGGCGATCCAGGGCACGGCTCGCCCCGTCCACTACCACGTTCTTCTGGACGAGATGAATGTGCCTGTCAACGAGTTTCAGAAGATGATTTATCATCAGTGCTACTCGTATGCACGCTCGACGACCCCCGTGTCGCTGCACCCGGCCGTCTACTACGCCCATCTCGCCGGCAACCGCGCCCGCGCCCATGAGAACGTGGCGACCAGCGAGGGATTCCGTGCCGGCGCCAAAGGTCATGAAATGATTCGTGACCAGGTCGCCAAGGGCGTGCACATCGGAAGCATGCCCGAGGGTACGGAAGCCCCGCCTCTTCTTACTCTCGGCGGAAAGCCCGACCAGGGGACGGGCATAGTCGAGGGCGAGATGCGCCAGCGGGAGTTTTTCCGCGGCACCATGTGGTACATCTAAGTACTGAGCCTTTGCGCTTCTTGCTTTGCTTTGAGACAATATGATCCATGAGTCTGAAAGGACAACAGGGGATGGTTTGGCGGTGGAGTGGCGGCGGAGGTTCTAATAAAGGGGACGGTTTGGCGGTGGAGTGGCGGTGGAGGCCGTATCAGATAGATAAACTCTGATGCGTAATACTTGGTTCCTACTTGCATATGCGTGAAGGCGACATTCATTTGCGTGCCTTCTGTCGTAGGATTCTCGTGGTACAGTCTGGGTGTTGAATTGCCCAGAACCTGAAGTCATGAAGACGGTATAGCCTCGAACGATGAGGACTCCGATGCTGCTCGGGGGACTCACAGGAGCCAAGGGCCTGACACTCAGTGCATCGACCTGAGCTGTCTGGTGGAGGATTGAGGCAAGACTGTTCTTGTCGCTCATCGCACCTAGGTCGTACAGTCTCGGGCTGGAATGCACCGAGTTGGCCACCATGGATTGACGTTGGATCATCCAAATCGAGTCGTATTTCGTATGCGGCTTGATGGTGGCTGTTGGTCACTCATGCCGTCCACAAGGCTGTCATTACGGCCGGCAAGGCAGCTCTCTTCAACGACGGCTGAGGTTCACGCGCGCCGAGTCGTCTTACTCGCAGCTCAGCTTCCCTCAACAAGTCGCAGGAGGCACAGAAGTGCCATGGCCCAGACGGACGGCGGGAGATGCCGACTTAAAAATAGGGCAGTGCCTGGGGAGCCGATGCAACGCTGCGATGGTGTTGAGCGGCCAATCGCTTCGTGTTCCTGCCGAGTGGCCAGTGTGCTTTGTCCCGAAGGATCGACGCGATGCCACGAGGTGTTTTGGCGAGGCGTCTTGGATGCTTGCTATGGGGTGCATCACTTTGTCCGAAAGGGGACGGACGGGTGGGTGTCTAGCGGTGGTTTTGGGAGATCGACGGCTTAGTGACGGAGAATCGGGCAATTGGGGGAGGCTTGGGTGAGCCTTGGCTGAGGGTGGTTTCAATGTTGAGGGGTGATGCGGGTTTCAGGAACCGATGTGGGTGCAGCTGCTTCGATCCCAGTCAGCTTCCGTTGGTGCAAAGGGAGTCGTGTTTGGACAAGGGCCGCGAGGATCTTGTTTGCTGTGCTGCTTTCACTTACACGGCTGAGACTGGACATCGCGACAGAGCCTACTACATGTAGCATGGCAGCGTGGGACGACGTAAAGTGTGCAAGTTGGAGCTGCGACTCAAGGTGACGGCATTGCTTGATTCCATGGCGGGCCGCTGGGCGGCTTCATGTTTGACTTGTTCCTGCATCCTCAGGGTCCGGCACAAGTAAGACGTCCAGCCCAGCAGTCCATGATGCTACGCTGCGAGGTGTGCAGCCAAGAATACAATCCAATCAGCAAGGCGCGGCCCGCCAAACACGTCCAAACGCGAGATCTCAGCTGAAGCGTCATACATCGCAGCGGGATGTGTGTTCCACGACCCCATCTGGACGCGGGACGGTGATCAACTACCGCGCCTCTGACGCATGGCACCTGAAATGCCGGGCGCCTTGCCAGGGCTCCATGACAGCAGCCAAGACCCCTTTTACTGCCCATCACTGGAGCGGCGCAGGAGCCAGACGCCTCTGGCCGGGGTAAGCAGGTTGCCGCCCGGTCGATTGTTCCACCGCGAACGACACGGGGATTATCCACGCTTGCCGCGAACTCGCGCCGGATGGATTCGGTCAGCCTACGATCAGCATAAGCACTCTGTTTGAAATGGACTTGCAACGTTCGCGGCTGGGCGTGGATGCGACGCTGTGCCTATGCGAGTTGCAGCGCAGGGGCTCCCGCGATCTGCGTGGATACGCAATGCTCCGGCGATGGGCAGGTTCACCGAGATGGATCAAGATCAAGGCATACATACAAAAATAGGTTGGTAGACTGATACCGACGCGATCGACTATAAGAGGATCTCAGGATCCGCTCCTCGACGACGTGGATCATCGCAACACAAACAACATCCAAATCACCACAATCACCCCGTCAAACGCACTCTACCGTTTCAACCTGCACTTGAACAGCCGCCACAATGGTTCAAATCTCGACTCAGACTGCCATCGTCACCCTCCTGGGCATCGCCTCGGGCGTCCAGGGCTGCGCCGCGCCCAAGGCCAACCAGCCCTCCATCGACCTCGTCGCCGAATTTGAGGGCTTCAACCCCAACGTCTGTAAGTGCAGCTCATCACCTTGAAAAGCGCGGGACGCAGCTAACAGCCGCAGACAAGGACCCCGTCGGCAAGGACACCGTCGGCTACGGCCACCTCTGCCAGCAGGCCGGGTGCGCCGAGGTCAAGTACCCGATCCCCCTGTCGGTCGAGGACGGCAAGAAGCTCCTCAGCGACGACCTGGCTGTAAGTGCACCCAGCGACCAGCCACATACAATAGGACACGGTTGACGACGGGACAGGTTGCCGAGACTTGCATCACCATGTCGACGGCGCAGCCCGTGACGCTCAACGCCAACCAGTACGGCGCGCTCGTGAGCTGGGCGTTCAACATTGGCTGCCCGCAGGCGCGCAGCTCGGATCTCATCCAGGGGCTCAACGCGGGCCGCGCTCCGGGTGACATTGTACCCATTGAGCTGCCCAAGTGGAACAAGGCGGGCGGTCAGGTCCTGCCTGGTCTGGTTCGTCGCCGTAAGGCTGAGCTGGACCTGTTTAACACGGCGACTGGCGATGGTGCGCTGCCAGCTCCTGGCTGCTAAATGATGTTGGCTTGAATTTGTGTGAGAGGAGCTTTGCTCTACCGTGTCTTTGTGTGATTAGCGGTTTAGACGGCGTCAAGTATCGCCAGACAAGAATACAATCTGTACCGTCGACCACAGTGAGCACTTCGGTGCCTTGGCAACCCGATCGTTACATGCATGTGCGTCAAAATTGCCAACGGGGGTATAGCTAGAGTCTGATGCCCGGCTTCCTCTTGGGCTCGAGCATCTTGAAACATCACATTGAATGAACAGGCAGCCTCCCTCTTCCATCGCAAGCAACATGGCCATCAACCCGGCAGCTCCCACGTTGGACCCTTCGGTGCATCGCACGAGTGGGCAAATCTCGCGGCATATCTTGCATCAGCCTCGTTCGTGTTTTCGCACTCAGGGTCCTCGGCGTATGGGTCTACGTTCGTGTTCGCAAACTGCATACGCTTTGCTCGTCTAGCCCGGACGACGACAAGAAATGCCAGTCCGAGCAGAGACACGGCGATGATGACGCCAAGGGAAATTTCCACTATAGTGCCCGTGCTGAGGCGTCTCTGTTCAGAAGTTGGCTCTTGTTGTCCACCACTTGGGATGGCCGTTGTGCTCGGTTCGTGATCCGTTTGTTGAGGGACAACGGTCGTCGACAGTGTCGGAGCGGTCGTCGACGGTGGCGCCACCTAGATTACATCAGAATCATCTCGTCTCTCATGGGTTCCGATGCGGCTCACAGATATTAGCTTAATGCCCCAGGCCTCCAGTCCTTCGTTCAAATACGGGGTGCGCGTCACTGGCGCCTCTGTCGGGGTGTCGAGACCAATGTCGGTGATCACGCCCGTCCATACTGCACCTGACGTAGCGGTCGCGTGGCATCCGTATTCATTGTCCTTGCACATGAAGGAAAACACATTGCCGGTGACACTGCACTCACCGTTATCAACTATCCATGTATGGGGAGTAGCGCAGAGGCTGCGCACCTTAGGCAGCAAGTTACCGTGCTCACCGGCTTGCCCCTGCTCTCCGGCCCGGCGGTCGCACAAGCACGAGTAAACCCGGGCGGACAATCGCCAGTAGTCAGGTAAGGAACCCCCTTGGTCGATGACGGAGGCCAGCAGTCTCCCGTCGGGTAGTTGCCAGTAAACACGGGCGTTGGGGTCCCATACATGTTACTGACGTAGCCGCTTCCCAGTAGCACCCGGTAGTAGTTTGTACTGGCGAAGCATGATGTTGGCGCTGTCCATGTTGATGGGAAGCTCGGCAGAGACGTGGGTAGGGACGTGAAGTTGATCATTTGGTGCGGCAGTGGCAAGGGGTAAGTATGTTCTGCAAAAACTGGACATTCAAAGCATGAGGGGATACGCCGCAATGGGACTCCATGGGCAACGGCGTGGTCGAAACGTGAAAGCAAGTTGCAGGTCGTGCATGTAGCGCGAACTTGATGCACCGGCACAATGTTACATGCTACTGTATTTGATTGTTGCGTCGGCGGTGTGACGACCCGGCTAGGCGACAGCATCCTCCAGGCGGGCCATGTTTCCAAGCGCCAGATGAGTCGAATCAAATGCTTCCTAGAGCTGCCACACCCTTACGCCTGCATCAGGACCGTGTACGTGATGGCTGGCTATTCGACCGGTCTGGGTCGCGATGCCCCCCGTCCGTGCTGTTGGTTCTGTCTACATGCACGGAGACGGTGCTAGTCAGGTCTGGCAAGGATTGTCCTCGGCACCTCACCGAAGGGAGAGGACCGAAGTTGGCCCAAACGCAAAGTGAGGGCTTGACGTGAAACAAGAATATTTGGATTCTGTTCATGCGCCCATCGTTCCCGTTGGTGTTGCCCGTCACCGAGAGTAGGAGATGGCCGGAAGAAGGCAAAGTTTGTACCAATTCGCCAGAGGCTCTAGACCACGTACGGCTGAAACTATCCTCAACTCTGATGAGCCCCTCATCCTGTACCTACACTCAACGCCAGAAGCACGGCAGTCCATATTACAGCAAAATCATCAATGTCGTCATGTCCCGCGCCGCCCAACCCCCGTTTGTCATCCTGCCCCAACTCCATGCCGGCCAGTATGCGAATGGACCGTTGACACGTCGATCAGGCCAACTCGACCGGCTTTTGATATTCACCCAAGGACCTAGCAGGTAGCTCCGAGAGCTTGTATTCCTGCCGATAAATATCCTCCTTTGGGCACAAGTCCGGAGACATGGATGGTTTCCATGTTACGTTGGTCGGAGGACGCCGCCGGCGCCGCAGGAAGAAGACCAGCGCACCAACAGCGACAAGCACGCCAGCAGCGATGGCCCCTGCCGCGATCCCAGCCTTTGCACCCGTTGAAAGTCCAGCGTCTTGATGTTGTGGTGTTGCTGTGACTGGTGGTTCGCCACTCGTCGTCTCGGTCGACATCGACGTTGACTTGAATCCGGTCGCCGAGGATGTCGAGGATGTCGCCGTCGAGGTTGCAGTCGCAAAGTCTCCAGATTTCCATCTAATCGCCAGACCATAGGCGTTGACGCCTCCTCCTTCTACCACGGTGGTGGTCCAGCCAGAGCCGACGAGGCTGGTAGTGTATGTCACTGGGACGATGGCCGGATAGTCTATGGTGCACAGGTTTGTGCTGTACCATGGCCATGCGCCATCGCTTGGTTGGTGGCATGTGTAAGAGCTGCAGTGGCCATGATTAGAAGATGAACGGAGCAACGCTAGACCCTGGCACTTTGATTGATGCGATGAACCTACTTTGGGCAGCATGTAGCCCGGGTTTCGCTGCCGACGACGCTCGAGCAGGCGACTTGGTACCCCGACGGACAGATTCCGGGAGAAAAGTAGCGCGTGGGCACCTCTGTCCAGCCGGATGGAAAGCATGCGGACGAGCTGCTCGAGCCGCCGAGCTGAAAGTAGTTGCAGCGGGTGGAGTGGCAGTCGACGGCCGAGCCCGTGTAGTCGTACTTGTACAAGTCGACCAGACAGCTTGACGCCGGCGTAAAGGTTGTGGTCAGAGCTGGCGCCTGTGGTGTCGTCGGGGTGGCCGTTGTGGCAGACATGCTTGATATCACGGCGTCGACAACGACATGTTCGGAGTGGTGAATCTGACAACGATGACGCGAAACGTCGAGAAAACCATTGCTGGAGAAAGGGAGTCGGCCAGCTCGTGCATTTAAGCCGGCTTCTCACGCAATGCAGGAGGCAGGGGAGCCCGACTTGATGAAGCGTGTATTCCCATTACGACGCGCACGGTCCAATCGCTGGTGATGGCGGCGTCAATTGCGGCGTCGTTTAAGCGCCCGGGAGGTTGAGGCTGGCGGCTGTTGGTTACGCCATCCAATGGCGACGGTTGCGCAACCGCTCTCATGCAGGTCGCGTCTGGCCGCTTCTTGGTGTCCCTCGCACAAGCCTTGTGTCCGATTGTGCCGTTACGCTACCTTTTATAGATTCATGGGGAGTCGTGGATACAGAGACGATCCGGCGCTGTGGAGTAGGCGAGAAGTTCCGGGCAAAGCGTTGCTGCTCTCGGCATCGTCCGGCCGAGACAAGATCTACCAGGGAAACTCGCCTCATGCAGGCCACACGTGAGGTCAGCACCAGCGGGCTGGATACGAGGATAACGCCGAGAAAAGGAACGTCGCGAGAATTGACACATTCTCATGCACAACGGACTGTCCAACGTCGTCTACGTCGCAGTTTGGGCGGGATGAACAATGTCGGCCAATCTGCATGGGCAATTGCTTTGCCAGGGCACCAGCCTGGCGCGGGGCGGCTCGATTGCCACATCGATTGTGTTTCTCATCTTGGCGCCATGTCGACTCTACAGTCTCCGAAATGAGGAAACCAAGGTGCGGCCTCGTAGGTTGGGCCTCCTGAAGATGGTATGCTGCGACGTGGACTCAGGGCCAAGGTGCGATTCGGCTGACGAGCCAGATTTCATCCCCGATACCAGCAGCAGCAGCCGTGGCCCAACTCGTTAGCATGCTCAAGTTTGCGCATGGCCAGTTGGAAATTTGGCGCATTGTTGAAACTTGCCTTGCACTCGCTACGGCCGTTGCTTTCATCGTGGTATCGGCAGTGGAACACAGAAAGACAATCAGACCTTCCAATGCCATCGTGGCCTATCTCCTCGCCATGCTTGGGAGCGATGTGTTTGCGCTCACCCACCCCGGCCACGCAGGAGTTGCATCCACCGGAAGCCAGAATGACCGCGGGCTGACTGCGATCACGCTCGTTGTCCGTCTGACCCTGTTGGCGTTTGAGTGTCGAGACAAGAGCCCTGCGCTGTTTTCCAAGTATGCTGGGTTGTCGCCGGAGGAAACGGTAGGCGTGCTCAGCAGGACCTTCTATTGCTGGCTCGCAAGCCTGATGGCCCTCGGCAATAAACGGATCCTCTGCCCTGGAGATATGCCTCCGCTCGACACGCAGCTGCGAGGCGCCAAGTTGCGCGGACAGGTGCTGAAGCATTGGGAGAGTCGAGGTGCGCATTCACCGTCTGCCAGAGAAAAGTACTGACTCGACACAGAGCAACCAGCGGACAGCGCGACGTTGCTAAGGGTCCTAGCCCGCTGTCTCATGGCGCACACACTTCATCCCATCCTGCCACGGCTTTGCGTCACCTTCTTTCGCTGCAGCCAGCCGGTGCTCTTTCGACGAGCCATGGAGTTTGTTTCCGGGACGACTGAGCATGCCGAGTGCCGTGGATACTGGATCTTGTCCGCCGCCATTGTCATCTACGGTGGGCTGGCTGTAAGTCGCCCGCCCACCACAGCCGTGCCAAGCTGACCAACAGGTGTGCACGTCGCTATATCGACATCGCCTGAACAGGCTCCAGATGAGCATCAGAGCGTCTCTTGTGACACTCGTCTACGACAAAGCACTCAAAATTAGCTCGACCGTCTCCGATGCAAACAAGGTCGTTACCATCATGGGCACCGACATTGACGGTGTCTCGGGAGCGGGAGAGATGCTTCACGAGACGTGGGGACAGTTTGCTGAACTCGCAACGGGCATGATTCTCCTCGCGAGAGAGGTCAAGTGGCTGTGGCCCTTGCCCCTTGCCATCATTGTTGGTATGCCAGTGTCAAACGCATGGAGTGAAGCACATCGCTCACGTTACTGTAGCGTCATCCCGGGTGAGCAAGTACGTTGCTGCCAACATACGGATGCGACAAAAGAACTGGACCGCAGCGACGCAAACGCGCATTTCAACGCTGAGCTCCACACTGGGATCCATGAAAAGCGTCAAGGCCATCGGGTTGGCAGGCCACCTGGGAGACTACATTACAGACCTTCGACAGGCGGAAATCGAAAGCTCCAAAGACGTGCGGTGGATGCATTGCATTTACAATGCAAGTGGTTCGTGTGAAACCTAGCCCTGACGTCTACCATCGGTGCTGACAGGCAAGCGAACGCCGTGGGAATATTCACGCCCGTCGTCACGGTCGTGCTGTTTGCGCTCGTCGCTGCTGCGCAGGGTGTTCAACTAGATGCGAAGACCACCTTTACCACCACTGCCATTCTCGCAGTCGTGACGCACCCGGCAAACATGATTATGACCATTGTGCCGAGGGCCATCGCTGCGTTGGCGAATCTGGAGAGGATCCAGGCATACCTGCTCGAGCCAAATCGCATCGATGAGACACGTGTCGTAGAGCGCGGTGACCAACAGGGCAGACCAGCTGCAATTCAAATGTCCAGCGTACATGTGCAGTTCGAAACCCGCGACACGCCTACGCTTCAGGACATTGAACTTACCGTCCCACGTGGCTCCCTGACGGTTTGCTGCGGTCCAACAGGCTGCGGCAAGTCAACCTTGGCCAAGGTCATCCTCGGTGAGGTGTCGCCCACCGGAGGGAGTTGTGAGGTGTCCTCGAGGCGCATCGGGTACTGCGACCAGAAGCCCTGGATTCCCACTGGCAAACTTCGAGACATTGTTTGTGGATTTGCCGACGCCATAGACCAGAGGCTGTCCTGGGATGCGATGAGGGCGTGCTGTCTCGATCACGACCTTGGGAGGCTGCCGGACGGAGATGACACTGTGGTCGGGAGCAGGGGCATCAACATGTCTGGTGGCCAGAGACAGAGACTGGTGAGGCGTGTGCAGTCTGCGTGTGAGATTTTGCTAACGGAAGCAGGCTCTTGCTCGGGTGCTGTACTCGCGTGCTTCGATTGTCGTGCTCGACGATCCCTTTAGCGGCCTCGACGGGAGGACTGAGAATGCGGTCGTTGACAGCCTACTGGGCCCGAAAGGGTGATTCAGACGGTTCGGTATAACGGTCTTTGCGATTGGACATTCTGGTAAGTCGACATCCATCGATTTGTTGTTTACACTCTGACCGCGCAGGCCGCCACTTTGACGCCGCAGACCGTATCATCATGTTGGGGGACGGCCGGATCATCGCACAAGGATCACCTGCAACAATGAGCGGTTACGTGGCGAGAGCTCAAAAGATTTCGCTCGAGAATCAGCAAACAGACAAGAGGGACTGGGATGTCAGTCTCTTGGCCAAGCGGGTAGAGGATCCCGAAGATGACTTGCATCGCAAGGCAGGGGACGCATCGCTCTATGGTATGTTCCACCACTCAATCGCTCGCAAGTACTGACACGAGTAGCATACTACATCAAGTCAGCTGGCTTTGGCAATTTGGCAATCCTCGTTGCCTGCACTGCGTCGTACTCGTTCTTTTCGACATTTCTGCAATACTGGCTCAAGTGGTGGACGGCCGACTCCGGCAATACCGCACTCTACATTTCGGGATACATGCTGTTTGCCTTTGCTGCCTGGATCTCGACGAGTGCGCAGATGTGGTGCGTGTCTGCCAGTTCTCTCAGTGCGATTCATGTTGACTGGGCAGGGCCACATTCATACTGCTTGCACCGAGATCCGGCCGCATACTGCACCAGGCCCTCCTCGTCAGCATCTTTGGGTACGATGTCCGGCCTATCGGCATGGAGCACAGCTAACGATCTAGGGCACCGCTTTCTTACTTTGTGTCGATAGATACGGGGGTTACACTCAATCGGTAAGTCTTTGTACGTGTTGGGCCTCCTACTCTAACCCCATGACAGGTTCAGCCAGGACATCTCACTCGTCGACCGGCAGCTCCCTGTCGCCTTGTCGGGACTCTGCACCCGTAAGTTGTGGCTCGTTTGTGAGGGACTGCACGCCAACAAGTTTAGAAATCCTCAAAATGATTGTTCAGCTAGCCATCCTGCTGCAGGCGCGGAGGCAGCTGTGGCTGTCACTGGCCGTGTGCGTTGCGGTCGTGTACGCCGTGCAGTGCGTCTACCTGCGGACGTCTAGACAGCTCCGCGCGCTGGAACTGGAGTCGCACTCGGCGCTGTATTCGTGGTTTCTCGAAACGGTGAGTCTTGGTCCGACCGACCGGCACAACATGAGCTTACTCTACAGGTGGACGGCGTGGTGTCGATTCGGTCCTTTGCGTGGCAAGCCAGCGCGACGGCCAGAAACTTGGAAGGGCTGGATTCTTCGGCGCGGCCAGAGTATGCCCTCATGTGCCTCCAGTGCTGGCTCAACCTCGTGCTGGATCTGCTCGTCGGCCTCGTTGCTGTGGGAGTAATTGCCGTGGCCGCTGCGCTGGAGGGACGCTACGGGGGAGGCGAATCTCGGCATGTCGCTCAACATCATTCTCGTTACGAGCCCGACGCTGGTTCGGCTCGTTCAGTCGTGGACATCGCTGGATGTGTCCCTGGGAGCCGTGGCACGGTTGAAGAGTGCAATCGAGGAGACGCCCAGTGAGGACAAGCCGGGAGAAGGGCTGAAGCCGGATGCCTGGCCGACACGGGGCGACTTGCATGTCAGAAATCTCTCGGCAGGGTATGAGTATGTAGCCCGACTTGCCACAGACGTCGCTAACAGACGCAGTCTTGAGAACATGGTGCTCACGAGCGTGGACCTCGACGCATCGCCGGGACAGAAGCTCGTCATCTGCGGTCGAACGGGCAGGTATGGGTTCGCCGGAGCGTAGCACGTATTGTGGCTAACAACATGCAGCGGTAAGAGCACAATTGTGCTCAGTCTGCTGCGACTGATTGAGAGCTCCGGGTCAATCAACGTGGACGGCTTGCCCCTGTCGCACATCAGGCGGTCCGCAATCCGCGACCAGTGCTTCATCACCGTCCCCCAAGATGCTTTCTTTCTCCCCCACGCGACTCTGCAATTCAACTTGGACCCATCGGGACGGGTACCGCGAAGCATCCTGCGCGATGCCCTACTCAGCGTGGACATGTGGGTGCCAGTGTCGGCCGTATCGCCAGGTGCGGATCCCTTTGACCAGCCCATGTCGTCGCTGCCATCATTTTCTGTTGGCCAAATGCAGCTGCTTGCCATGGCCCGCGCCGTCGTCAAGAGGCATGCACTGGCTGGCGCTGGCGAGTACCACGACGATGAGCCGTGCAGGCCCATTCTCCTGCTAGACGAGGCGACGTCGTCGCTGGACGCGGCGACGGAGGCCAAGATATACGACATTGTTCAGAGCGTGTTTACTGAGAAGGGATACACAGTGGTCATTGTCGCTCACAGGGTCAGCATGCTGGCGGATCGGATGCGGCCAGGAGATCACGTCGCCTGGATTCAAGACGGGCGAGTGGTCAAGGTGGGCAACGCTGATGATCTGCGACGCGGACTCGAAAGCTGGCACGAGGGACAGGACACGCATCTCGAATAGATGAGCATAGCTCAGCCGTATCTGACACCGGCAGCACCCTCCTTGAACCAGTCGTCGCTCGCCAGCGACTCCTCCGCCGACGCGTAGTTGATGATGATGCTCTTGGTTGTCGTATAGGCATGGTATGCATCGACGCCATTCTCGCTCCCTACGCCGCTCTCGCTCGTCGCCCCGCCCCAGGGACTGCTCGGGTCATTTCGGTGGTGCGTGTTGACCCAAACGATGCCCGACTCTACCTGCTCAGACACGCGGAATGCCTGGGCGAGATCCTCGGTCCAGATGCCCGCGCCGAGCCCAAAGTCCGTCTCGTTGGCGAGCTGCACGGCCTGCTCCTCCGTCTCAAACGCAGCGAGGACGATGACCGGACCAAACGCCTCTTCTTTCCACAGAGCGGGACGGTCGGCGGGCGAGCCCATATGCTGCAGCAAGATGGCGGTCGGTGGGTAAAAGTAGCCCTTGGAGAAATCTGTGCCATCGAGAGGCGACAATCCAGACATTCGGTGACCACCGCAGAGTAGCTGTGCGAGCTCAGGGCGTGACAGCGTTTCGCCAACGAGGGCTTCGACCTTGGCCAGCTGGCGAGACGAGACCAGGGGGCCCATTGACGAGTCTGGATTCGTCGGTGAGCCCATCCGCCGTGCCATGGACTCGCACTTTTGCTTCAGCCGAGACATCAACTCAGGCAGCACGCTCTCGTGGACAATGATTCGCGTGGCGGCAACGCAGGTCTGTCCGGAGGCGATGAATGAGCCAAACGCAACTCCATTGACGGCCGCGTCGAGATTGGCCTTTTCGAAGATGATGAGGGGCGCCTTGCCGCCCAGCTCGGCCGTGTACCGCGCCAGGTTGGCCCCGACTATAGATCCGATGGCCCGCCCAGCCGCCGTCCCGCCCGTGACGTCGACCTTTCGGACGAGCGGATGGCTCACGAGCGCCTTGCCCGTGACGGGGCCCAGGCCAGGGAGCACGTTGAAGACGCCGTCAGGCACGCCCGCCTCCTTGAGGATCGGGCCCAGCAGCAGGCTCGTCAGGGGCGTCAGCTCGCTGGGCTTGAGCACGACGCTGTTGCCGGCGGCGAGCGCGGGGGCGAGCTTCTTGACGGCGATGAGCAGCGGATGGTTAAAGGGCGTGATCTGGACGACGACACCGAGGGGCACGCGCTCGAGCCAGTTGTGCAGCTTGCCGCTGGTGGGGAGCACGGGGCGCTCCTCGGTGCGCAGCACGGCGGCGTAGTAGCGGAACCAGCGGACAAGTGAGGGCACCTGCGCGTTCATCTCGCGCACGGCGCGGCCCGTCTGCTGCACCTCGAGGGGGATGAGCGTGGGGAGGTGCTGGGTGAGGAGGGCGGCGGCCTTTTCGAGGACCGAGGCGCGCGTCTCGCGGGGGGCCTTGGCCCAGACGCCGGACTTGAAGGCGCGGTGGGCGATGGCGATGGCATCGTCGACGTCGGATGCCGAGGCGGAGTGGCAGCTTTGCGGTGTCAGTGTTGTTTGGGATGGTTGTGTGGTTGACTTGCCTGGCAAACGTCTCGCCTGTCGCGGGGTCTTCGACCGGGATTCTGTGGGTGTCAGCGATATGGACATGGATATGGGAATGGCTTCACTTGAGCACGTACAGGTCTCCGTGACCGACGGTGTTGCGGCCATCAACCCATAGCTGGTACGCACTCATTGCGACGGGATAGTCAAGGTGAGATGTAAGTTGAATTTGCCCTGGTCAAACTATCAACGAGGCCTGGGCGTCGGGAGTTGGGATGAACCATTGCAGATCCATCGATCGTTACCCCGCGCCACTGCCCCGCTGTGGGCACGGGCGGGAGCCAAGCCTCGACGCGAGCCGAAGCCGTGAGCGCCATCTGCAGGGGTCAGCCTCACAAACGTGGAGCTCGTCTGCCAAGTGTTTAAGCTGCGAGCAGATTTCATTTCAAGTTTGGAAACAGGGCTGAACCAGGCTACAAGGCAGTGGTTCATCCGACTCATTTGCCTACTGGCTCATTGATGTTGACGTTCCGGGCTGGACAACACTCCGATGATGAAGACATGATGATGTCAATTGGCAAACAGCCATCGAGGGTCCTGTTCCCCCATCACTATAGCCAAAGGACCTAACCCCAGGCCGATCAGCCTACTCCCTCCAGCACGTCGTCTTGTACGACTGAATCACGCCAACCCAGTCCCACTTAAAGTTCTTCTTGGTGTCGACCTGGTAGTACGGCCCCTGGCGGCCGCCGCAGTCGTTGGTCTCAAACATCTGGATCTTGCACCGCGTCGTGGGGTTGCTCTGGCTGTTGGTGGCGTAGTACTCGATGCTGCGGGCCTTGTGGACGTGCTCCCGCGGGAGCAGGTGGCACCGCGAGCCGGAGCCGCCGGGGCCCGAGTTGGTGTAGTAGTCGCCCGACTGGTTGTCGCCGTGGTACAGATACACGCGCCAGGCCTCGGTGGTGGGCGCCAGGGCGACGGCGGCGGCGGCGGCGACGGCGGTCAGCTTCATGGTGGCTATGTGGTGGATAAGGAAAGAGTCAGTTCTTTGAGGCAGTCAGTACGCGCGCTGCTTGGATATCTTGTCTGCTGCCCTACCTGGTTGAGATGCCTGTTTGACTGGTGATCAGCTTGCACAAGTTCTCGAGACATATGGTCACTCTCGCGTCTTATATAGACTCACGCTCATCGTAGGAACTCCTTTTCATTGAATACACGTGCGTCGCTTCGTTGAAGCCATTGGAGTTCCATCTCGAGTCCGGGCTTGTCGGAGCAGTTTCCATCGTGAGCACACTCTATCCCATCTCTTGGTATGCGCGCATTCACGTCCGGTCGCATTCACCGGCGTTGCTTGGGATCCACCCGGTGTTGGAACGCGGCGCCAAGTCCGACGCCGACGACTCTTCTGGCGTTCTGTGCGAGGCCGGCCAGCAGTTGCTGATAAGCGCTAGCCCCGTTCGTCCGGCCTGCACTCTACATTGCACCGCACGCCTCGCCAACTGCCTCTGCGCGGACAAACACCACAGCGCTCTTTACTCTTGGCAATACTGTAGGACGAATATGTCGTTGAACCTAGCTTGCCATAGACTGTGTCTGAATACCGCACGTGCTCAGTTACGGAGCTTGGTCGAGCTCAGACGAGGCAAGCGCAGCGTTCAACAGAGGCACCGCGCAGTCTGGACTCGAATGGACAGGCCAATCAACTTTGTCTTTCCGGTGAAGCATCTCGAAGATGACGGTATCAGGCTCGTCCCGCACCGCGCAATCTGGACTCGAATGGACAGGCCAATCAACTTTGTCTTTCCGGTGAAGCATCTCGAAGATGACGGTATCAGGCTCGTCCCGTTCGATGTAAGTCGCAGCGCCCTGCAGCGTGGCATCTTATTGACGCGCTTCTAGGCCAAGGCACACGGACACCGCTTCCACGCGAGCATCGCACGCAGCGGCGGCGCGGCGTTTGCGCACTTTTCCAGTGGCCCGTATGCCTCGGCGGACGAATTCATCGAGCAATTCGTCCTAACGAGGAGCTACGCCGACAAGCGCATGTTTACGTTTGCCATTCTCGTCGCCCCCAAACACCGAAGCGACGGGGCGGACCTGGCCGGCATGGTGTCCCTGACCAACGCCGATGCGGAAAACAGGCGCGCGGACATTGGCCTGCTGCATGTGCTCCCAGAGGCACAGGGCCGGGGTATCGGGACGAGGGCCTGTCGTCTGCTGCTTCGGCATGGCATGGACTCGCGTGAGCGCGGCGGTCTCGGGCTGGTGCGCATGGAGTGGCGTGCCAGCACAGCCAACGATGCGTCGATCCGGCTCGCGCAGAAGTTGGCCCTCAGAGAGGTCGGCGTGGTCAGGTACGAGAGGCTGCTCAGAGACGGCGTTGCAAGGGGCAAGGTCGGGAACGGCAGGCCGCCGCCGCCGGGGACGGCGGATGGAGATTTGTGGCGAGACGTGGTGGTGTACGAGATGACTTGGGATGAGTGGCGGCGAACACAGAAAGACCAGACTGAATAGATTGACTTGGCACTGTCTCTTATACACATCTAGATGTGTATAAGAGACAGGACTTGGGATGAGTGGCGGCGAACACAGAAAGACCAGACTGAATAGATTGACTTGGCATGTTCCACCTGGGTCGTCAAGAGAGTTGAACGGCTACGCTGACGGACTCGGACTGAACATCATGATCACACAACCAAACTGCGCCTGGAGGCCACCCGACCTCACAACCGCTGCGCAACACCATACTTGGCCCAAAAGTCACACCGCGTATTCAGCGCCTGTCCAAACGGCTCCATCTTCGTCTTGGCGCCCGTCTGGAACACGATCCTGCTCTGTCGGCGCGACGACCACGCCTCCCACCGCGCCGTGCCCTCGCCAACGCAGCCCCTCCCCGCACTAGGATCGAAATGCTTGATAAAGTTGACCCAGTAGCACTGCATCACCGGCGACGCGCGCGCATTCACCCCGCCCTTCTCGTAGCTCTTGGGCGGACTGGGCGCGTACTCCGGCCCCCAGAGCGCGCTCAGCTCGACCGTGTGCGGCACGCCCAGCCCCTCGGCCATCTGCTCCGGGTCCTCGACGTCCCACCGGTAGGCAAACGAGCGCGCCACGCCGGCGTGCGAAAGCACCGACGTGAATGCCCGCGCGGGACACATGTAGCGCGCCTCGCCGTACACGTTGCTGAGCTGCCGCCAGTAGCACCCCTCGTGCGGACACGTCGTGTTCGGGTTCGGGTACAGTTTGTTCGCCTCGGTGAGCTGCGCGAGCGTCATGAACGGGTACTGGTCCAGCATGTACGAGTTGCTCTGTGCGAGCGTCGAGGTGTTGCGCGGCGCGAACCGCGTCCCGCCGTTGGTGTCGTCGCCAAAGATGGTGGGCACGCGGAGGAAGCGTCCCTGCTCGAGGAGGCGGTACGTGTAGTCGGGGACGAACTCGCCGTCAATGGTCGGCAGGTACATGTACTCTGGAGCTAACGCAGCGCCTGGCAGCGGGATGTTGAAGTTTTGGGCTTGGAGCTCCGCGGCGGTCTTGTTGCGCAGGCAGGCGAGGCTGTCTGCAACGGCGCAGCCCAGGCGTGCGGCTAGATGGCGATACTGGTACCCGGCCTCCTCGACGGTGAGCATCGTGGCAAAGGAGGGCGACTCGGCGATGGCGCCGTGGAAGAGGCGGGCGTCGGTGCTGTAGTTGGCCGTCAGGTGCAGGGCGACGCTCTCGGCACCAGCGCTGGACCCTCCGACGACGACGTGGTCGGGGTCGCCGCCAAACTTGGCAATGTGGTCCTGCACCCACTGCATGACCTTGAGCTGGTCGCGCAGCCCGTTGTTGGGCTTGACGGCGTTGGCGTCGTCGCCGCCGTTGCTGAGGAAGCCGTACGGCCCGACGCGGTAGTTGAAGCTGACGACGACGATGCCAAAGTCGCTCGCGGCGATCAGTCCCGAGGCGTTGATCTTGGTGTTGGAGTTGAGGTTGAAGCCGCCGCCCTGGATGTAGAGGAAGACAGGGAGCTTGGAGCCCGCCGATGCCTTGGTCGGTGCCTGGACGTCGAGGAAGAGGCAGTCGTCAGACGTGTCCTTGTCATTGGGGTCTGCACCGGTGGCCAGGCACGCTCGACCGTACTGGGAGGTGTCAGCGGCATGAAGCAACGGGGCATGGACTCGCGAACCTTGTCGGCGGGCTGCACTCCGGTGGTATTCTTGGGGTCGTGCGGCGGCGCGAACCGCAAGTCGCCCACGGGCGGTGCGGCGAAGCGGATGCCCAGCCATTGACTGACGCCGTTTGCCTGCGTGATGCCCTTGTACCTGCTGTATCCCAGGTCTACCGTTGTGTCGACGGCCGCGACGGCCACGAGCAGCGTCGATGCAGCGGCTGCAAATCTCATGGCGAAGGACTGTATACTCGCGCGCATATCCGCGGGCTTGCCCAGACACACAATTGTGAAAAGTGCCAGTGTCGATGCGGCTCACCTAGACTCTTATGGTAAGTCAGTGGTCATCGACGCTATGATGAGCAACCGACGGGACACGCCATGGTGTCATTGTGCAGCGACCTACCAGTGCGCCGGCAAACAAGCCCGGCATCTCCTCCTCCCACACGCCTGATCGGCCATATGCCGGGATTTCCTGCGTGGCTTACGATCTGCGTCGTTCCCCAGCACCCACCCCGCGCAAGGATGATATCCAAGGGTTGTGGCGGACGGGACGGCGCGGGTTGCAATGCACGAGGCAGGACTCATTGATGCCGTCGGTCGGATTTCGGATGGTTGCGAATACTCCAGGCATCCGTTCAGGTCTGTTCCATCAGGCGAAGAGCACCCAATGCCCAAACTCAAACGCAGCCTGCAGAGGAGCAGCAGCGTCCGCAAGTCCGCACTGCTGGCCGGCCGAGATCTGGGGGGTTTCCTATTTGGGAAGTTCGGCTCGGCGCCGGTTGGGCGGGGCCGACAGCTCTTTAGCCGGGGTTCGCTTCCCCGCGGCGGCGTCGAATGTCTTGCAGCTCACCGCGTTGGTTGTCGCCGACGTGGAAGCTTCAATTGGGTTCCTACTGCGGGCTGCATAGGTTGCATGATGCTGGGGCGTCCAACAAGTGCTGAACCCCGGTGAGGAAAGGCGGAGAGCCGGGTTCGAACCTTCGACCGGTTCGGCCAACAACCCCACACTCTGCGGCCAAGATCGCATGTGGCGTCTGACATGCATCGAACAAGCATCCGGATCAGGCGCGACGAAGAAGCGGAGTTCTGGGTCGTCGCCAGCCTCTGTTGGCAGTCAATGGCGAGGCGCCAGCTAAGACGGTGTCGCAGAGACACAAACGAGCGACCGCAACCTGCAGCCTGCACGCACACTCAAGTCAATTCAGTAGTCAACGGATGCTTCCCTGGACTGTTCTATCTGAGACCCGACATCGGCCGTCTTGCCGTGCCCGAAATAGCGGACTGCGCGTGGCGGCTAAACGGCGCGGGGAAACATCCCTGACCGCAGGCGCAATTCACCGACGAGACACTCGAACGTTAGGGTCGGTGGTTTCGCGATCCCTCATGTCGATCGCAGTAACACAAGCTGACAACTGGGGAAACCAACCACGGTGGCCTCGGGTGCGATGCCAAACAGTCGCTCACGTACACCGCCCAGCCACCTACAGCAAGACCGCTTCCATTACATTAGACTGAAATCCGAGCTACACCTGGTACCGGTCCGTGGCATGCTGCACCGGCCGATACGTAAAGTAGTCGAACCGCGCCTCTGTCGCCTCCCCGTTCAGATCCGAGCACGCCACGCCCACAAACGCACCCGTGAAGCTCCCGTGCGCCGCATGCCCGCCGCACTCGTCCGACACAATCGACGCGTCCAGCACGGGCCCAACCTTGCGCAGCTCCTCGTCCTGACCCTGGCCCAGCACGGCGTAGTAAAACTGCAGCTCCCGCCCGCGAATCGTCAGCGCCAGCTTCACCTTTCCCTCGCCGGGCAGCGCGAGGACGCGGCCGCCCTCCTCGCCCGCGCCCAAGGGCTCGAGCTTGCCGTCGGGCCACGACTCCTCGGAGCTCATGACGGCGAGCTCGCGCGCGCCGTGCTCGTCGGCCGTCACGGCCAGGTAGAAGAAGTTGAAGCGCGAGTAGTACGCCGTCAGGCCCGCAAAGGTGCGCTCGTCGCGCGGCGCAAAGTCGACGACCGTCTCGGCGTCGTAGGAAAAGTGCGTCTGGCGTCGCGCCACGAGGGCCTGCTCGAACCACGAGCCGATGGCCTCGCGTCCCGTGAGCACCAGCTGGCCGCCCCTGACGGCAAATATGCGCTCCGGCTCTGGCGTGCGCAGCCACTGAAAGTCCTTGTGCAGCTCGCCGTCGATGGCAAAGGTGTATCGCTGCTCGGCCCAGTAGCGCGCCTCGTCGCGGGTGCCGGGCACGTCGACGTGCAGCGACGGCACGGGCCCGTTCTTGACGTACAGCCATCCGTCGTCGGCCCAGGCGGCCTCCTGGATGTTGGTCTCGCGCCCGAGCACGCAGCGCCGCTCCTGGCCGGTCGGACGGCCGCCGAGGTGCACCACGTACGTCTTTCCCTCGGGCGTCTCGACAATGTCGCCGTGGCCGGCTCGCTGAATCGCCGCAAAGGGCGCGTCCTTGGACGTGACGATGTGCTTCTGCGGGTGCGTCTCGTAGGGGCCCCAGATGTCCCTGGACCGGGCCAGCGTGCAGGCGTGGTCGTACGCCGTGCCGCCCTCGGCCGTGAGCAGGTAGTACCAGCCGCCGCGCTTGTACAGGTGCGGGCCCTCGACGAGCGCGAGGTCGGTGCCGCGGTAGATGTTCTTGCGGGGGCCGACGAGCCGGCCCTGCTTGGGGTCGTACTCCTGCAGCGCGATGCCGGCAAAGAGGTGCGGGCGCTGGCGGTGGTCCCAGAGCATGTTGACGAACCACTTGCGGCCGTCGTCGTCGTGGAACAGCGAGGGGTCGAAGCCGGAGCAGTTGACGAGCACGGGGTCGGACCAGGGGCCGTCAATGGCCGGCGCCGTGACGATGTAGTTGTAGCAGTCCTTGAAGGAGCCGTCCTTGCGCTTGACGTCGGTGTAGACGAGCCAGAAGCGCTGGCCGTCGTGCGTCAGGCACGGCGCCCAGATGCCGCAGCTGTCGGGGTTGCCGCGCATGTCGAGCTGCGCCTTGCGCGTGAGCGGGCGGCAGACCAGCTCCCAGTTGGCGAGGTCGCGCGAGTGATGGATCTGCACGCCGGGGAACCACTCAAACGTGGACGTGGCGATGTAGTAGTCCTCGCCGACGCGCACGATGGACGGGTCGGCGTTGAAGCCGGGCAGGATGGGGTTGCGCATGAGCGGCATGATGGGCGGCAACGACGGGACTCTGGGCCAGCGACCTGTGACGTGGTGCAGTGTTGCTGGGCTCTCTCGACGCGCGACGACTTACATGAAGCATCGCGACTTTTAAGTAGCGGCGGGCGGGTCGCGGGCCGGCACCCGGCGGCTCAATGCATTTAGCCAAAAGCGCGATTGAGGGGGAGGGGCAGTGCCAAGCTTGAAGCTTCAGACGAAGACGACGGGAAGAAAGCTGGCAATCGCATGACGGGCAGTTGATGGAGCCATTTACCCGCGGTTGCGCTGGGGAATGGGGAATGCGACAGCGATTTTAAGCGGTCGTACCACAGCTCGGCCAACTTGCCCCAGATGCGCGTGGAGATGGATGCGGGACAGACGCAGGACATGGAGTCAGGAGTCAGGAGTCAGGACCGTGACACAGACATGCTCACGCGACACGGCGCATCTCTCAGACGTAGACTGTACGTAGCATTGCTCTATCGATGCCCTGCAGTGTGCACCACGCTCCCCCAGCCTCCTACACAAAGCGCACATTCCCAAAGTAGGGCGTAATGTGGAAGCTGGCCTTGTTGGGCGAGCTCCAGGCGCCGAGCTCCTGGTCGGGATACGTCTGCGGGCTGGTGACGGTGCGGAAAAAGTTCATCCTCCACCGGGTGCCGCGCGCCTTGCCCTTGTCGACGTTGAAGAGGCCGAGCGGGATCTTGACGTCGCTGCGCCAGTACTTGCGCGGCTTGTCGAGCTTGGTCGTGGCGCTGAAGCCGTCGGCGGCCGGGTCGCTGACGAACAGGTGGTCAAAGGGGGCGCCCTCGGCGCGCACCTTGGACGGGTTGTACACAAACGCCTGGTACGTGACGTTGTTGGGGTTGACCTCGAACTCGAGGTACGTCTGCGGGTCGTCGGTGCCCTTGTAGACGAAGGCCTCCATCACCTCGTACTGCCAGATGTCGCCGTTGGTGCCCTGCGACGCGTTGAAGTAGAAGTTGACCTCGTCGTACGCCGTGAAGCCGATCTGCAGGTGCTCCGCCGAGTAGCACAGGTCGACCTGCGTGCGCGGGAACGGCTTCTGGTCCGGCACCGTCTTGGAGTACGTGATGGACCCGACGCGCGGGCACGCCGGCACGTCGACGCTTGGCACCCGGTGGGCGCAGGTGGCCGCCGCGAGGCCGGCCGTCATGGCGACGACGGCGGTGACGAAGCGAGCCATTGTCCGAGGCTGCGTGGGCGTTGATGGTAGGCTTCTGTTGCTGCAATGCTCGCTGGCGCTCTGGGCCGTGATGGGACAATGAGCTGCGGTCGTTGTCTCGGGCGAGGGGGAGGCGGCCGGCTGGCACTTTTTTATCGGCAAGGCGACGACGCACGATGCTGCAAACACCCGGAAGCGAAATGAGGCCCCTAGCTGCCGTGATTCAGGGAGAAACAAACACAAAAAACCCAGTCCGTTGCTGGACCGGCTCGCGGGGACGTGCGGGGGAGACAGAGAAATGTGACGTTACCAGACCAGAACCAGGCACAGAGGCGGCTGGCAGCGAGTTGCACAATATTGGAGAAATAAGCACTAGACCAGGGGGAGGCGGGTTCCCCAGAAAGCACCTTCTTTTTCTTCCACCCCGGCGTTATCGCCCTGGCGTCGCGCCCGCTCCGGTCCTGCATTTGCGTTCCGATCAAATGCCCAGCCCGCAGGCGCCTCGTGCAGCGCGAGAACTCGCCATTGATGTTGGCGAACGCCTCGAGGTAACGTTGGGTAGCATTGGCTGGCTGGCGGGCTGGATGTTGGCGGTCTTGGAGCAGGCACAGAGGCACGCAGAGAAACGCCAGCTGAACTGTTTTCCTGCGGGTTGCCATTGAGCCGCCCGCTCATGCAGGCTCGTCCCGTCTCACGCACGCGACGTGGAGAGGGGGCCGGAGGACCACACATGCGCAGGAGGTGCGGCTGCTGCCGAGCTCGAGCTGTCGGACGACCCGACGGCTCCCTCGTCAGGGTCTGTCGCATGGGCCGGCTGGCGGACCGGATCTGCGGGAGCTCATGTCTCGCCTCGGTCTGGACTGGACCCCAACGCTGACCTGTCATGGAGCCTCGAACGGTGCATCGAAGGCATGGTTGCAGCCGGTTCACGATCCTTGCCGGGCTTGGGCAATGAGTCCGTCACCTGATGGCGCCCTCGACACGCGAATTGCGGCGAGCTGGTGAAGCGAGGCGGATTGGACGAACCTTGGTCTGCAATGGCGGTGCTGCCGTGTCTCGTGTCTGTGTCTCGACGGTGTCGCCACCACTCTGCCCCGTGGTCAAAAGCCCTGGTTGAAGTGAGTTGCCGTGCTGGGTCCGCGCTCTGGAGGGTACCATCGAGGAGCCGGCACCAATGCGCAACAGACATGCAACGAGCAATGTGACAAGGCATACTGCTTGGCGGCGGTTGTCAGTGCATGTCGGTCGACAGTGACGAGCCATTGGGTGCTTGCGTTGCATCGGATCACTTCTTGGCATGGTCGGCTCATCACGCCGAAGGGGATCTGAGTTTCGTGTAAGTGGTTGGTCATGCTCGACCGCGACGCTTCACACTCACCCAGCAGTACGGCTCATCTCGCGCGCGGAGTCACGATGGAAGATGGAGCTCGCTCTACATAACAGGACGGAGCCACAACGTGCTACGAGGTCGTTCGGACGGCGTCGAGGGGAACAGTCACACTGCAATCTTGTTCAGTGACCGTGATACAGCGTCTTGATCGCCTACGCTCGGCTGTCTGTCCTGACGCGGCCCCGTCGACGCCTACTATACACTCAACAGCTCGCAAACGCTGTCTTGCGGCACCATGGCCTTGGCCAGGCTAATCCTCGTGAGGAGCTTCCACAGCCACGAGGTTGACACGCGGCCCGGTAAAGTTCTTCCTTCCATCCACGATCCACTGGACAACCGAGATGATGACGATGATGGCGAACGCGACGACGCAGTAGTCTACCCCCGTTAGCCACGCCACGCCACGCCACGGTCGAGAGTCAAAGGAACGCACTCATGTTGGTGCCCGTCACCGGCAGGCCCGGCGGGAACAGAAACAGCACCGTCGTCAGCGAAATGTACGCGAGCGAGACAATGTCGGCCGTCCACCCCAGCCAGCCGGGCAGCCGCCACTTGCGCTCGGGCAGCGTGTTGCGGCCGCGCAGGCAGTTGACGGCAATGGGCATGGCGTACGAGAGGTCGAGCGCGACGACGGACCCGGCGATGATGGCGTTGAAGGCGCTACGCATGTTAGTCTGCGCGTCGGATGCAGTGGCCGCACTGGCGATGCCTCACCTGGTAGAGCCCAGGAAAATGAGTCCAAAGATGATGACGACGCCCGACGTCAGGATGAGGGCGTTGAGCGGCAGGCCGAGCCGCGGGTGGACTTTGGCGAAGAAGCGCGAGGCCGGGAGGCCGCCGTCTCTGCTTCGGTCAGCGCTGCTCTCCCGTCATTGTATCTGGCGCCGCACCTTGCAAAGGCAAAGATCATGCGGCTGCTCGTCGTCATGACGCTCAGGGTCGCAAAGACGAGGCACACGAGCGGCAGCCTGCAGAGTCAGCATGAGCCAACGCTGCCATCTTCGGAGCGCTCACATCAAGAGGCAGATTGCCCCGGCGTTGCTGTTGGTCGCGTGAATGAGAATCTGCAGCAGCGGGCCGGCCGCCGAAGTTATCACGTCGTTGATGTTGCCTGACACGAAGAGCAGCACAATCAGGAAGATGGCGCCGGTAAAGGTGCCGATGCCGACGCAGACAATCATGATCTTGGGCCCTTCGCTGGACGCGCCGGGGATTTCTGCGCCGGTCAGCGAGTGCCCACGGGGTCGGTGCATCCTCAATTACCTTCAATCATGTGCGCCACGGCGTCCTGCCTTTGTGAGCAAGTGAACCTGGTCGCAGCATCAAGTCTGACTTACAAATGCCGTCACGCCGAGGCCGCCTTGGAGGAGCTGTGTGATGTGAGCGCGCGGTCGTCATGTGGAGACGCCCACTTACACCGAGGAGCCAAGCAACGCCATCGGGCCCTGTCAACGTCAGCACTCCCTCGATTTCGCTCACGTTCGTAGACACCTACATCCCGTCTGGTTGATGAAGTCACAAAAGACAAAGTACGCCGAGTTGTAGTCGGGCGCGGCGCAGGCCAGCACCGTGATGGACACCAAGACGAAGCCGCCGATGGACCAGATAAAGGCGCCGCGGTAGATGAGCGGCAGCAGCGAGTTCATGCAGGCGTTGATGACGAACGAGAGCAGCGTCAGGCCAATGTAGATGAGGAACTGGTGCCACCGTTGCGGCTCATACGACTGAGGCTGTCAGCGCGGCCACGAGAGTCTGGCAGCGGCGGGTTGCGTACCGGATGCAGAGCCGAGATGACGCCCACGATGAGCTGGCTCGACAGCAAGGCATTGGTGGCCACGAGTGCAACCTACGAGATGTTGAGCAGGGTCCAGGTAGACAGAATGGATGCAGGGAGCGTACCCAGCCAGCCACGTTGATCCAGCCAGTGACCCACGACAGGATCGGGACCCATTTCGGCCAAGAGACTATGCGGTCAACCTAGTTTGCGGCATGCGAGGGGGGACGACATACTGACTGCGTCTGTTAGTACGAGAACAACGTTGGGCCGGGACTCGAGTCTGGAACTTACCGGCGACCCAATGATACTGACCGCCGGCCCTGCAAGCCGTCAGTCACACGGAATACGAGCACGCGAGTCCAGAGGAAGACGCACGTTGGGTAGGCCGACAGGAACTCGGCAAGCGACGCCGCGATGCACAGGTTGCAGACACCGGCCGTCACCAGACCTGGGTGGTCGGTCAGCTCGCCATGCACCGATGCAACCCCGATGCGGCACACATACCCCATACGACGCTCGTGCTCCCTCCCGAGGTGAGGCTTATTGACAGACTCGCAGAGAGCGCAGTCCAAGACTGCAAATCGTTAGTCCAACGTCGCCCAACGTTCCAGGTTGCTGCGAGTCAGCGGCCGCTGCCGGTGGGACCTTACATTGAGCACCGCAAACGCCAGCCCCAGCATGGACCTGCGCGGCGCAAATGTCAACGCTTTGTTCTGCAGTGGCGCGCGCGCGTCAGTGCTCGGGAGCCATGCCGACTTACAGCGTCGAAAAGTTGCGCTTCAGCTCGGGCTGGTGGCCCATGGCCGCGAGCTGCGCGTCGTCCTCGTGCTCGTATTCCTGCTTCATGGCGAACAAACTGCGAGACCAACCAAGAACATGCCAGAACTGACAGACGAACGGGATCCAGGGACAGTCAGATCGGGCCTTGCAAAGCACTGGCATAAGAGCACGCCGCCGACTGACCCCAATGCCGGAGCGCGCGGGCCTCCGACACTATCGTCCTGCGGCGCCGAGAAATCCGGGCTCCGGAGGATGATTGCCTACGGATAACTAGCTGCTTTGGGCCACCCGCGGCGATCTGTTGGCAGTTATCGCAGCGGCGAGGCCGTCGGGTGGTGATGACGCCCCACGGGGGGTGATTGCTGCCGCGATCAAATGCGATGCCTCCACCGATGATCCGCGAGGGCAGCGTGCGGGGAAGTGGGGGAGCTCAGCAATCAGGCTTGTCAGGGCCCCCGGCGAAGAAGCCTCGAACGGCCGGGCCACGAGGTCGGGCTGGATTTCGGTGGAGCCGCGAGGGAGGCAGTCAGGGGCAGCGTGTGATAACGGCGTTGCGTCCGGGCAGCGCCGTGGACCGCGCGGCGTGTGGGCTCGTCGAGCTGTCACTCGACCCGTGCCAGGGTGCGCCGCGGGCCATGAGATGGTTATCTGCTGGCGAGTCGTGGAGTCGTGGGCGTGTGTCAGCCGGGCGCGCGACAGGGATGACGGGATCGACTGCTGCAGCTGCAGACCGCGCGCCGCGCTCCAGTCGAGATTTGCTGCGCCGGCCGGTGGAGAACGGGGAGCCGTGCATGCGGCCTGGCAAGGACGATACGACTCGCCTCGACTTGGCTCGACTCGAGTGGAATCCGACTCCGCCCGGCAAGGAAGGATGACCGCTGTGCCGGGACCAGACTCGGGACTGGGACTGGAGGGGGGATCGACCAAGGTTTGTCGTGTCGCAGAGCATATCCAGCTAATTCCTTTTGGTCGTGCAGTGCCTTGTACAATTGTATAAGATGGCCGCTGCGGCGCGACGCCCGAGCCACATCTGAGACTGCGAGCCTCGACCCTCGACTCGGTCCATTGGCCCTCTTCGTCTGCTGTGCAATGTTGTCCAAGTCGTCCCTGTGCGTCCTTGCCGCGGCCGCGGCCTTGTGCGACCGCGCTGGCGCCGCGGTTGCGGGCGGCGAGAATAAGCATGGCGCTTGTCGTAAGACGAGCGTCGCCATCTTGTAAGTGACGGGTGTGATTCCAAACTCTGGGGCAATGCACTGACTGACTCCACAGGGGCGGAGGCATGGCCGGCGTCACGGCGGCTGTAAGTGCCATGCCATCAGTCTTCCAGATCAATGAAGTGACTAACACGACGCAGCAAGCGCTGCACAACGCGTCCATCTCCGACTTCGTCATCATCGAGTACCAGGACCGGATCGGTGGTCGGGCCCAGCACACCACATTCGGCAAGCAAAAGGACGGGTCGCCGTATACCATTGAGCTCGGTGCCAACTGGGTGCGTTGTCAGTCATCACCACTTGTCGACGCCGCTGACCTCTGCAGATCCAAGGACTGGGCAAGCCCGGCGGGCCAGAGAACCCCGTGTGGACGTTTGTAAGTGCATGCCTCCGTTGACGCTGTGCGACTGCGTGACACGCGCTCATGACCCGCCGCAGTCCAAGAAATACAACCTCACAAACACCTACTCCAACTACAGCTCCATCTTGACGTACAATGAGACAGGCTACACCGACTTTAGCCACCTCCTCGACGTGTACGAGGAGGCCGCCAGCGGCATGAACATCGAGGCCGGGCGCCTGCTGGCCGAGAACCTGCAGGACCAGAGCGCGCGCAGCGGCCTGGCCCTCGCGGGCTGGAACCCGAAGCACTCGGACATGGCCGCGCAGGCCGTCGACTACTGGAGCTGGGGTAGGTGCACATCCAAGAGCCGTGGTGGTGGTCGATGCTGACGGCGGCAGACTGGGAATCTGCGTTCCCCCCCGAGCAGTCGTCCATGATCTTTGGCGCCGCGGGCAACAACCTCACCTTCAACCAGTTTAGCGACGAAAACAACCTCGTCGTCGACCCGCGCGGGTACAGCGCCATCATCGACGGCGAGGCGGCCACGTTCCTCAAAAAGGGCGACAAGCGGCTGATGCTCAACACCAAGGTGGCCAACGTCACGTACTCGGACCACGGCGTCACGGTGCACAACGAGGACGGCAGCTGCGTGTCGGCAGCGTACGCCATCTGCACGTTTTCGCTCGGCGTGCTGCAGAGCGATGCCGTCCAGTGGCAGCCCGAGCTGCCGGCGTGGAAGGCGACGTCGGTGCAAAAGTTCGGCATGGGCACGTACACCAAAATCTTCTTCCAGTTCAACGAGACATTCTGGCCCAGCGACACGCAGTACTTCCTCTACGCGTCGCCGTCGGCGCGCGGCTACTGGGCGCTGTGGCAGTCGCTCTCGACCGAGGGCTTCCTGCCCGGGTCCAACATCATCTTCGCGACCGTCACCAACGACCAGTCGTACCGCATCGAGCAGCTCTCGGACGAGGCCGCCAAGCAGGAGGGGCTGGCCGTCCTGCGGCAAATGTTCCCCGACAAGCACGTGCCCGAGCCCACGGCGTTTACGTTTCCGCGCTGGACCAAGACGGAGTGGTCGTACGGCAGCTACTCCAACTGGCCCGTCGGCACGACGCTCGAGATGCACCAGAACCTGCGCGCCAACGTCGGGCGGCTGTGGTTCGCGGGCGAGGCCACGAGCGCAGAGTACTTTGGCTTCCTGCACGGCGCGTGGTTCGAGGGCCGCGAGGCCGGCGAGCAGGTTGCCGGCCTGCTGCAGAACCGCTGCGTCAAGGTGTACGACGGCAAGGAGATGTGCGGCGCGCGCACGCGCTACGAGGACCTGCATGGGACGTCGCCGCTGCACCACTACAACCTGCTCAACGGCTGGGCGACGAGCAGCTTTTACGCGAGCAAGCGGAAGCGGGAGGCGTGATGAGGCGAGGCTGCCGACGAGTGTACATATTGATTCCATTCAACCACTTACACGGGCCACCGTAGATACAGTACATCCATGGCACATTGCATCCCTGCCCGTCGCTGTTGTGGTTGCCCGTTGCTGTTGTGGTTGCATTTACACACATCTCACAACTCGCTTGTAGTTGCGCCGGACAGTCGGCTACGGCCGCTCGGCACGGCCATGCCACGTTTCTTGGCGGCGATGACGACCTCGAAGCGAGGCCATCTCGACCAATTCGGAAGGCGAGTATACGGCACATGGCTGTGGGGCATCCCCAAACGTCTGCGTTGACGCCATCCTGCTCGTTCAAGACGCCAGGCCGTCGATCACCCGTCGCGCCGTCGGCACGATACGGCCGAGCGAGACCCCGGCGAGGCGCCGGTCGTGTAACCTATATAAGTGTCCAGCTCGCGGGGCGAAGAACGAGCGACGACAGCATTCGCATCGCCAATTGAGCATCATGGTTGCCATCAAGATTAGTCTTGCCTTGCTGTGCCTTGGCGTCGCGGCCAAGGACTACCACTTTGACGGTTCGGCGGCGAGCAATGGCGACGGCAGCGAGTCGTCGCCGTTCAACACCCTTGCCGGGGTCCGCGACTTACACCTAAGCCCCGGGGACAACATCCTGCTCCGGCGCGGGACCAACTTTACTCAGGCTCTGGAGCTCCGCGCCGGCGGCTCCGCGACATCTCCCATCACCATCCAGCCATACGGCGACAATGGCTCGGCACGGCCCGTCGTGGCCGCACAGCCCGCGCAGCTGAGCAGCATCCTGATTGATAGCGTGTCGCACGTCGTCGTCCAGGACATTGAGGTGACCAACCGGGGCGACAACAAGACGGCCCGCCGCGGCGTCTACGTCTACGCCAAGGACGCCGGCGAGGTCAAGGGCATCACCCTGCGCGGGCTCTACATCCACAACGTGGAGGGATACATGCCGTCCACGACGACGGGGGGCCTTCCCGTGGGCAAGTACGCCAACGCCTCGGGCGGCATCGTCATCGAGGCCGCGGGCAACTCCACGCCGACCTATTTCACCGACGTGCTCGTCGAGGACAATGTCATCGAGGCGGTGGGCCGGCAGGGCATCTACACGTGGACCAACTGGTGTCGCAGGGACGCGCTCGCGCAGTTTTGGTACACCCTCTGCACGCAAAACTGGTACCCCTCGACGGGCCTGCGCATCAGGGGCAACCGCCTCACCAACATTGGCGGCGACGGCATCGTCGTCAAAGGGCACGTCGGCGCGCTGACCGAGGGCAACCGCGTGACGACGTTCAACAACGGCTCCGGCGGCAACAACGCGGGCATCTGGGCCGCCAACAGCGACGACAGCGTGTTTCGCCGCAACGTCGTGTCGGGCGGCAAGACGACCAAGGACGGTGAGTCTGCTGCTCACCCTAGACCCCATGAATCCTCCTAACGCGGGCGCGCGCACGCAGGCATGTCCTACGACGTCGACCACTCCACGTCGGGCACCGTCTTCGAGTACAACGTCTCCCACGACAACGAGGGCGGCTTCTTCCTGCTGTGCCCGTACGACAAGCCCACGCGCAACTTTACCATTCGCTACAACCTGTCGGTCAACGACCGGGCGCGCGTCTTTCAGATCTGCTCGGGGAACCTCGTGGGCGGCAAGATTTACAAAAACACAGTCATTGTCGGCGACGGGCTGTCCCCGCAGCTCGTCACGGCGCCCAAGGGCCTGAGCCTGGACGTGCTGCTCGCAGACAACATTGTACGCAAGTCTGGCGCCGGCCGGGTCGGCTGGACGCTCGACAGCCCGCAGTTCAACGTCACCCGGAACGCGTTCTACGGCGCCATCGACACGTACGCGGGTGCAGTCGGCTCCGTGACGGCGGCGCCTGGCCTCGCGGCGCCAGGTCTGCGAGGCCCCAACGCGTATCGACTCCTGACGGGCTCGCCAGCGCTGGGATCCGCCATTGACGTCTCTGGCGACGCGCAGGCCGATTTCTTTGGCAACCCGACGGCCGCGCACAAGAACCTGGGCTTCTACAGCGGCGGAGGGACAAACGTGCCGCAGTGGATCAGCGCGTTCGACGACGGCAGCCTCTCGGGATGGAGCACCACGGGCGCCGTCTCCGTCGTCGCGGACCCGGCGGGCGACTTGGGCAAGTCGGTGCAGGTCGCGGCCGGCGGCACGCTCACTCGCGGCGTGACGGCCGCGCCCAGCCTGCGCCTCGATGCCCGCGTGCGTGTCTCGCGGGCGGGCAGCGGCGCGTCGGTGTCGCTGGGTACGCACTCCGTGAGCCTCGGGGGTGTCGTACCCGCGGACGTCGGGGCCTGGCTGGTCTTGGAGCTGACGGTGACGGCGGCCGGGGCGAGTGCGGTGCTGGACGGCAAGCCGGTGACGGTTGCGACAAAGACGGGGGGTTCGGGGGTTGCGATTGCGGCAGGGCAGGCGACGCTCTTTGTGGACGACGTGTTTGTCGTGAGTTTGTAAAGGTTCCGTGTAAGCCAGCGTGCGATCACGCCACTCAAGATTCGTGACCCGGGTCTGAAAAGCATGGTTCATCGCCGTGACTCCATTTACCCTCGTCCATTTACCCTCGTCGGCTTCTCGACAGGGGCATCGCTCTGCGCAAGACCGCGACGTTATTTAGCCGCGTCAGCTCCCCCCGAGCGCGGGGGGCTTGGTCAATCCAGACTCCTTTTCGTCAACATCATTGATCCATGGCAGCGAGGCACCATGGCCACCTCCAACGGCATCATCACGCTGCGCCGCCATGACCTCGACAACCTGCGCACCTTTCTCACGGGCCTCGTCGTCGTGCACCACACGTCGTGCTGCTACGGCGGCCCCGGCGACGGCCCGTACGCGTCGCCCCTCGCGGCCACGGCATCGTCGGCGGCCACCGCGCCGCTGCTGTACCTCAACGCGTTCGACCAGTCCTTCTTCATGGGGCTCTTCTTCTGGATCTCCGGGCGCGTGTCGGCGCAGTCGCTGCGGCGCGCCGACGCGACCTCGCGCACGCGCTGGGGCTTCGTCCGGAGCAAGCTGCTGCGGCTGGGCCTGCCCTCGGTCGCGTACACCCTCGTCGTCCACCCGGCCGTGCTGGTGGCGGCGCTGCCGAGCTGGACCCCCGCGTCGGTCGGGCGGCGCCTCGCAGACTACTTCGCGACGGTGAACGGGGTCAAGGGCCCGGTGTGGTACACGGCCAACCTCCTGCTGCTGGACCTCGCCGCTGCGCTGACGGTGCCGAATCAGGCCCGCAGGAGCAGCAGCTGTGGCGCTGGGGAATCCGCCAAGGAGCAGCAGCCAACGGACCGATCCGCCCCTCGAAGATTGCCGTTTTGGTACGACGTGGCTCGTCGATGGGGCTGGGTCGGCGTCGCCGGCGCGTCGTTCCTCGTCCGCCTCCGCTACCCCGTCGGCGCCACCATCAAGCCCATCGCGCTGCAGCCCTGCTACGCGGCGCAATACATCTTTGCGTACGCCATGGGCTTTGCGTCGCTGGGGCTAGAGCCGACCTTTACCGGACCCTTTGCGCCAGACCCCGCCCCCGCCGACAGAGTGCCGTCAGCGGCTGGACGGAGGCTCATCACGGCGTCACTCGTCTCGCTGGCCAGCCTTCCGCTGATCTGGCTGCTTCCACGGCTGTTGACGAGCGGCGCGCACTCTGCTCCGCACGCGCCGCAGGGCATCGAGATGGCCAGCGTCCTCGGTGGCTGGAACCTCTATGCGCTTCTGCACGCGGTATGGAACGAGGCGTCGTTTGTGCTCGTCGGCCCGGCCCTCATGGCTTACTTTGAGGCCAGCCACGGCGCGGCGGCAACATCTGCGCTGTTCCAGGCCAAGGACTCGTACGGGGCGTTTCTGCTGCACATGGCTGTGAGCGTCCTGGTCGAGAAGGCGCTCGACGCGCTCCTCACGTCGAGGCCGTTCGGGGCGTTGGTGAATTGCGCCGCGTGGAGGGCCAGTGGCATGGTTGTAATGACGGGTGTCGCGGGCGCGCTCAACGTCGTTGGATCGTTTGCCACCGCAAAGTTTCTGCTGAGCAAGCTTCCTGTTTTGAGGCGCATTGTATGAGCGGTGGCACCCGGGGAGCGCAACATGCCGTTCTCGGCAAGAAGGGTACAGTCCAGTATTACTGTCCCAGTGTCTGGTCCGTCGGCGCATGCATAGGCCTCATCAGACGGCTTGGCGACGGGGACGGAAGCATTCACTTTGTCTGGGACGCGGCCCCTGTCTCGTTTCAGCCGCGCGAGTTTCTTCATCTAAACATTTGCGCGCCCGCCCAACAACACGCGTGATAAGCTTCATGCTGGGCCCGTGCTGCAAGCCGAGGCTCTGTGTCACCCCATCGCGCAGGAACTCAAATGCAGCATCGTGCAGGCACGACTGTGGCCTCGTCGAGCCTTTGCAGCCTGAACCGCAATCCCACATTGCATGTTGCTGTTTCATGTCCTGTAGCTTGTGATGGGCGGCGAAACGGAGGCCATCGCCAAGGCTTGCTAACCTACACGGGAAGTTGAAGCAGAGGTCAACGTCTCGTCGTCCGCAGCGAATGGATCTGAAACGTGCCCGGCAACCGCAGAGAGTGAAAGAGCACGACGCGCCGCTGCAACGTAGTCACGCGCGACCTGCCCGATCCTGGAGCGTGCGAGATGGCGTAGGGCCACTTTCGGCCCTTTCCGCGCCTTCAAGGCGAAAAGCCAATGTTGAAGATGGGCTTTGCCGCGCGCGAACGGGAAGCCTTGTGGGGGGCTCGCCGTGCGGAGAGTCTCACTGTCTCAACCCTCAACTCAACTCTCAAGGCGCCTTGACGCAACCCATCGGGGTCCACGACGACCCGGCAACCCAAGCCCCATGTTGTGTCCCGGAAACTCTATTGCGCGCCTTGGTTCAGGGCGGGCAGGGGGAGGGGCACACAACAATGCGGTCCTGGCCCTGCCTCCTGAGTCCTGCGCTTGCAATCTTAGGACCGCGATCCTCCATCCTTCGCGCCCGATCTTCCACCAATGGAGCCCACCGCACGTCGACGACGTAGGCGGCGCGCGGTGGGAAAGTCTCGTCGCGAGGGATTCGAGCAGTCACTTTTGGCGTCGCAATTGTCCGAGACGGCAGCGCAGGCGGAGCCAACGGCAGCACGCACGGCCGGCGGCACCACGGCGATGAGATTCGGCAGGTCCCATGCGCCCAAGCTTTCTGCAGCAAGCCACTACGGTGTATGTATGCATCTGGCGCGAGGTGAGGTGATGGAGGGCCGTGATCGAGGTCAAGATGGCTGGATGCAGAAACTATAAAGGGGCCATGGATGGACGGAATTTCAAACTTGTCGATCCAGAGCTCAACTGCATCTACAACGATCAACTCGACTATATCTCTCGCACGCAACTCGCTGCACTCATCTACAGACTTGTCAAAGTTCAAGTACGCTACAACCGCCAAAATGCACTTCTCGGCCATCCTCTTCGCGGTCCTGTCCGTCTTCGTCCCCTTTATCAACGCCGTCACCGGTTTGTGCCCCTGTGCCCCGACAGCACTCGTCCCAGCCTCTCACTAAACCCCCCTGCAGTCAGCTGGCACCCCGACTTCAGCAACTCGGGCTTCTCGCTCAACGGCGTGGCCTGCTCCGACGGCGCCAACGGCATGCAGAAGCACGGCTTCTGGAAGCTGGGCGACCTCCCCACGTTCCCCATGATCGGCAGCGTCTCCGCCATCGCCGGCTGGAACTCGCCCAACTGCGGCACCTGCTGGAAGATCACCTACGGCGGCAAGAGCGTCACCGTCCTGGCCATCGACCACTGCGCCGCCGGCTTCGACCTCTCCATCGAGGCCATGAATGTCCTGACCGGCAACCGAGCCAACGAGCTCGGACGCATCGAGGCCGAGGCCGTGCAGGTCGCCAGCAAGGAGTGCGGCATGTAAGTCGGCTTGCGCCGGCTGCCTCGTCTGGTGATGAGACGGGCAGCAGGACAAACGGATCTTGGTTCTTGGCTGTGGGACGGTATGGGCCGCTTGGCGGCATGAACATAGGAGGACAAATTGTATCTAGCTTCATTCTCAGTCTATAGTCTGAAAAGCTGCCCGGTGCAGCGTGTTTGGGTCGTATCCGCCATGTGGCTAGCAGTGTCTCGTTCACGCCAGGGCCGGTCAGCGCTCAGTCGACGCAGTCGGCATAACCTAGCTGCCCTTGTCCAAACGGCACCCTGTCGTCGAATCACGAGCTGTGCAATCTGGCTTGGGGCATGTTGGTCGACCCTCGTCCGGCTCACTTATAACTTGGCCACTGTGGGCTTTTGCTCATCAACCTGTGTCACCAGCCTGCCCTTGGTGATGGCACTGCGCACATTGTCTATCACAAGCGCCTCCATCCTCCGCTGCGTATCCACAGTCGCGGTGCCGACGTGCGGCAAGAGTACGGCACCGGGATGCTTGAGCAGGCCGGGGTGCACTGCAGGCTCTTTTTCAAATACGTCGAGCCCCACGCTCCAGACCTTGCCCGACTCTAAGCTGCCCACCAGCGCTGCTTCGTCGATAATGGCCCCGCGTGCGGTGTTGACGATGATGACGCCATCCTTCATCATGTTTAGCTGCTCTGCACCGATGAGGCCCTGCGTCGCCGGCCCCAGGGGAAGGTGCACCGAAATCACGTCGCTCGTCCTCAGCAGCTGGTCGAAGCTGACGTATCTCGGCACGCTCTGTCCTCGGAACTGCTCGTCAAGGTTTGCCACGGGCGTCCGGTTGTGGTACTGCAGCTTGAAGCCAAACGCGGCGGCGCGTTTGGCCGTGGCGGTGCCGATGCCGCCCATGCCGAGGATGCCCAGCATCAGGTCGTCTGGATCACGGCCCAGGGGTGTCCCCTTCCGCCATTTGCCAGCGCGTATGGCTTCTTGTGGGATCCATGCGCGGCGGAGGGCGCCGAGGATGAGGAAGAGGGCAGTGTTGGCGGTGGCGGCGTCGACGGCCGTCGGCGTGTTGGAGACGGAAATGTCTGAGCCGTTAGCATTGCGTCAGTGGTATTACGAAAGACGGTCTCACTGCGTCTGTTGCACGGCTCAATGTCTATCTGGTCGTAGCCGGCGCCGTTGTGAGAGATGAATCTGACGGACGGCGGGAGGTGGGAGATGAGTTCAGCATCAAAGCGCCCGGTGATCTGTGCTGTCAGTGGAATTCAGACGCAACGGGATGAATCTGGGAACGTGCCTTGACGGAATCGTACGTCCGCGAGATGGCGACGACATTGCTGTACTTGCCCGCATCGCAGTCGCGAATAAAGTCATGCCGGGTGCCCGAGGTGAGTTGCTGCAGGGGTCAGCTTCCGGTGGTGTTGGCCGCTGGGGTGCTTCACTGCGTACGGTGACGTCGGCAACCTCAGAGAGCTTCCCAAACTCGGCCTTTGCGTGGTGGACTCGGCCGAGCATCAAGACGCCGGGGCGGGGGGAGACGGCCATGGTTCAATGGCGAATCGATCAGGATCCGTGCAGGTGCAGTCAGTGCATGTGGTCGCTGGTGAGATTGAGCGACGTCCAGCCCAGGCAGTCAGCGCTGCAGTTGCCGGCAGGACACAGCACCGCCCGAGCCCCCGCCCCGGCGGCAATCCAGCGTCAATTGCCGCCATACACCACCCCCGGCAAATGCCCCGCCACCCCCAAGCCCAGCGGCGCGCCACCAGAAGCCACCGCGCAACGTCCCCCAAGCTCCCACCATCCCCGCAAAACCATCAAAAGCCTAACGATCCCGGCGCTCGCGCAGTCTCAGACATCCACCGACGGCATTTGGTTCACGATACCGATACCACGATGCAAGCATCACCGACGCAGACGCCGACCGACGTGGCCCGCAACAAGGGCAAGCGCGTGTCGCGGGCATGCTTGTCCTGCCGCCTGCGCAAGACGCGCTGCGATCTGTGAGCACTGCGCACCGCACTGCCCTGCCTTGCCTGAGCACTGAGCACCCAGACGCCGCCGCCAGCTGCATGCGTTGCCCCCCTCGCATGCGCCTGTGCTGCTGTGCATGTGTGACCCTTTGTTTGATGGGACCCGGCGCTGACTGACTGACCGTGCAGCGACGCCGACGGCAAGACGGGCACCCCGCCCTGCAAGCGCTGCGTCGAGCACCAGCTCGAGTGCGTCCTGGCCAAGTCGCGGCGCGGCGGCCGACGCATCAAGGGCGTCCGCGGCAGCCTGCCTCCCGTCAAGAGCGTCGTCCAGCCCAGTGTCATCACCCCGTCGTCGGACGGCGGCCAGAGCAGTGGCATCGCCGCGGAGAACGACGCCGCCGTGGCCGCGCAGTCCCGCCGCGACTCTGAGCTCACGGCGCGCCATCAACATCAGCAGCAGCAGCAGCAACAGCAAAAGCTCCAGGGCTGGCCCTCGCCGCACTCGGCCCCCGCCTGGCGCGACGACTCGCCCGCCTCCACCGTGCCCGAGGAGATCGAAGAGGAGTCGAGGCAGGACTCGGACGGCCTCGAGGGCCACATCACCTCGACCGACCTGCTCAACCCGTCCGACGCCCTGGATCTGCTCGCCCAGGTCGCCGACCTCGAGCCTGGCCGGCTCGCCAGCTCGGGCCGCGACGCCGGGAGCCGCGCCGCCCCCGTCCAGGCCGCCGCCGGCCCGGCCTCGTACTTTCCGCCGATAGCCGACGGGATCCTGACCTGGTCCGAGGCGTCGTATCTCGTCAAGCGGTAGGCCTCCTGTCCGTCTGTCCCTGTGTCCTGTCCTGCGCTGACCCGGTCGCCGCAGCTACCATGACAAGTTCCACCCCTTCTTCCCCGTTGCCAACAGCAGCATCTTTGACGGCAGGCCGCTGGCCGAGTGGGCCGACAAGGAGCCGTACCTGCTGACGGCCATCCTGACCGTCGCCTCCAAGGACGACTCGTCGTGGTACCGCGTCTACGAGGCGTGCTCGCGGTACATGGAGACACTCGTGTCGCGCCTCATCTACTCGGGCTCCAGCAACATTGGCTCCGTCGAGGCGCTGCTGATCCTGGCCGAGTGGACGCCGCAGCGCCCGCAGGACAACTCGACCATCGGCTGCGGGCAAGAGGACCACGGCGCCTGGATGCTGGTCGGCATGGCCATCCGGCTGGGCTACCTGCAGCGGCTGGAGCAGACGGCGTTGCTCCCCGAGGGCGGCACCCAGTCCGTCGACGCGAGCCGCAAGCGCATCGCGTGGGCAGGTACGTCGACTCGCTCCGTGTCCTCGGCATCGTTGTGCTGACCCTGCAGCGTGCTACATGTGCGACCGCCAGGTCTCGATCCGCCTGGGCAAGGGCTTCTGGTCGCGCGGCCCCATCCCGTCCATCAACTGGCGCGCCGCCGACTTTCCGTCCCTGCAGGCGCAGGCCCTGGGGCCGGACAACCTGGCGCTGCTGTTCCAGGCGCAGCTGGAGCTGATTCAGCTGTTTAGCAACGCACACGACATTCTGTACTCGTCGTCGGCGCACAGGAAGCAGCTGTACCTGGGCGGCGAGTACATTCGATACATTGTGAGTTTTCGGCTCCTCGACCACTGCGTATCGAGCGAGGCTAACCGTGCAGGACGACTTTGCCGCGGTGCTGCGCAAGTGGAAGCTGTCGTGGGCCAACTGCACCTGTATGTCACCCCTGCGAGAATGACAACGTCCGATTGAGGCTAATGTCGAGCGCAGTCACGCCGCCGGTCAAGGCGTCGATGGTGCTGTCGTTTGAGTTTCTCCGGCTGTACATCAACGCCTTTGCCTTTCAGGCGACGCTGAACCGCGCCGTGGCGAGGGCCAGCCAGCGCGCGCCGGGGATGAAGGCGCAGAACGTCGGGACGCTGTTTTCCGACGTGGCGGGCAACCCGGACGCGCGGTTCATCTACGAGTCCATTGACGCGGCCAACTCGCTGCTCAGCATCCTCAACAGCTTCGTCGACCCGGTGGCCGGGCTCAAGTGCATGCCGCTCAAGTACTGCCTGTACGTCATCTACGCGGCCGTCTTTCTCTTCAAGGTAAGGGCCCCTGTTTTTCCTTCTACGCACGGCCGGGCTGACCGGGGGCAGGCGAGGTTGGCCGGCGCCATCAGCGGCGAAAACGACGGAGGCGTGCGGCGGGCGATCCAGGGCACCATCTCGCAGCTGCAAAAGTCGTCCAACAACCCGCACAGCCTGGGGCGGCGGTACGCGACGTCGCTGCGGCTGCTCTGGCGCAAGTCGTCGGGCAAGCAGGGCAGCAAGGGGCGGAGGGAGTCGCTGCGGGAGCCGCCGACGCCGGTGCAGGACCTGCGGGCCGACGACGTGCAGGGCGCCGGCGACAAGGCGCTGGAGCTGGACCCGCTCAACGGCTTCTCGTGGCGGGACCTGGACTCGCTGGGGCAGTACATTGCGAGCAACTCGGCGCTGAGCATGGCGGACGGGATGCTGACGGGGCCCGAGTTTGACTGGGAGCACGGCAGCTCGGGGCTGGACGACCTGGCGATGCGGCCGCAGTTTGACAATGTGTGGTCGGGGCACGACATCATTTTCTGATGGGCTGTCTGTTTGTCTCTTTGGTCTGGGCTAGCGGGCGTTGACGGTACACGTGTACATTTTCAGTCTACACATTTTCAAGCGCGTTGTGCGGACCTGACGTGGGATGGTGTTGAGTCTTGACAACTTCAGTTGACAAGTTGACAACCACAGCCGGCCACTCTTTTTGCAACGCAGAAGTGGAACCCCCATCCATCCCTCCACGATGACACCCCCACATCTGCGCCAAACCCACCCACACCCACGAGACCGCACCCGCCATTGGGCAATCGGCCCCTTCGGGAGAGAAAACTCTGCACAACCTCCATAGAGCACAATAAGCCATGAGATCGATAACAAGTCCTCCGGGTGGTCTAGTTGGTTCATGGCGTCCGGCTGTAATTGCTCAGTTTACCGGAATGTCGCGTGTTCGATTCACGCCCTGGAGACTCGTTACTTTTTGTTTTTTTGCGTCACCGTCTGATGACGCTGGTTGTGACGATGATCCTGGCAGCGGCGTTGGCTGGTAGTCGTCGTTTTTTTTGTGTGTCGTATTCACGGCTGTTTCAGGGCTACCGCAATGGCACAATGACAGACTGTTCAGCACATCACACGGGACACCAGCGCGCAATGTCTCAAAGTCATGTTCTTGAATTAGGGTGGGTCTTGCTCTCTATCTCAGCGCAAACGCAACAAACGGCCAAACAACCTTGTTCTATCATCCTCCGCCAGCACCACGCCAACACCAACCGCGCATGTGCTACTCCCAATTCACCTTTCCCACAAGACAGCCTGCCTGCCTAGGTACGTGTACTCAGCGAAACTGGCTGTTCCGCTGCACCGCCAAAAAGGTCAGGCTCCACAGCTGCCGGATGTTGCTCTCCGTCCCGCCCGCGACGCCCGGCGGCGGCGGCAGCACGCCCAGCGGCGAGAACTTGTACCCCGTGCCGGCCGTGCCGTTGGTCAGCGCGGTGCCGTTGCCGGCGGCGGTGCTGTTGCCGGAAGAGGTGCCGTTGGTGGCGTTGGACACCGAGTACGTCCAGCTCCAGACCTCGGACTGCAGCTGCGCCTCGTTGGCGTCGATGACGTCCCAGAGGCGGTTGTACGCGGCCTTGAGCGCGCCGTAGACGCTCTTGTCGCTGCAGAAGGCGGGCACGGAGCCGGAGCTGGTGCTGTTGCCGCCGCCGCCGCCGCTCGTCGTGCTGTTTCCAGACGTGCTGTTGCCTGCGCTGCCGCCGGTGGTGGTCGAGTTGTTCGTCGCGTTGGACGCCGGGCACCGCGCGAGCTGCACCTCGAAGCCGCGCGCCATGAGCGCGAGCTGCCAGCTCCAGACGACCGTGCCGTGATACGCCGAGTTGGTAAAGTTGGCCGTCAGCACCTCCTCGCCCGACAGGGCCGGGTTGGCGACGACGGCGCCCACGGGGGTCGTCAGCCCCGCGGGGAACGGCCGCAGGACGGCATTGGCCGACGCGTTGACAAAGGCCGTCAGCTGCGCGTCGTCGGTCGAGTTGAGCAGAAAGTTGCGAAACGCCGTGTCGGTGTGCGTGATGGGGATGATGTCGGGCGCGTCGCTGCTGTTGATGGCGAGGCCGTAGTCGACGATGGTGCCGTTGGACGAGTACCGCCCCAGCGCGTCGGCGTGCGTCGGCCCCTTGTAAAAGGTGTTTTGCCGCGTGTACTGCTGCAGCAGTGCCGTGGCGTTGTCGACGGTGCGGTTGTACTCGAAGAGCGGCAGCGTGCTGTCCTCCCAGATGCGCGCGCGCGCAAACGCCAGCGACGCCCAGTCGCGCGTCACCGTGTTGTTGGGGTACACGCCGGGCGTGGCGGCGAGCCTCGCGATGGCGTACAGCGCGGCCGGCACGAGCGCCGTGTTGACGTCAAAGGGGATGCGCCCGTTGGCGAGCCCGTACGTCGAGTCGCGCCACTGCCCGACCACCTCGCCGTCCTTGAGGTGCACCAGGTTGTCGACCGTCTGGTTCGTCTCAAACGCCGCCGTCAGGTTCATGATCTTGCGCGCCGTCGCGTAGCTCAGGTCGCGCCACGTGAGGTTGCTGTTGGCCACGTCGACGCTGCCCGCGCGCGTGTTGAGCAGCGGCCGGACGCGGCCCGGCGTGCTGTTGAAGTAGCGCTGCATCAGGATGGGCAGGAAGTAGTCGGTGTCGATCATCGGGTACGTGAAGCCCGCGGCGGTCGAGGTGATGTTCTTCTGCTTGTTGAGGTACGTCGCGTAGTCGCCAATCGTCTCCTCGTGGCACACGGAGCCGTCGGTGCGGTTGATGCGCTCGAGCGCCGCGCCCAGCACCGCCTCCATCGCCGTGCCGTTGCCCGTGCTGAGCACCGGCTGGAGCAGCAGCGCCGCAATCATGGTGTCGCGGCCAAAGTACGTCAGGAAGCGCCATCCGCCCGCGAGCAGCTTCTCCGTGTAGGAGAAGAAGGACAGCGCCGTGACCTGCTCGGGCTCGCTCTTGACGAGCGACTGCGACTTGTTGTTGAGGATCTGCGCGGGCTGCAGCTGCTTGAGCTGCGGGTAGTTGAACGACGCCGAGAAGCGGTAGAAGCCGGCGCCGAAGCGCACCGTCGAGTTGGTGACGCGCACGTCGGTGTCGTTGTTGCGCCAGGGGTAGATGGTGAGCGTCGTCGTCGTCACGTTGTCGAGCCAGAGGCGCGAGATCTGCGCCCCCGTGCCGTTGTACTTGGCGATGCGGTTCCCGCTCTGGATCTCGGGGCTGAGCAGGCTGGGGCCCTCGGTGAAGTCGCGGATGTTGCGCACGCTGCCGAGGATGGCCAGCGAGAGCTCCGCCGTGTCGTTGAAGGAGAGGACGCCCTCGACGCCCACGACGGGGTTGCGCGAGCGCGACGACGCGTTGCGGCTGTACACGGGGCCCAGCGGCGTGCCCAGCGTCGAGTTGACCATCTCAATGGCCAGGCTGCCGTTCTTGCCGTCCTGCGGCTGGAAAAACGTGCAGATGCCGCTGTTGCCCGCCGGCCAGGCGACGATGAGCCGCGGGCCGATGATGCTGAGGTTGCTGTCGGGCAGCGGGCTCGTCACCACGGCCTGCGCGTCGACGTTGCAGTCCGAGTAAAAGTAGTTTTCGTACGGCGGATCGGCGAGGTGCAGCGTGCGCGCGGCGCAGGACGAGTTGCTGCTGCTGCCGCTGCCGCTCTGAGCGAGAGCGCCCAGCGCGAGGCCGCACGAGGCGAGAATGGCGTGTCGTAGCATCGCGAAGCAGTGCAGTCTGTTTCTGTCCGTGCCGCCTCAATGCTCGAAGCTTGTCCACGAAACAATGGCACTCTCCTCGCCGTACATCAGTCCGACTTATACGTCCAGCCGCGACTCCAGCGTCGCCCGCCGGCCCGACGACGTCACGCAACCTGCCTTGCCGGCTTTGCACCTGCGCCACCCCGTCACCTCAAGTCGGTCCGTCTGAGGCACCCAGGGCGACGTCGTCGACTCGTCGAGCACGCCGGGCCCTCCGCGCACCGGACGAATAGGTGCCGGCAGTTGCGCGGGGTGCCGGGGAAACTGTGGGGTCGCCATGGGAAGCATGGCGCCCTCCGTGCTGTCTTGTCACTCTAGTGTGTCTGCGAGCAAAGGCCCGTGGCACCATGATTTTCGTCCCAACCGGCTAGCATGGAGCCAAAATTCCCTGTATGGTGGCCAACACGGCACCTGCTCATGCCGTCATGTCGCGATGCCCGTCCGGAGAATCATGCGATAGAGCCTGAATGGCGGCTTTGCGCGAGCAGGGCCACAGACCGGGGTGGTCCTCTGGCAAGCGTTGTCGGAGAGGAGCCCCGGCCGATCGACATGAGGGGTTCGGCCCTACTTGCAGCTTCACGACGGGCACCGCCCCGTTGCTTATTGTCTTAGTCACAGAATGTTGACACGCTACGCCGGGCATGCTTCGACGACGGCCTGCGCCAACGACTGATGGGGCACGGCGCAGATGCACCTGGCGGCTGCAATCACCCGATTCCAGGAGGGGTGTCCGCGTTCAGCACTGCATGACGCACGACGCGCCCCGGCGAGGCATTGACTTTTGCGTTCTGGAAGTCACTTTGCGAGGGATGGGGCACCTCCCGCGGGCCGGGCGGGCGCCGGAGGGCTCGGATCCGGTGCGGCCCCGCCAGGCCGTTGGGCTTGCCTAATCGGGTCCGTCCAGGCCCGGGCGTTGGGCCGTTGGCTCTGCCAGCGTGGAAATGTGCGCCGCTACGAAACGATGCATCCCGACCGGATCGTTTGGAAGTTGCAGTCATTCCAATCGTCCCGGATCACCGGCGCAGACTACGAGTGCAGCGAGGTTATAAGCCAGCACTCCTCTCCGTTGAACTGTTGGAATGCCACGCCGTCGCCAAACCTTGATACTCTAGCCGAATCCGACGTCTGCCGCGCAGCCGATGATTGTACGGAGAATTCACAGCAGCCTTGATTCCATTGTTTCGAGCATGAACTCTTAGCGCGCGAGTCGCTGGCGGTGGTATCTGCAGGCATCACCTCATCATCGGACGACTCCACGTCGGCCCCGGTCGTGTAGATGCAGCCAGAGCCACCGTCCCGCGCGAGCCACCCCGGTTGCTCAAGATGCGGAGTGCCCTTGGTGTCGGTCCGACATCGATGCCGCCGCGCGTCGTCTCCCGGGGGAAGTGTCTGGCCATTGGCTCTGGTTTGGGCCGCGCGAGCGACGGGTCGCGGGGGAGCTGCCGGTGACATTGCGCTCGTGTAGTCTGTAGCCAAGGCTAGTGTGAGTGGTTTTGCCCTCCCATACTCTAGCTGCGACGATGCGCTGCTCTAGGCCGTAGCAAGTAAGTTGTGAGATGGAGACTGCATGTGGGTTCTGAGCTGCAAGCTCCGTTGACACTTTCACTCGGTTCCCGTCCCGCCTAGACGAAAGGGATCATCATCATATGTACATTATCATTAAATCTCGTAAGCCGCTACCGCTAGTAAATGTAGATGAACTCGTCGTTCTCGCGGTCCGTCATGTCGAGGAACGCATTCTCGCCCAGCTTGGGCTCCGGCACCGCCACGCCCTCCTCCTCGACGGGGCGAATCTCCATGTCGTCGACCTCGCGGGCGCTGTGGTAGTGGTCCTGCATGGAGCGGTCGACGACCTTGGCCTGCTTGCCGTTTTGCACGCGGCGCTTCTCCTGCAGGCGGTTGAGGACCATGAGGTTGGCCCACTGCATGAAGATGACGGCGACCAGCGCGACAAAGATGCCCAGGCAGGCGCGCAGGCCCGGCTTGTACTCGGGGGCGTCGCGGTCGTTGAAGAGCAGCGGGCCGATGATGTTGCCTGCGGAGCTGGCGGCGTTGTAGACGCTCATGATGGCCGACTTCTTGGTCGTGCCGCCCGTGTTGCCGACGATCCACGTCACGATGAGGGGGTTGCCGCCGAAGAGGAAGGCCAGCAGGTAGTAGCCGACGAGGAGGGGCGCGCGCGCGTTGCCGTCGCGCTTGACCGAGTAGAGCACGGCCAGGCCGGCGACGACGGGCAGCATAAAGGCGGCCAGCACGGCGCCCTTGAGCTTGGCCTTTTGCGCCAGCCAGCTCGCCGACAGGATGACGATGCACTGCAGCGCGCCGAACGGCATGTTGAGAAGACTCGTCTGGTACTTGTCGGTGGCGATCCCGTTGAGGATGAGCGGGCCAAACGTGTTGGTGACGCTGGCGCCGACGTTGAGCAGCATGGCCATGCCGATCCACAGGTACGTCTTGGGCTCGAGGGCCGTCTCGAGGACGTGCCGCCACTTGAAGTCGCGCGAGCCCGTGCCCGTCTGGTTGGCGCGCAGGCGCTCAATGGCCTGCGCCTTTTCGTGCTCGGTGAGGAAGCGCGCCGAGGGGATGTCGTTGTCGAGCTTCCAGTAGACGAACGGGGCGGAGACGATGGTGACGAGGCCGACGAAGAGGAAGATGCTGCTGCTGTTAATACACGCGTGACCTGGAACGCAAGGGATGAGCGGGCCTACATCTGCCACTCCTTGAGAATGTCCGACTTGATGTGCCCCAGCCCGTACGAGATGCCAGCCGCCACAATCGTGGCCAGGCCGTTGGTGCCGTACCAGGCGGCGACGCGGATGGGCTGCTCGGCGCGGCGGTACCACTGGCTGGTGATGATGCTGAAGAGCGGCAGGCAGCCGGCCTCGAAGAGCCCGAGGAAGAAGCGCGAGGCCATGAGGCCGCCAAAGTTGTGGCACGCGGCCATGGCGGCCTGGGCGATGCCCCAGCCGAGGCAGAGCACGGGCATGAGGATGCGGTGCGGGACCTTGACGATGAGAAACGACGAAAAGGGCTGCCAGGCGAGCTGGGCGATGGGCGCGATGGAGCCGACGAGGGAGTACTGGTTGCCGGTGAGGCCCGTGTCCGTCTTGAGGCCGTAGGTGGCGCCGTAGCCGAGGACCGACTTGTCGAGGATCTGGAGGAAGTAGACCCAGACGAGGATGGCGAGGATGACGCGGTCCGTCTTGCGGCAGATGCGGCGGCTGTCCTCCTCGGTGAGCTCGACCTGCGCGTTGCCGATGAGGGCGAGGGCGCGGTCGGCGTGCTTGACGTCCATGTTGGGGCCGTGGCCGTCCTGGTGCTCGTCGTGGGCAATGTCCAGCTTGCTGTCGGGTGCCGCCATTGTGTCTGCTTGCTGTGTCTTTCGACGAGGACGGCTCTGTGACGAGACCGAGATGCCGCGATGCAATGACACCAGCACGGACGATGACGACGGTCGCATCCTCGCTGTTCTTATATCCAGATGGCCCGTGATCTGCAGGCTGGCGCGCCGGTCCCCCACACGGTGGCGGAATCTGCACCACGCGCAATCCGGGGCAAATGCCGACGGCGCCCTGGGATCTTCACGCTGTTGGCCAGCGAGGCGTGTGGCGCCGCGGAGTGCCCGCCGCCCCCACCATCTGCATCGCTGGTCTCGACTCCAGGCTGGGGTTGGTCGGCCCATCTCGGTCAGAGGGAGGCCATCGACGGCAAATGACATTTGGCTCACTCTTTGAGCATTGTTCGAAGCCACGGCGAGATGGCTTGTGCCAATTGCTGTTTTCAAACTACGGCGGGCATTGGCTCGTGAGCATGCGCCGAAGCCACGACACACAAGCCTCTGGGCATTGCTGCGGAATTGCCGCCCTGGATGCGGCAATTGACACTCCCAGCACGTTGGGGCGCACGACTCGCGCACGCAATAGCCGCGTAGCCGGACGACCGCACGGCCAGGATGCCAGGGCGGGCTAGCCACTCGCATCGCCCATGGCCTGACAGCTTATCCCCGCATCGCCATCGTCTACTGTTTGAAATGCGGGGAGCTGACGGGCCCGCCGCGGAGGCCAGATGTGTGACGGGGTGCTTGTGCGAAAGGTTAATGTTGAGACGGACACGAGACCAGGCCCGGCACTGGACTCTGCGGTTGAGGCTGTCCAGGGTGCAGCGCCCAGGCGGCTTTTGGTCAGACACCCGCGGAGCAAGTTATGACACACAGGCCACACTGGCCAGGATGCAAGCGGAAGCGGCGGAGCTCGAGCTCGGCTGCGACCGGCTGTTGCCTCGGTCAAGCGACGTTTTGGTTGTTTGTGTTTTCACCGCGGCGTGCCCTGGTGCATGCAGTCTCGATAGCCGGACGAGCACATGCACTCGAAACTCACGCCACCTCGTCCGCAACATTGCCATTGTCTGTAGGCGGCTTGACACCGCTGTGCACACGGTTCCTATACTCGTTTTCCACGCCTGTCCGCTGGTCAGTCCGATCAAGTGGTCGGGCAATGATGGCGGCTTGGTGAGCCACAGGCATTGCTGTCAACAGCCGCTCTCTTGCGTTCTCGTTACGCAGCCATTGTCTGATTTTCAGCCTCCCCCACGGAGGCGCAAATCATCATTCGCCATCTGCTGGTCTTTGCCTTGCCAATATTCCAAACAAGGCGGCTTTTGACGCGCGCGTCTAGTTGTGCGGCAATTGCCAGCAGCCCTGAGCGGTGACGTAGTGATGGCCCCTTGGTCTCGGCCAGACGCTACCTGGCACTGCACCGCCCGTTGCTGTCGTTGCTGCTGGATGTGCGGCTAGCTTTTCCATCTATGCGAACGGCTACACGTTTCCACTACACGGGAACAGACAGCTAGCCGTGGCTGGTACCACGCCTAGCTGGCAGTGCATGGTGCCACGCAACAATGTGAGACCGGCGTGAACGAGCTGCTGCAGTCCGATTAGGCTATCGGAATTCACCAGCCGATTCGGGGCTACTGAAACTCTGCCGTTGATCTCGTCTTCGCAGTAGCTCAATGGCGCGAGGCAACGTCTACCAAGGCCCAATCTCGGGTTCACAGCACATGTCGTACGACGCGGCGGTCCAGGTACCCCCCGGTCTGAGCAGGAACTCGCACACCGCCGAACCGCGAGCCTCTCATCTCGCCAAGATGGACGTGGTGAGACGGCGCCACGCAGCTCATCTGTCGTGTTTGCTCGAGGCGTCTCGGTGCGACTTCAACAGAGCTGAGCCCGATGTGTCGGACACCCACTGTGATGGAGGGCGGCCGCGAAACGTAGACAGAAAAGAGTATCCGGTCCGCAAGGATTCTCTGACCATCTCACCGTGCCCGGGACAGGCTTCGAACCCATCGCAATGTGCTTCATTCGGCGCTGCCTCGCGGGAGCTCTCCTGTTTGTCGTGCAGAAACTCGACCCTCAGCTTCATGGCTTGCCAGCTTCCCCGACCGCTGCGGCGTCGCCTCATGGCCCGTCAGCAAACGGCCTGGCTGGAGATCACTGGCATCATCCGGCAATGCCAAACGCCAAGACGCCCCCCATTGTCATGGACGCGTCCAATGGCATCGACGTCTATGGGCCCTGGTTCGACGGAGTTGCCGCTCTCGAGAGCCTCAACTTGACACCCTCGGCCGTGGACAGCGCAAAGCGCACCAAGGTGGCCATTGTCGGCGCCGGCATGGCGGGCCTCATGACCTACCTCGTCCTGGACCAAGCCGGGCTCACCAACGTGAGCATCATCGAGGGCAGCAGCCGCGTCGGGGGCCGCGTGCGTACCCAGTACATGAGTGGCGGCCCGTTTGACTATTCCTACCAGGAGCTGGGCGCGATGCGCCTCCCCACGGCCGTTGTCCTGTCCAATGCCACGTACAACATCTCGGAGCATCGCCTCGTGTTTGACCTCATCGAGGAGATGAACCGGCTCAACAATGACGAGAGGCACAGAATCGACTTGATACCGTTCCTCAACACGCCCCCGAGTGAGCGTGTTCATGGAAACGACGTCAGGACGACCACGACCCAGACCCCGCCAGTGGACGTGCCGCATTCTGCTTCAGAACTAGAGGACCCCTTGCGGTCGACGCTGCCGGGGGATGTCTTTCTCAAACAGATGGCATCCAACATTTTCCAGGCGCACAGCGACTGGATCAGTATGCACGCCTTGCCCCTGCATCATGCTAGGTCGCTAACAGCACAGAGCACGGCCTCGCAGGTCTACCGGGCGACAGATGGTCCCAGTTCGCCTTTGCGGTCAACCACCTCGGGGCATCCCTCCGCGATGCCAGTGAGTTGACGAGTGGCCCGGATTCGATGAGCTACTGGGCACCGGTACGTCGCACCCACGTAACAGACTGGGAGGAGGGGCATCGCTTACAGGGTCAGCTTTGTGCGAAAATCGTCCTGAGCCCCGAGACGCAATATCAGACGATTGATGGAGGTGCGGCTATCGTCGACGCGTGTTTTCGTGTTGACTGAAGCGCGCAGGCATGAGTCGCCTCCCGCAGGCTTTCCTCCCACACGTCGGCCCCTCGATCACGTTCAACAGCAAAGTCGAGCGCATCGCCTGGAACGAGAGCGCCCAGAAGCTCACGCTGCAGTGGAGGCGCAGCCACGCGAAACGCTTCGATCAAGGCGAGTACGACTATGCCATCGTCGCCGCGCCATTCTCCGTCGTGGACCGCTGGCGGCTCCCAGGTACGCTCTCCTATCCGTGTGCCGCCCCAGCTGACAGCCAGACCTGCCTCGGACCATGAGACACGCCATCAACACGCTACACTTTGATTCCGTCTGCAGGGTCGCGCTCGAGTACAAGACGCGCTTCTGGGAGCACCTCGATCGTCCCATCTACGGCACCTGCTCCACGGTCCCCGCCATCCCGGGCATCAGCAAGATGTGCTATCCCTCGTACAACATCAACGGCAGCGGACCGGCCGCAGTCCTTGCCTCGAGCTCCATCCAGCGGCCCTGGGGCGTCGACTGGTCGGGCGTACCGGAGGCAGAGCACGTGCAGTACGTCTTGGAAGCCATGATCGAGATCCACGGCGAGGTCGCGCGGGACCAGTACACGGGCAAGTACGTGCGCAAGTGCTGGGGCCTGGACGAGTTTGCGGGTGCGGCGTACGCAACGCCGACGGTCGGCAGCGTCGAGCTGTACCTGCCGCAGTACTTTAGAACTCACAAGCACGTACGTAGGGCCACGGCCGTGGGTGCCCGCGCGCGCTGACGAGGCAGATGATTTTCGTCGGCGAGCACACTTCGTTTACGAATGCCTGGATCGTGTCGGCGCTCGAATCCGGCATCCGGGGGGCGGTGCAGCTCCTTCTGGGTGAGTTCAACACGTTGAAGCATTTCATCTCGCTGATTTGCATGGTAGAGCTCGGCCTCGTGGACGAAGCAAAGGACGCTGTCAACAAGTGGATGGCGCGCTGGATCAGCGCGGCTGCAGCCGGTCCAGTCCATCCCCCTCACGTCCCGGTCGACGACGGGCAGTAAGCCGATGAGTCGCTCCGACACACTTGTTTCTGCTCCAGGAAGCGAATTGTGTTGCGCTTGGCGTTGAACATGATGCTGTTGTAACCGTGGGGTCGTCGGCGTCAAGTGGGTTCACTGGTGGCTGGATCTGGGCGTATAAGCCGGCTCCGGGTTGTCCCGGTGGCATTGACTCAACGCAGCTCGCCGTATAAAACAAGTCTTTGGCATGGCATGGACGTCAGTTGCTCAGACATCATCTGTATCCTTCAATTCAAAATGAGCTCAGCCAGTGAAGCACCCATTGTTGGGACCAAGACGCTACCCGACGCGGTCCGGCGGCTCGCCTCCCTGCCCGCCGTCGACTTCGCCGACATGTACACGCTTCGCACATCGCCAGACAACAGCTCTGCCGAAACCTGGGCCCGCGCGATCCTCGGCGACGTGCCAAACTTTGCAGAGAACCTGGCCTGGCACTGGCTCCTGCGCTTCCCGCTCCATCACGAACAGTCGCCGGCTCACATCGCAGGCTGGCGCATCGGCGGCAAGGCGGACGAGTGGATCCGGATCGAGAACTCGTCGTGGCTGATGGATGGAAACATTGTCGTTGTGAAGAAGCAGCAGGAGGTGTCGCTGGTGACCATGGTGCGGTACAAGTCTCGCTTCGCGCCGGCGTGGTGGTGGCTGTTGTCGTTTTTGCATCGGAGGGGGGCGCCGGGGCTGCTGCGGGAGGGTGCGCTCAAGATGCAGAAGAGCGCATAGTCTAGCTTGCGGGTTTGTACGATAGTGTATACTACTTCATCTACACTCATTGTGGACGAAAGGAGGCCGAGCGAGGCCGTGGTCAACTGGTTCTCACTCGCTCTTCCACGATGCCTGGCGACCAGGGTTGAGCAATGAGCATCACCCATGCTCGAGTACGGCTAAATGGCTCTGTGGATGCACGTTCAGAAAACGTCAGCACTGGAACCGCACCTTCTGCAATTACAACACCAACCACATTTCCAGTGCGCGGCGAAAACATACCGGACGCCATGCTCGACATCGTGAGATCGATCGTGAGGCGGAGGAGCCGCTGCGGGGTGTGCATGTTCGCCCTGGACCCAGGCGCAAAACCGCTCAAGCTCGACTTTGGCGGCAAGCCCGTCACCGTCTTTTACGAATCCGACTACCACGAGTTCACCCGCGACAACCTCGCCGCGTCGGCCGCGCGCGGGTGCAGCCACTGCAAATGCATCGTGCGCGCATTCGACATCCAGCAAGTCGACTTTGCCACGGCGCGGTGGTGGCCGCCACGGGACGCCCTCGGGGCCTGGGGCTACCTGGAGCTCGACTCCAAGGTCAAGTTTGAGCTCAGCGTTGCCGGAGAGCGAGGCAAGGACGTCCTGGAGTCGACGCACGCCTGCATCCGCCGGGGGACGAAGATTGGGGGGAGCACACGGGATGAGGCGTGCCTGGACCAGGCGGCGGCTTGGCTGGAAGCATGTCGCCGGGATCACGACGACTGCCGTGCCGCTGCCGGGTTTCGTCCGACGAGGCTTCTCTTTCTCGGTGACAGCCCTGGTGTCGTCAGGCTGGTCGAGTCCATGTCCGTGCCGAGTGATGCCGTGTACGCGGCGCTCAGCCATCGCTGGACGGAGGAGACGCTCCGCGTCCGCCTAGAGCACGGCAACCACGCGCAGAGACTGGAGCACGGCATCCCCATCGACGCCTTTCCCCAGATGATGCGCGACGTCGTCTTCCTGCTCCGCCGGCTGGGTATCCTCTACGTCTGGATCGACTGCATGTGCATCGTGCAGGACGACGTCGACGACTGGCGACGCGAGGCCGCGACCATGGCGTCCATCTACACCAACGCCGAACTCACCGTCGCCGCGACATGGTGCGCCACCAGCGGCCAGAGCCTCTTTGGCGACCGCAGCGGCAGCGACTTTGCGCAGGTCGACGTCGCATCCACTGTTGACGGTGACCCCGTGTTCCTGCGCCGCGTGCTGCCGCACTTTACCTGGCAGGACATTGCCAACAACTGGTTCGCGGGCAGCGACTTTGTCGACGCCGAGCGCGAGTGGCCGCTGCTGTCGCGCGGCTGGGTGTACCAGGAGCAGCTGCTCTCGCGGCGCATGCTGCACCTCACGCGCTCCGAGCTTATCTGGGAGTGCAGCGGCGGCCGCATGGACTGCGAGTGCGGCTGGTACCGCGCGTCGGACGAGAGCCAGCAGGTGCTCATCCGCAGCCAGGTCAAGCAGCCGGTGGCGGGCAAGTCCTGGGGCACCATCGTCGGCGAGTACTCCAAGAGGGACTTGACGTTTGGCACCGACAAGCTGCCGGCGCTCGCGGGCGTGGCGCAGGCGTTTGGCGACAGCCACGGCGGCCGCGACCTGGGCAGGTATGTCTGCGGCATGTGGGAGCAAGACCTGCAAGAGTGCTTCTTCTGGCGGGCGACGGAGCCAAGGCCGAGGCCGAGCTGCGGCATGCCGTCGTGGTCCTGGGCGTCGGTGTCTGGCAACATCGAGTGCTGGTCGCTGGGCTCCGAGAGGGTGCAGTTCGCCGACGTGCTCGTCTCCCACGTCGGCAACGAGTTTATGGGCGACGTGCACGAGGGCAAGGTCACCCTCACCGGTCCGCTGGCGCCGGCGACCCTGCACTGCGGAGATGGGACGTGCAAGGTCAAGGTCGGGGACCAGTGGTCCGTCTTCTATCCCGACTACACGCTCGAGAGCTCCGACGCTTTGACGCTCACGCCTGGGTCGCCGGTTTTTTGCCTTGTCTTTGGCCAAGGCACGTCGTCCTCGAGAGACCCCGAGCAGGGCTTGCTCTGGGAGCGCACCTATGCGTGCTTTCTGGTGCTGGTGTGCGTGGATGAGGCGAGTCGTGTCTATCAACGCATCGGCCTGTCCGAGGGGGATTCGGGAAACGACGAAGAGGTGGAGCTCGACGCGATGCTTGGTGTCGCAGAGACGAAGACGATCACCCTGATATAAAGCACGTTCAGAACTTGCTTCGTGCAGGTGTAGTGCGGCATGCGTACGAGCACAGTTGGCTCTGAGCGCCAGCCGAAGCCAGAGCTGAGCAAAGCCATCGGTGCTGGGTTCGGCCTCTGCGTGGCTCTAGATTGCCTCGTTTACTTCACGTTCTGTATTCACCAGGCCCGGCAAAGTGGGCAAATGAGCCAGTGTATCTGCTAGATATTGGGGCCAAACCTAGGTCATGGCCGGGCACGCTACCTCAGTGAAACTTCTTGACCGGCAGGTCCGACATGTGCACCTTGGCCGCCCCGTACGGAATCAGCCTGTACGACGTGCGCCGCCCCTTGCACGTACGGTCCACGGGCGCCCAGTCCGGCGTCACGCCCAGGTACAGCGGCCACTCAATCTCGCAGCCGTCGACGGTCATGTAGTTGGACGGCGCGCCCTGCGCAAAGATGGGGTTCCTGAGGCCGCCCCTCGAGCCGTGGTACGTGAGCGTCGACGGATCGATGGCGACGTTCCACGCGCTCGTGCTGTCAATGTAGTAGTCGCGCAGCTGCGGGAACGGCAGGTTGTCCAGCCCCGGGCCCTTGGTGTCCGACCACGCGTGCGGATACGACGACGTCTGCGTGGTGCTCAGCTCCAGCGCGTACAGCAGACTGCCGTGGAAGACGGCCACGGTGTTGTTGGAGCGGGCCTCGGTGCGGATCTGCGCGTCGAGCATGTACTTGAGCTTGGTCTTGCCGGCCTTGACGTGGACCTTGCGCATGGAGGTCTTGGAGTCCATCGCCGACGGCTGCGAGGTGCTCGACGAGCGCGCCCAGTCAGGCACGCGGAGAAACAGATCAAACGCCTTTTCCGCCTCAATCGTGTACTGAAGCTCATCCTCGAATGGATACGCCGTGTCGCAGGCGATCGTCACGGCACCACCGTTGACCCGCGTCGAGACCGTCGACGGGCTGAGCAGCGCGTGGCCGAGCCCCGTCTTGCCGACGGCGACCCAGCTGTTGGACACAAACTTGGGATACCCCTGCGGGTGGTTGACGGTGCAACACGGGTACTGCGGCTCCATGCCAAAGATGGTCGCCATGCCGCTGTTGGCCGAGGTGAAGACGGGCGGCACATGGCCGTCCTGTGCCGTCGTGTTGATGGCGTGCGGCTGGTTCGGCTGCGCCATGTACTGGTGCGCCCACTTGTCGCCCGTCATCATGACCGGAAAGGCGTTGAAGATGGCTCGCTCGGCGCGGTCGGCAAAGTCGTTGCGCCCGAGGACCTGGAACATGTAGGCCAGCGAGTACGCCGTCTCGACGGCCGTGCAGAGCTCGCTGCCCATGTACGGCGCCAGGTGGTGCTCTCCCTCGTCGGCGAGGACGGTGCCGGACGCTGAGCCGTGGTACTTGAACGTCCAGTCGACGGCGTCGTGGCTCTTTTGCACCATGTCGTGGCTCCCGTTGACGCGATACGCGACGCTGGGTGCCTTGAGGCCTGCGGATGTCAGCGCGGTGCCGTGTCTCTGTATCTGCCCAGCCGCACTCACCCTGCCCGACGTTGACGCCGTGGAGGTACGGCCAGATGGAGCCGTCGGTCGTGTTGGAAACCTTTTGAAACGTGCCCTCCGTGTACCACTTGTCCCATCTGAAATTGCTCTGCGCCCAAAACAGGTCCATGTTCTCCCAGAGCACGGCGTCCTGCTTCGACGGGTAGCGCTCCAGCAGCCACTGGATCGTAATCATGGTGTCGTGCACCCTCGCCTGCCCCCACGAGCAGTCGACGTCCGCGGCGCACTTTGCGAAGCCCTGGCTGTCGTTCTTGAGCATCCTGTTGGTGAGCGTCATGAAGCGGCCGAGGCCGTCGAGCACCGGCTGCTCCCACGTCGCGTTGGCCTCGACGAGCTGCGCCAGCCCGAGGAACAAGGGCGTGCGCGCCCAAAAGTTGCGCGCGTCGCCGACCTCGGGCCCGATCCAGCCGTCGGGCGCCTGGTGGCCCAGCACGGTCGAGGCGACCTCGTGGACCTGCGCCTTGAGCCTGTCGTCGTCGAGCGTGTACGCCAGGGGCACGAGCGAGTTGAACCAGTACGGCAGCCCCTCGTTGAGCGTGCTGTACTCGGCGCCCCCGGACCCCGGCTTGTTGAGCCAGCTCGACTCGTTGACGTAGACGTAAAAGTCGTGTTCGTGCCCGGCGAGGCCATCGGCCATGGCTTGCATCTCACCGAGCAGCCACCCCCCGGGCTTGACGGCCCCGACCGGCAGCGGCGAATACGTCCACGGTTGGACTGCACTTGTCAGCAGTGTACATGTGAGCTGCGGCAGACGTACGGGTTCGTGCGGCCGAGGCGAGGCCCACCTGCGCGGCAACGACTGACGGCTGCATCTCGACCGGAGGGTTCAAGAGAACCTGCAAGTGAGGCTGATGGTCCATGATGAAAGTCCACGGCCGGTGCTCTTCAGTATTTATGGTCTCAATGAAGCACGCCAGCTATGTCGATCGCATTCACGGTCTGGGTGATGATGCTGAATCAAGCTCAGTGACGTGCATCGTCGGCCGTCGTCCTAGCGCCGCGAGATCCCGGCCGAGCGTCGTAACGCGGGTAGCGTCGAGGTCGCGCGGGGAAATGATTTAGGCTGCGGCGATGGGCCGACAGGATCTGGTCGGGGGCCAAATCACAGACGACGCATCTCATCACGGCAGGCTGCGATTCGGCCGCTTGCATGCGCGTCTCGATGGCAGGATCGGCACTGCAACGCCAGCCGGGACAAAGGACAAGACTGTGGTGGTATGTCACGAGGCGGCGGACGTGTCGGCGATAGGGTAGATTGGGCAGATGATGCATTGATGAGAGTCGCATGTCAAGCATGCGTTAGAGTTTGGGCATCCAAGTTTAACTCGTGTCGATGGGCCGTGCAGGTCAAGGCTCTGTCTGCAGTGTGCACCCCGCGATGGAAAGGCTAACTGCAGATGTCATGTCATCCGAGGCGGCTCCACGGCGGCCGCTTACACAATGCTGAAGCCCTCGGGGCTACGTCTTGTTGGCGAAACACGGCTGCGTTGCAACCAGACGACGGTTCCCTGTGGCGCAAGCTTGGCTGTCCCCGACGGCTGCGACAGTGACTTACCACCTGTGCGAATCCCGTCTGGAAGCGCAGGGACACGCGAGGACGTCGGGCGCAATCAGAAGCGGGACAAGGCGAGCACTGCCGGATTGAGCCAAGATGGCGAGGGCAATGCCGATGGGCGGGAAGACGCGCAGAGCAGCCGAGACGTTGCCATGGCCTGCTCCCGCGTCTGAGCTCTTCCCACCCGCTGCCGTTGACCCTTGGCCGGCACGCCGTGGACACGGAAGTGATGATGATGGGCTCACGGCAACGAGACGGCCACGCGGCATGACTACCCACCTAGATGGCATTGCTCTCCGCTTCGCTGTTGCTGGTCAGCACCATTTTTTGCCGCAGCGCGTTGCCTTGCATCGCAAGCGTGATGATCCAGTCTCCGGCAGCACGGGGCCGGGAGGCTGCTGCTGAGACAAGACGGCGTGCCGGCTCGGCAGAGCCACGCCACCGACGGGACCTGGCGCGGACGATGGAGACGCTTGCGCCAGCGAGGACGGCTGCCGTCGAGATATGTGCGGCAAATATGCCAATCGCGTTGGATTCGGCTTGTGCATCATCGCCCCGGGCGGTGCAGATGTCACAGCACGCGCGGAGCCAACGACGCCCGTCGACGCCCGCCAGTTCCTGGTGGCTAGCGTCCCGTCGTTCCTGGCGGCCAGAGCGCCCCTGGCCACAGCAACCGCCGCCGCGATCAGACCCTCAGTCCAGCGCCGCTAGCACGGCCGGGGACGCACCAACGCAAGCGCCTCGATGGAGCCGGGACAAGAGACCGGCCGCGATACCCACTCCGGGCTGGTTGGGGGCTGCCTCGGCACAACAACGTCACCGTTGGGCAAACTGGTCCCTTGCTCGCGGGCCGCTGCAGACAGACGTCGCGGGACGCAGGCCGCCCGTGCTTGTGCGCCGTAGATGCCGTGGTCGCTGGGAGCCAGCGGCTGCAGCGGGCTGCCTCCTTCGGGTCCATTCAGGAAGCTTGCTTTTCAATCGACCGACCGCCCAGCAGAGGCCGAGGACACAACCTTTCAGGGGCGTCGTGGGCACTGGGCAACGTGGGCAGCCGTGCCGCCAGCGCAGGTCGTCGACGCCACCCAACGCCAGAACAAAAACGGCCAGGCTGCCCCACCGTCTGGCCATTGTCACTTGATTTTGGGGATCAGTCTCATCTCGGGTTTCACAACGACGGCCTGCGCAGGACAGCTCTTTCTCACCCTCACCCGCTCCGCATTGGTCTGGCCTGTCGAGCCGTCTTCATCACCTGCGGCCACGGCGCACGACAGTCGACCAAGACGCGCCCCGACCGCACCGCTGCCGCTGCCATGGCGCTATCAGGCGCAGACGAAGCAAAAGCCCCGCGCCAGAGCGTCGCCATCGTCGGCACCGGCCTGGCGGGATTGACGACGGCGTACCTCTTGCACAACGATGACCGCCGGCGGTACGACGTGACGCTGCTCGAGCAGGCAAGTCGCTTCCCCGCACCACCGCGAGCGAGACCGCAAACGCTGACCGCGCAAGCTGCAGGCCGACGAGCTGTCGTTTGATTCGGCGTCCGTCGCCGTGCGGAACGAAAGGACGGGCAACGTCGAGCGCGTCGACTTGCCCATGCGCGCCGGCGCCGGCGGCTACTACGCCAACCTGATGCGCATGTATGACTACCTGGACGTCCCGCTGCACCCCGTGCGCTTCCTCTTTGTCTTTGCCAAGGCGCTCGCGTCGTCGGCGTCGACGTCGGCATCGTCGCCGTTGAGCGAGGCGGCGCGGCCAGAGGATGCCGGCTCGGCCCCCGGCAGCTACTTTGTGCACGCGTCCAACCTGCACAAGACGCCGCCGCCCTGGCCCCGCGGCCGCGGTGTCGTTGCGCACGTCTTTGAGATTCTGTTCCTCATCGTCTGCCAGCTGTGGTTCTCGGCGGCGTGCTTCCTCGTGCCGCCAGTGGCGGGCGACGAGCACGACGGCGAGACGCTCGCCGAGTACCTGGAACGGGTGTGGCTGCCGCAGAGGTACGTGTCGCACTACCTGCTACCCCTGATGAGCAGCGTCTCGACGTGCGACCACGCCGAGATGCTGGCGTTTCCGGCGAGCGACGTCGTCAACTACAAGCGGCTATCGCACGGCCAGCAGCACTACGCCGTCTGCGGAGGCGTCCACCAGGTGCAGTCGAGACTGGTCCGGGGCGTGCGGGACATTCGCCTCGGCTGCCGTGTCGTCAGCATCGAGGCCGACAGCAAGGAGGCGGGCGACGGCGTGTTGGTGCGGTGGCAGGCGGGCACGGGCGACGTTGCTGAAGAGAGGTTTGATCGCGTGGTCCTCGCCGTGTCGCCCGATGTCGCGGCCAGAATCTTTCGTCCGTTGTCGATGGCTCTCGGCAAGATGCCCACGAAATGGGTGGAGAGCTCGGTGCTGAGCCCGCGGCCCGGGGCCTTTTCCGTAGCGCACGACGGCGTGCCAGAGAGCTGCGCGCACCACGGGGACGACAAGGCGCCGTCACAGGTCATCACGTTCAGGAGCGTCTTTGGCGACGGCGCGCGAAGCGAGGCCCTGCACGCCATGCCGGGCGGCGTTCTCGTCAGCACGCTGCCGCTGGGGGCCGCGGAGGATAAGGCGATACTCAAGACTGCGGGCTTCACGAGGACGCTGCGGACGCCGGCGAGCAGGGCGGCGACGCAGCGCGTCATGGGCGGCAAGCCGGCGTCGGACGGCCATGCGCACTGGGTCAACGGCGAGGACGGCGTCTGGGTCGCCGGGTCGTGGTGTTGGGACGGCATGGTGCTGCTCGAGGGCTGCGTTGTGTCGGCCATGCGCGTCGCCGACGACCTGGGCGTGCGGATACCCTGGCGATGAGCATGAGGATAGATCTCTACGATAGCGAATTGTACTTGGTAATGACGATGACGATGACGATGACGATGACGATGCGAGGTGCCGCGACATTGTCTCATGTGGTGCCGGCGGACGCTTAAGCGATATGCGGGTAGCGGGTTGAGTGAGACCCGACGTCCGAGGCGGGACCCGCCCGGGCACTCACTCGTCTCATGGATGCACCGATCCACATTCTGTACGCGCCAACATCCGTGGCCTCTCCGCGTCACACAACTTCCGCGGAGCCGTCACCATCGCCCCAAGCGCCGACATGGCTTCCGCAGTCTCGGGCCGCGACTTTGGCCTGGGCATTCTCGTCGGCGCCGTGGCCGCCATCCTCGTGGCCTCGCTCGTCTTCGTACTGGTCCTGCGCTCGACCGACATTTACAGCCTGGGCCACTGGAAGCTCAACCTGCAGACGCCCCTGGAGTCCATGTGGATGAATCTCGGCTACTGGTACGAAACAGGCCACTGAAGGCACCTCACGCATGCAGGGATGGACAGGAGCGCTGACCCAAGCAGGAAAACGCCGCAAGGGACGCCCGTGGACCGGTTTGCCGACGCCTGCCTGGGGCTTCTGACGGAGATTTTGACGACGGCGGGCCTCGTGAAGCGAGACTATGCTGGAGGCTTCCAAGCCCAGACGCGCGGCGCCGTTTCCGTGCTCGACCTCGGGTTCGGCTGCGGCGACCAGACGCTCGCCCTGGCCCGCCTCATCGCCCCATCGTGGCCCGACTTTCGCTACGTCGGCCTCACCCTCAACGAGTCGCAGCGCCAGACGGCGTCCCGGGCGCTGCACCGCGAGGCAGCATCGGGAGCCGCTGATGCCCCGGACCAGGCCTCCTTCAAGCTGTTTTGCGCCGACGCCGCCAGACCCGGCACCTGGACCCCAGCCGCGCGCGATGCCGTGCGGGAGCTCGCGGACAAGCGGTTCAAGGAGCGCTGGCTGCTGGCCCTCGACTGCCTGTACCACTTTTCGCCGTCGAGGAAGCCCGTCCTGGAGCTGGCGGCGCGCAGCCTCGGCGCCAACCTCATGGCCTTTGACCTGGTCCTCGACGAAAAGGCCTCGTGGCGAGACACGGTGCTCGTGAGGCTCGTGGGCCTCATGATGAACTGCCCGCTCTACACGTTCCTCACCGAGGCGCAGTACCGCCAGCAGCTGGCGCAGTGCGGCTACGACCCGGAGCAGACGGTCATCCGCGACATTTCCGACGACGTGTTTGCGGGCGTCGCGGGGTACCTGCAGCGCCAGGAGCGCGCGCTGAGCCCGTACGGGATATCGATTGGGGGGTTCAAGCTGGCGGGGCGGCTCTTTGGCTGGTTCGACCGATCGAGGGTCGTCAAGGCCGTCATCGTCGTCGCGCGGGCGAGGGACGAATGACTGGGCGCCTGCGACACGGCCGCTCCTCGACTCGAGCGGCCGCTTGATGCTGCAGCCCGAGCAGCACCCGGCTCATTAGCGTAGCACCCAGATCGTCGAGCATTACAGCGCAGCACTACAGAGCAGCTGGAGATGCATCTCGCCGCCTGCGGTATCTGGATCGACAAGACTTGACCTTTCCATGCCTCGTGCAATACGCAATCTGGCGACGGACGGCACCCGATCGACAGGGCTTGGCCTCCCTCTGCCTCGTGCTGAACGCAACCCCGCGGTGCCACATAGCATCCCAAAGCGATGGATGTGACATCTCCCATGCGCGCCGGGGCTTTCGAGTGGCGATGACGCCACAGTGAAACTGAACAATTCATCCGCGTTGTCGGGGAGCGTCGGCTACGACTCACAGGGATCGCAGAGTTTACGTTGCACCCTGGCCACGTTGCAGCATACCTGGAGCGACATGGCATGGCGTCGCGCAAACGCTGGCGCCCATCAGTAATCGCGTCATCCCATTCTCAGGCACGATGCCTCCCGGTGGTGTGGTCTTGGCGGAGGATCGCCGCGATGCATCCATCACCTGCCTCGTTGGAAACGCATCCCCCCTCAGGCCGCGTTGCACTCTGCAGGGCGGATTCTTCAACTGGAGCCGCGCGCCCTTCGAACATGTATGGAAGGTCCACGGTTCGGTTCCGTCATCTGTGGAGCACGGCGCTGCCGGCTTGGTCCGTGTGCGCCCGGAGCTGGCTTCGGCTCCGCAATACGGCGTCGGCCTCCCCGCACACGGCCACGAGCGTGGCGTGTGCCATGCGATGCGATCTCAACGTGGCATGGGAGCTGCGGTCCCGTGCACGTGAGCCACTATGCCCTGGCCATGGCCGCGATGCGGCATGTCCTCGGCTTCTCTGTCGGCGGGTTTGCGCCTGCAGCCCAGGATCGCAAAGCGCGGCAGAGCAGCTGGCTGCCAGGCAGTGCGTTCGATAAGCGGTCGAATGGGCTTCTGCCTCTAGCGGAGGCACCGGGGTCGGCGGCCCGAAAGGGTTCATGTCGACTACGGGGCGCTTGGTTTGCCGACACTGAGGAGCCTCACGCCCTGCTTGCGCAGTGGGGAGCCATGAGGCAGGCCGGTGGTTCGAGACGCTGCGACGCGGTAGCGCCGGGCTAACGATGCGCAAGGGATGAGCCGCAGCACGGAGGGGCATGTGCCTGACTAGCACAATCCGCCGACGGCACCCTCGCCCACGCCGCTTACTCACTCGGGCATGACCCCAGATGCGTCGGCTGATCCTCATCTAATCTACAAAGCCTATGCTGCCCTACCTCGCCGCGACGCACGCATAGGAGCGGTTTCAAACCACAGTTCGACCAATGGCAGCCGCGCCAGAGTCTCTTTCGGGCCAACCAACAGCCGCCCGGCCGAATCGGGCAGTGTAGATGCCGGGGCGCGCAAAACGACCGAGCAGGCCGAGGGCGTATACTACGTGGTAGCGAGGGCCGCCTAGCGCGCCGAGTGTCCGGAGTGCGACGGCGGGGGAGCTTGCGAGATGCGGTATCGTCGCCGGCTTGAACGGCTGCGCGTGGGCTGCGGGTGTGTGGCTGCGCCCGAGGGAGCACCGGAGCTAACGCCACGAGATGTCGACCTGGGCGCCCCATGAGGCAGTTGACGAGCTTGGCGACCATTGAAGGCATTCCGACATTGTCAGGTTCCATCGCGATGGGGCTCTGGCTGGAGACGGGCGTGAGCACGTACCGTCGTCGTCGGGCATTTGGAATATAAAACGCGCCGTTGAGCGCACGGTGTCGGACGGGACGCTCTGGGTATTCGATAAGACAACGGCAGGCTCCCGAGTAACGGCGAGCATCGGGATCAAGCAGACAGTCAACCCCAGGCCTCCAAAATCAAAGGCATCATGCGCTGCCTGACGCTGCTCGCCGCCTTCCTCGGCGCGGCCTCTGCTGCGCCGTCCGTCTCCATCAGGGCCACCAACGGCTGGACCGTGGCCCGTCCCGGCACCATCAAGGACGTGGTTGTGACCAAGGAAAACACGCTCAACGGCACCTCCCAGGCCCGAGAGACCGTCATCACGTCGGCCAAAGGTGCCGGCCTGGACAGCCGCGCCATCGGCGGGTCGCTGCCGCTCGAGTTTGTCAACAACTTTGACGGCGGCTCGGTCAACGCCTACGTCGTCGGGCTCGACTCGGACAACCGCGTCGTCTTCGTCCGGGGCGACGGCAGCCTCGTGTACCCGAGCTCGGGCGGCTCGCAGGTGCCGGTGCCCATCGGAGCCAACGTCGCCATCCCGCTGCCGGGCAAGGGCCAGACGTTTCGCATGACGCTGCCCATCGTGCTGACGTCGGGCCGCATCTACTTTTCCGAGGGCACGCTGACCTTTTCCGTCGTGGCCACGCCCATCGGCGAGGGCATCGTGCAGCCGGCGCCGACCAACCTGCAGGACCCCAGCGCCGGCACCAACTGGGGCTTCGTCGAGCTCACGTACACGACGGACAAGAGCCTGTGGGCCAACATCAGCTACGTCGACTTTGTCGGCATGATCCTCAGCATGGCGCTCAGCGTCTCCGACGGCAGCGGCACGCAGATCACGCGCGGCCTCGGCAGGGGCTCCGTCGACGCCATCTGCAACGGGCTGAGCAGCCAGGCCAGCAGCGACGGGTGGCCGTGGAACCGCATGTGCGTCGCCAACGCCCAGGGCAAGCCGCTGCGCGTGCTGTCGCCCAACGACTACGCCGTCATCGACTCGGGCGCGTTTGGCAGCTACTGGAGCGGCTACGTCGACGAGGTCTGGAACCGCTACTCGTCGCGCGACCTCACCATCAACACGCAGACCGGCGCCGGCAACGTCGCGTGCCGCGTCTCGGGCGGCACCATGAACTGCGGCGGCGACAACCGCGGGTACGGCAAGCCCAGCGCCACCGACATCTGGGGCTGCAACGGCGGGCCGTTCCTGCGCCAGGGCGGCGACAACGACGTCCACATCGCCGTCATCCCGCGCCTGTGCGCCGCCTTTGTGCGCTCGACGCTGCTCCTCGACGGCGGCGACGTCCAGCCCAGCCTCAGCTCGGACAACTACTACACTGCGGACCCGACGAACCACTACAGCCGCCTCGTCCACGACAACGAGATCGACGGCCGCGGCTACGCGTTCCCCTACGACGACGTCAACCCCGACGGCCACGGCGACTCGTCTGGCCTCGTGCACTCGGGGGCGCCCAAGACGCTGACCGTGTACGTCGGTGCGCCGCCGCCGTAGACGCATCTGCCAAAATCGCTTTGCAGCGCTGCCACACATTTCGCAACACATGGGATTCATCTGTACATATTTGGGGCATTCGCCTGGGAAACGTTTTGTGTATATATTTGATTCGGCGAGTACATATTGACTGCGTACATGTTTGAATTCTGCGGCGCAGAATGGGACGTGCGTGAAGCCGCGATGACGTGAAGTGAATGATGAATCATGTCAGACCAAACGGTAGAAGCACGGCGTTGGGGTCGTGTCGGGCTGATGCTGACATCTGCCTCCCAGCTGTCGGGCTGTCTGGCTGCGCTCACAGCTGGCCGCACCTGGGCAGCAGCCGGACGTTGCTTAGCGGCACCTTCAGGTAGCTACAGCACCCACGGCACCTGTCTCCCAGTAGAAACGACCCGCACGTCCACTGCCGGCTGCACCAATGCCCCCCTATCCCGTCACTCAGGCTGCCAGGTGGGCTGCAGCTGCCAGCGCAACTGCTGCCCATCGCGCACATCACCACATCACGGCCACGCACCCTCACGAGCAGCATCACCAGCAAAAAGACACCCAAACCAGGTCAAAAAAATTACAAAAAAATAATGGCGGAAGCGGGGCACTCGTCAGGACCAAGGTACCAACCCCAGGAGATCCTCCGATCTCGAAGCCGCAATAGCAACCCATGTCAGCCCGCTCGGGACGCCAGTCGAACCGACGACCTTTGCAGGAGGGAGGAGCGCAGCCGCTTCCTGGCATTCAACGACTGGGCCACTTTGAGGTCGCAGCCGTTAAGGGCCGTTGAATGTTGAAGGGTGAGTGAACAATTGGACTATATGAGGGTATGTTGGGCGGCCGGTGAATCGGGGCGTGTTCAGTGCAAACCGGCAGCGCGTCGTGGCTGGTGTGGTTGCGGCGGTGCGGCTGGGCAACGGGAGCGCCGCTTGGAGCATGGCAGTGACGGTCACGGGTAGAATGGCTGTCTGCTGGACAATGCTGCGATGCCCAAGTACGAAGCATTCGTGCAAGGAGACTGTGGGCACTTTGTACTTTATATCATGCATTTGCCTCTACGCCCTGTCCATGGCTACAACGGCCCAACCACGGACCAGTGCAGCACCGCCTTGCGACGTCATGGTCAGAGCCTCCTGCGCATTTCTTGTAATAACTACACTACGACAAAGCCCAATCGGTCCCGGCCCAAGCTGCTTGACACTCTGGGGTGCCCCGGCAGCAGGCCGCGATGTGGCGTGTCGGACCCACGGCCTCTCCCGAAGCATTGACGGCGCCGGTTTCAGGCCCAGAGGCGGCGCCGAACGCTGCCGGTCGCATGAGGGCGATTTGGGAGACGCTGAGCAGGCGCTTGGCGGCACTCACGGCATCCATGCGTCCAGATTGCTGACAATGCCCGTCGCAGACAAGAGACCATCCGTCATCGACTGCTCGCTCACCGACGCGTGCGGTCGGTCAATGGCAGCCAACGGCGACGGCGCTGGCATGCGGTGCATCCCGATCCGGCAACCCCACGGCCGGCGGCCAGGCGCTGCACCACACACCACGACCACCCGACCTCATCAGTTGAGCCGCACGGGCTGCCGGGAGCACAGCGCAGCACGGGGGGCGCACGGAGGCTGGGCCAGAGCAAATCCGGGAGTGGTGGTTGTGCATGCGCCGCGCACCCGCCTGGCGGGCGGCAGTTCATCGCATCGACAGGCTGTCGTGCAGTGGCATGGCATGGCCTGGCCTGTCGTGGCATGTTGGCACGCTGGCATGTCTTGGGCGACGCGCGTCGAGGCCTGCAGCGTTGAAGATCTGCGAGGGGCAACAGGCGACGCTCCCAGCCCCGCACGACTCAATCTCAAACCACCAGCACGTCGGGGCCGGGGCCCGTCGCCGTGTGGCCGTCTTGCGGTGCTCTGCTGGGTTGGATGGTTGGCTTGATTGGCATTGGCATTGTTGGGCCCTGTCTTGCCTCGTGTGGACGGGGTACTCGCAAAGCAGCGCCTCGCTCGAGCTGCGAGCCCGTACCTACCCCGTCTGTGCTGCTGCCGCACCGCCGTTGGCGCTCCGCCCGTGCATCATTGTCGCCACCGCGATACGAGGCGTCGACGGCGAAACAATTCCGCTCGGCCGCCCCAGCCTGGAACCGCAAACGCCCGCCCGTACAGAGTCGCTGGCGCCCTCTCCTCTGCGCCAATGTGTCTCGATGGAACCAGGCCGGGTCAATGGCCAGCGGACCAAAAGAGGCGAGACCTCGAATTTTGCCGCCCTGGCTGGCTGCCGCCGACTGCGGTGCGATGTGGTGCGGTTTTACCGTCGAGCGCGCCTCCACCACACAAGCTTTCCGGGCCCTGGACGAAACGACACGGCCCCAGACGTCGCTAAAATTGGCAGCCACACGGCGCCGTGCCCATCCACGCATCCACTGGCCGCCGCCGCTCGCCCCCTGCGACAGGGGCTTCCCTCCACCCAAAGGTCGAGTGGGCGAGAGGGGTCGCCCCGGTGGGGGTCGCTGGCTGCAAGCGCTCCAACTTGCAGCAGCGGTCCCTGACTTGCCTGATCGGTGGCGGCGTTGGCCCGCTCCACAGTGGCTCGCTGTCACCCAGGGGATTGGGCGGCATGTCACCCCATCCCCCTGTCCGCCTGCCCGCGTGCGGCATGGCTGCATCACTTCCACTTGCCGATCCTGGAATGCCCTGGCCAACTCCCCAACCCCCGACCCTTTTTGTTGGAACGGTTGGCACACCTCCTCCTCCGCGCCCGGCCTCGTCTTCTCCCTTTTGTCGAGCACCGCTGGTCGTCGTCGTCGTCTCTCGTTTTTTGACTTTCATCGCCGCTCGCCATCCCGCTGCACGGCACCAACTTAGATTTGACGCTGCACAGGAACAAGGTTGCAGGCCACCGACACTCTGTTTCCCGGCCACGCTCGCTGCAGGCCTATATCAACAAAAAAGCACCCGTCGACTCCTCCTCATCCTCGTCTGCACACGCACCACCACCCGCCGCTCTCCATCTCCACGCAGCAGATTCACACAGCAGAACCACCGACATCGACCATGACCTTCACCAAAAAGATTGGCCGCGCCCGCCAGTGGGCCGGCGAAAAGATGGGCGCCGACAAGACGTCCCAGTCGGACGAGTTTCAGATGCTCGAGGCGGAAATGGCCTCGCGCCAGCACGGTATGTCACCCTCGCGATGAGGAGCCCAGCGTCGAGGAGCTGAAGCTGACGGGCCCCCCACGCAGGCATGGAGAGCCTCCAAAAGTCGGCCTCCATCTACGTCAAGTGGGCGACGCGGCGCTGCGACGCGCTCGAGGACAAGGGCCGCAGCCTGCCCAACACGCTCCTGGGCCGCTCCATGACGGTGCACGCCAACGACTTTGAGCCGGACTCGGAGTACGGCAACTGCCTCGCCCACGTCGGCCGCGCCAACGAGCGCATCGCCGACCTGCACAGCACCTACATCGAGGACTTTACCGCCAGCTGGCTCGAGCACGTCGAGCGCGGCGTCGCCATGATGAAGGAGTACCAGGCCGCCCGCAAGAAGCTCGAGAGCCGCCGCCTCGCCTACGACGCCAGCATGGCCAAGATGCACAAGGCCAAGCGCGACGACTTCCGCGTCGAGGAGGAGATGCGCGTCTGCAAGACCAAGTTTGACGACTCGAGCGAGGACGTGCTCCGCCGCATGCAGGACATCAAGGACACCGAGGCCGACAACATTGCCGCCCTATCGTCGCTGGTCGACGCCGAGCTGAGCTACCACGAGCGCGCCGCCGACGAGCTGCGCCGCGCCCGCCAGTCGCTCGCCAACCTGAGCCCCATGGCCGCCTCGCCCCCGAGGGAGCGGGAGAGCTTCGTGCCCCGCGCGCGCTCCAACACGGCCCGCTCCTGGCAGTCGGCCAACGGCAGGGCCGACGACGACGCGCCCCCGATGCCCGCACGCCTGCAGACGCGCCTCCAGGTGCTGCCCGCTCCTCCGCCGCCCCCGCAGCCGCCCAGGCCCTCGATGGCACGGGCCTCGACGTACGGGCCCCGAAGCGTGTCGGGCTCCAACAGGGCGCCCCCCGCGCTGGCGCGGAACCCCACGGACATGGCCGCGTACGGCAGAGGCGAGGACGTCTTTACCGACGACGAGTCGGTGGGCAGCGACGGCGTGAGCCCCGGTTGGGGCAACCGCAGCGCCAGCTCAACCACCAGCTACGACAGTCTGTCACGAGTGCACAGCGGGGTGGCCAAGAAGGGCCCGCCGCCGCCGCCGCCCGTCAACAGGGCGACGAAGCCGCCGCCACCGCCGGTGCCGGCACGCAGGGCAAACCTGGGCTACTAGATGGAGCGTTGGGATTCGAAATTGCACGGGACGGAAGGCCATAAACAACATTGAGGGCTCAGGCGTCAGGGGTATCATGTTCATTCACACGGCGTTATGTGAGGGCTTGACCTGCGTGAATGCTGTCGAACAAGTATGTAGGCATTTTCACAGCATTTCTTTGAGTGCACGAGCTGTGTCCGGGTGGTGTTGGCCTGTGCCTGTTTAAGCTTGTGTCCAGCTGTTAAAGCCTGTGTCCAGCTGTTTAAGCTTGTGTCCAGCTATTTGAGTTTGACAGCTACGTAAGTTTTCGCCCAGCTGTTCAAGCTTGTCGTGCGTGCCCGTGCCATTTGGCCGTGGCGTCAAACAGCGAGGTCGGGTCGGTGGGTCACGTGCAGCGCCAAGCCGGGAGCTACAACCTTGAGCTCCAGCGCTCGAGCAACACCTGGCCGGCGTGCTTCACGTTTCAACCACGTCCATCGCCACCACGCCCGCCAGGCGGCATCGTCGCAGCCATGGCGACCGAAGACGAGCGCTACCGCGAGTCCAGCCAGTTCCGGCTCTGGTCCTTTGCGCCGGCGAACCTGCAGGACCTGCGCGAAAAGACCAACTCGCTCGCCAAGCAGCAGATCACGGCGCGCCTGACGCCGACGCCCGAGTTCCTCACGACCGACGAGGAGGCGCGCCTCGTCAAGTTTTTTACGGTGGAGCTGATCCGCGCCGCGCAGTTCTGCGAGCTGCCCACCGAGATCCGCTCCACGGCCGCCATGTTCCTGCGCCGCTTCTACATCACCAACTCGGTCATGACGTACCCGCCGACGGAGCTGCTCAAGACGTCGCTCTTCTTTGGCTGCAAGGCCGAGGGCTTCTACATCCGGCTGGCCAAGCTGGCCGAGAAGTTTCCCAACACGTCGAGCGAGCAGATCCTGGCGGGCGAGTTTCTGCTGTGCCAGGGCATCCGCTTCGCGTTTGACGTGCGCCACCCGTTCCGCGCGCTCGAGGGCGCCATCCTGGAGCTGCGGCGGCGGCTGCCCGACGAGGAGGCGCGCGTCAGCAGGGCGCACGCGCGGGCGCGCGAGATTCTCAAGTTTAGCGCGCTCGTCACCGACGTCTACTTTCACTTTACGCCGAGCCAGATCATGATGGCGGCGCTGCTCATGGTGGACTCGGGGCTGGTCGACACTCTGCTGCCCCGGCCCGCGGCGCCGCACGACGACAACTCGCCCGTGGGCGCCAACACGGACATGCACGAAAAGATATTGACGGCGGTCGAGGACTGCCGCGCGATGCTCGAGGACGAGCCGCCGGAGCGGATGGCGGAGTACTGGGGCACGGTACGGCCAACCTCCCCAAGCCCTGCTGTGCCACTGGGACGCTAACGCGAGCAGCCCGAGATTGTCAAGTCGATGAAGCCGCTGCGCAAGAAGCTGCAAAAGTGCCGCGACCCCGACCGCGCGGACCTGGTGGCGCTGCAGCGGGCGCGGCGGGAGCAGGCCGCGAAGCCCAAGAAGCCCGGCCCGGCCGAGTCGGCCATGTTCGGCGAGGACCTGCGGGACGTGAAGCGGCGCAAGGTGGACGGCGACGACGTGTTTGGCGGTGCGCTGTGAGCCACGCGGGCAGGCAGACGAGTATCACGCAGCGACTCTTTGAGCGAGCCCATCGCCCGCCCCGCGCCAACGCGTCGATGGAACGTGTCATGGCGCCGGCAGACGCCTTTAGGCAAAGAAGCGCATTCGGCCCTTTGCGACGCCATCGCCGCGCTCGGCAGTTGGCGGCCGTCCCGCGCGGGACCTGGCATGTCTGGGGAGTGTCGCCCGGCGAGGGCAGAGGGCTACCCCGGACGCCACGCGCAGAGCGGTGGGCGCAGACTCGGCCGCGCGGACCAGATAGACCAGCAAGGCCAGCCTGCTGTCAATACAACACGCGAGTAGGCCCATTGTCTGTTCCCCGCTGCTCGTGACGGCCGGCCGTGCCTGGTTGACGGACAAACTCGTTCCGCCGCGTGTCTCAGATGTCGGACGAGCGCCGAAAGCGGCTAAGCGACCCCACGGCGTCCTGGGCGAGCTGCAACATGACGTCTTTCAATCGGGACAGCGGCGACGGCTTCAAGTCACAGAGCTGTGGTTGAACCGGGCTCAAGAGCAACGAACATGTGAGATGAAGTGAGTCGCAGAGCCGTTTGCACGATTCACTTGGGATCCAACGCCACGTACGGCATGGTCTCCCAATCCGACGGCAACATTCGTCATTTATGAGCGGGCGGAGACAGGAACACCGAGGTTAAGCTGACTTTGCCGTTCTGCCTTGCCGACGTCCAGGCGAAATGGTCGCTACCACGCTGCCCACGGCCAGGCGGGGAGTCCCGGCAGGATCCTGCATCCTTCGCGGCATCCGATAACCAGCTTCCCCACGCATCGATCAGGCCAGACGACGGTGCACTCTCTCACCCCGACGGACGGGCCGATTGGCGCGCAGAGTGCCGGACCGTCAGCATTTAGCTCGCGGCCGGCAATGGCGACGCATGGGGTCTGAGACGGCCGACGTATAAGTCGCGAGGGAGCACCAACGACACGACAGACACTGATCAGGCAATCCGCCACAGGTACAGGAAACAGCCGCCATGCTCGTGTCGCTCGTCATACTGCAAGCCGCGGGCGCGCTCGCCTCGCTGCAGCGCCGCGCCGGCGCCTCGGCGTGGAGCTCGTCGGCCGACGGCAAGTACAAGCTCAGCCAGGTGGACGCGCCGTCGCTGGGCGGCAGCAACCCCGGCCTCGACACGTGGGACCTGACGATTGCGGACAAGACGGGCCTGCGGCAGACGATCAAGGGCTTTGGCGCGTGCGTCACCGACGGCACGGTGACGGCCTTCAATAAGCTGCCGGCGGACCAGCGCAGCGCGCTGCTCAAGGACCTGATGGGCCCGGACGGGCTCAACTTCAACCTCATGCGCCACACCGTCGCCAGCTCCGACCTGTCGGCGGACCCGGCGTACTCGTACGACGACAACGGCGGCAAGCCGGACACGGGCCTATCGGGCTTCAACCTGGGCGACCGCGGCAACGCCATGGTGTCGATGCTGGCCGAGATGCGCCGCCTGCAGCCGGACCTGACGATCCTGGGCTCGCCGTGGGCGCCGCCGGGCTGGATGCAGCTCGACGGCGTCATCACGGGCACCACGACCAACAACAACCTCAACCACCAGTACGTCGACGCCTACGCGCAGTACTTTGTCAAGTACCTGCAGGCGTACGAACAGGGCGGCGCACATATCGACGCCATCACCATCCAGAACGAGCCGCTCAACAGCCGCGCCCAGATGCCCACCATGTACATCTTTGCCGACGAGTCGGGCGCGCTGATCCGCGACAACGTGGGGCCGGCCATCAAGAAGGCGGGTTTGAAGACGCAGGTCTGGGCGTTTGACCACAACACGCGTGAGTGTCCGTTGAAGCTGGTTTGCAGGAGCCTCACTGACCGCGAGCAGAGGACTACGACTACCCCGAGACCGTCGTCAACATGAACGGCAAGGACACGGTGCAGGCGGCGGCGTGGCACTGCTACTCGGGCAACGACCCGTCGCACTGGCAGCCGCTGTCGCGGTTCCACGACCAGTTCCCGGACCGCGAGCAGTACATGACGGAGTGCTGGACGGCCGTGGGCACGACCGATTGGGTGCACTCGTCGAGCTTCGCGCTGCTGCCGCTGCAGAACTGGGCCAACGGCATCATCGCGTGGGCGCTGGGCAGCTTCTCGGGCGGCGGGCCCGTCATCAGCGGCGGCGACGCCTGCGGCATCTGCACGGGGCTCGTGACGGTGGACCCCAGCGGCGGCTCGTACAGGAAGGAGGTCGACTACTATATGATGGGCCAGTTCAGCCGCTTCATGCCCAAGGGCGGGCGCGCGCTCGCCGGCACGGGCAGCTACCTGTACGGCGACGGCACGGGCGTCGAGTCGGTGGCGACGCTCAACCCGGACGGGACGCGCACCGTCGTGATTCAGAATCGGTACGACCACGACATTTGGGTGCAGCTGGGGACCGAGGGCGACGGCAAGTGGAGCGGCCGGGCGTATGCCAAGGCCGTGACGACGTGGGTGCTGCCCAAGGCGTGAGGCTTGACGGGGGATCTGCACTTGTCGGCTGCACCGCCACGCCCAGGTGGACAATGATGCGCGCGGTGGCACTGATGTATATGGAGCATTGAGTACATACAAAACACGCCTGTGATGTAGTTGCCCTCCCTCGTCGTGTCATCCCTCTCACGTTCGTGGCCATGACATCCCAAGCTGCGCTCAACCCGGACGAGCAGCCCGACGACACCGTCGAGCCCGCCACGCTCGTCCTCCAGGGCCAGTCCATCCTCGAGGGCAAGTCGACGGCATACCACATGGACCAAGGCGTGACGTCCCCGCAAAAGAGCTCCATCGCGTTTGAGCGCATCCCGCCCGACGCCCAGCCCCAGCACCTCTACTACCTCGTCCACCCGCCGCACGCGCACTACCGCACCGACAAGCCCGCATACTACACGACCGCCGTCGCCGCGCCCCCCGCCCTCGGCAACATGCGCCTCGCGCCGTGCAAGCCGTCGCTGCCGCTGCTGCAGCGACAGTCCTTTGACGGGGTGCTGAGCCCCGGCCGGACAGCGTCGCATGACCCGCTCTTCGCCGATGCCGCCGCGGAGCTGCCGGTGTTTCGGGCCCGGGCGGGCCGCTGGATGGCGGGTGGGGGCCGGTACACGTGGACGGACGAGCACGGCCAGACGGTTGCGGAGGAGACGACGGGGCGAGAGGGGCAGGGGGAAAGCAGCCTGGTGGTGAGGGCGCGGATGGGGCGGGCGCGGAGGGATGCGCTGGTGGCGCTGTGGGTGCTGAGGGTGTGGCACGACGGGGCGGAGAGCAGGGGCGCGAAGAGAGCGGGTGAGTTTCCTCGCTCGATGCAGATGGGAAGACGAGGTGTGACTGACTAGGAGTGCAGAGCTGGAGCGGATGACGCCGCTGCAGAATGTCAGTGTGGATGGCAAGATGGGGAAGCGGACGGCGGCGCTGGGTGGGCTGGCTGCGGGGGGCTGACGGGGATGAGAACTCGGCGTGCTCGTCGCCATCAAGACGCCGTGGAGATCGGCTGGACTGTCGCAATGCTACGCCGGTGGAGGAAGGGCACAGGGAGGGCACAATTGGGCATGTACACAAAATGCGAGGCCCCTCTTCCCTGCTCATTCTGCAGTGATGCTTGGCTCTCACATCCACGTTTGTGCGGGTGGCAGCTCGGGTCCGCCCCACAGCGGCGCCGCGATCCGGGGCCGGCGCTGTCCCGTTTGGGACTTACACGGCGTCCGGATTCCAGCGCATCCGCCCGGGCTGGAGGCGTTGCTCGGAACCGCCCCGCCTCACAGGACGGCAGCACGGCAGAGGAGCGCGCTTTGCGGCACAGAAATCTGCAAACACGGTCAATTCGCCGCCCAGTGTGGCGATGATGATGATGCGTCGATTGTGAGTCAGCCGGGGAAGCCTGCTTGCCGGCATCCACTCCACTGCGCAAAGGGCGTCGCGATCCGATGAGGGGCGAAGTCCATAAATACGCAGACGTCATCCGCCACTTACACACGTTGGCCGCCATCAACCCCCCGTCACGTCGGCAACGCCCCTCCATCACCCCATCCTCCAGCCATGAACTTTGAGCCCCCGTCCAAGACGCCCAAGGGCCCGCTCTGCACGCAGGCCTCGCTCGTCGAGGACCTGCGGCGGCTCGGCCTCCACGCCGGCGACACGGTGCTGCTGCACTCGTCGCTCAGCGCCATCGGCTTCGTCGTCGGCGGCGCGCCGGCCCTCGTCCGGGCGCTGCTCGAGGTGCTCGGCCCGCGCGGCACGCTCGCCGCGCCGACGCACACGGGCGACAACTCGGACCCGGCCGAGTGGCGCGACCCCCCCGTGCCGCGCGACTGGTGGCAGCCCATCCGCGACGCGATGCCCGCCTTCGACCCACGCACCTCGCCGTCGCGCATGATGGGCGTCGTGCCCGAGACACTGCGCAACTGGCCCGGCGCGCGCCGCAGCGCCCACCCGCAGACGAGCTTCGCCGCCGTGGGGGCCCGCGCCGAGGACATCACCGAGGGGCCTGCGGTGCTGGAGTGCCGCCTCGGCGAGGAGAGCCCCCTGGCGGTGCTGGAGCGGCTCGGCGCGCGCGTCCTGCTGCTGGGGTGCGGCTTCGACCGCTGCACGTCGTTCCACCTCGCCGAGTACCGCAACGCGTACACGCCCGTCGAGAATTCGTTTGCGGCGCTGGTCGGGGAGGATGGCGTTGCCGAGACGCGGCGCGAGTGGGTGACGGTGCGGGACGTGCCCATCGACGGCGACGACTTTGCCGCGCTGGGGCAGCACTTTGAGAGCGGGGGCGGCGTGGCGAGCGGCTTGGTGGGCGCGGCCGAGTGCAAGCTGTTTGCGATGCCCGAGGCGGTGGCCTTTGCCATGGAGTGGCTGGGCACGCATCGCAGCAGGGGGTAGGGGGTTCGTTTGCAATGCTGGACGCTGGACGACGAGAGCCAGCGGCGGCTGCGGGACGCTGGAAAGCAGTCTACGGTAGTGTGCATGTGCGAGCAGATGTATCGGTTACAGCGAGGCGGCGGTGGTGATGGCACTGGCCCAGCCGCGACACAAACCGTGCAGGGACGCGGAGGAGGAAGCCCGTGTTGCGGGCGGCTGGCAGATTCATCTCACCACCAAGGTGCACTACAAGTCCGAGACAACCAACGGCTCAGGTAGATATTTCATAAAGCATGTTGCTTTTCTCCGCTGGCAATCTGTGGTTCTGCAGGTATCCGACCTGCATGAAGCCGTTCCCTAGGTCCCGAATCAATGAGAAACGAAGCTCGCACGCCTCCCCGTCACACCGCAAACGCATGCCTCCATGCAGTCCAGCATCACGCCCCGATCCCCAACATGATCCCACGCCGCAGCCCCGTGCCCGCGGCACTCGGTCCGGCCGCGCTCAGTGGCGGCGCACGCGCGTGCTCGGCATCACCACCAGGTACTCGCACCCCTCGGGCAGGTCGCCCAGCGGCCAGTCCCAGTGCTGCTTGATCTCCTTGAGCGCTTGCATGGGCTCGGCGTGGTCGACGAAGAAGCGCGAGTCGATGCCCGCGACGAGGCCCGACGAGGCGTCGCCGAAGAGCTTGCCGCACAGCTTGGCGTCGCGCACGTACGGGATGGGCGACGACTTCATGACGGCCTCGGCGTTGCTCTTGATGTAGTCGAGCGAGAGGAGCTGGATGTGCGCTGCGGCGGCGTCAGTCTCGTGCCTCATCTCATCCCGTCTCATCCCGTCTCGCTCATCTCATCCCAAGCACTTACACCCAAACGAGCTCGCCGCCGCCAGGCACTCGACCGGGTTCGAGCTCGCCAGCCCGTACACGTCGTCCGAGTGCTCGCGCAGCGTCGTCAGCAGGCCGCGCGCCAGCCCGTGCGTGCGGAAGCGCTCGCCCACGACGAGCTGCGTGATCCAGCACACGTTCTGCCCGCCGTGCTTCCACCGGCACGCCAGCGCGTGGCCCGCCGGCTGCCCGTCGACCTTGACGCGCGTGTACGACGCGTCCGCCCCGGCCGGCAGGAACTCGTCGCGCAGCCGGTGCGCCGTCATGGTCACCGGCTTGCCCGGCTGCTCCGCCTTGGCGCCCCAGGTGCCGTAGTTTTCGCTGAAGAGCGCCGCCGCCTCCTCGAGCATGGCGTCCGTCACCTGCGACGCCGCAAACGTCTCGTACTCGCGCCGGGATCCCGCGTTGGCCATGCTTTACGTCTGCTGATGATTTCTTTGGGTGGTGTTTATAGGCAATGGGTGAGCAATTGGCATGGTTTGAGCATGAGATTCAATGCCTGGAGGGAAGCGTGGTTATCACCAGACCGCGAAACTCTGACGGGGGCGGGGTTCGCATCGCGGATACATCAGGCACACGTCAGCGGCTGATTGATTCAAAACTCCATCTCAGCTCGCGCGGCAAGGGATGCAACGATGCACGGGACGGAGAGGGTGTGTGGGAGGGCGGGCGGGCCGCGCGCTGGTGGTGGGCAAATCGCACGGGGTGGCGGTTGGTGCATCAATCATCACGATGTTGGCGTGCGTCGCGATGGCGGTGGTCCGACTCGCCGGAGACGACAACGACCCAAGACATGCGTACGTACGTGCTGCGCCCGTCACAAGCTCGATTGACGAATCACTACCTGCAGACCCAAGCTGCCCTCGTACGCCGCAGGCACCACGTAGTCGGCCGCCATCTCCAGCTCCCGCCGCTCCGTCTTGTACAGCTGCAGCGTCGGCCCCTGCCGCTCCGCCTCCGGGTCGTACACATCGTACCGGCGAAAGATGCCCGCGACCAGCGTCTGCATCTCGCGGTAGGCCAGGTGGATTCCCAGGCACTGCCGCGCGCCGCGCGAAAAGGTCAGCAGGTGCCGCGCCAGCTCCGGGCTCTCGATGTAGCGCTCCGGCACAAACTTGTCGGGCCGGTCGTACACGTCGGCGCAGCGGTTGACGAGCGGCGCCGCCATGCCGATGCCCGTGCCCGCCGGCAGCCGGTACGCGCGCCCCGTCCGCGGGTCCGTGTACGTCAGGTCCTCGTCGGGCGCGGCGCGGTCCTGCCGGTGCGCGGCGCCCGGGTGCAGGCGCACGGCCTCGTGGATCACGGCGTTGAGGTACGGCATCGCCTCGAGCTGCGCGGCCGTCGGCGGCGCGTCCGGGTCCGGCATGGCGCGCCGCAGCTCGTCCTTGAGCTGCCGCAGCACGCTGCGGTCCGCCAGCACGTGGTACACGATGGCCGAGAGCGTCAGCGCCGTCGTGTCGGTGCCGGCGACGAGCAGCACCGTCGCCTCGTTGAGGATGCGCTCCGTCCGCTTCTCCGACGCGGGGAGGGCGTCGCTGCGCATGATTTCGTGAAAGATGGTGAGCCCCTCGGGCAGGTCCTCGGACTTGCGGACCTCGTCGACCTCGGCGGCGACGTCCTGGATCAGTCAGTGACGTGACGCCTCACGAGTCATCGTCTGCGGACTCCTAGGCGGCTCACCTGCACCCAGCGCATAAAGACGCCGATCCGCGGCACGAGGCGCGTCATGAGCCCCGGCGGCAGCGCGCTCATGGCCCTCGCCAGCCGCGGGAAATGCGTCCCCAGGTGCGAGACCCAGTGCGGGCGGATCACGTCGAAAAACGCGGCGCTGCAGTCGTCCATGTCGAGGCAGGCCGTGCCGCCGCCGCCGCCAAAGGCGTACTGCTGGATGACGTCCTTGGTGGCCGCGCGAAAGGCGACGCCCATCTGGACGGGGACGCCGTCGCGCGCCCAGCCGTCCATGCGGCGCAGCAGGCGGGCGAGCGTCTCGTTGATGACGGGCTCGAGGCGGCGCACGCGCAGCGGCGAGAAGAAGGGCGCCAGGGCGGCGCGGCGGCGGCGGTGCAGGTCGTGCTCGCCCGTCGACAGCAGCGAGCCCGGCGACTGCATGAAGCCGACGACGGTGCGGAAGCGGTCGCGGCGGCGGCGCCCGGACACGGGGTACAGCTCGTCGGCAAAGGTCGGGTCGGCGACGTGCACGGCGTCCGGGCGGGTGCGCACCACGGGGCCGTACCGGCGGTGCATGTCGCGCACGACCCAGACGTACTGCCCGCCGCGGATGAGGTCATGGTAGGCGTTGTACCACGAGGTGAGGGCTGCTGTGGTGAGCGGACTGGTGCTTCGCGAATTGCGACCCGGAGCGGATCGGCGGTGCCGGCGGCGGCGGGGCGCTTACCGGCGAGCTTCGGGCCCGGGATGGCGGCCAGCGGGCTGAGGTAGAGCCGGTAGACGGCCAGGCCCACGGCGTACAGCGCGAGCGCCGCGGCGAGCACGAGGAGACCCATGGCGCAATTTGACTCTGCAGCTCAGGGAGCACTGCAGCAGCGGCAGCGGCAGCGAGGCGGTCGCCATGATTTGTACTTGTGCTCTGCAGTCTGCACCGCGGCCCGGACGGAACTGGGTCTGGTTCAGTCAGTCGCCGACCGCGCCGTACAAGTGACAGGGTACGCGTGGGCTTGGCCACGAAGCCCGAGGCTCGCCGTCTCGACTCTCGACCCCGGACGCTGCCAGGCTGGTCTGGTCCATGCAGCAGCCTTGCAGGCCGCGAGACGAACGACGGGCTGACGAGTGTATCGCGCCGGGCGATGTAACATGACGCGCAGCACCCCTCTGCGGAGGCGTGTCAGACAGCGCGGAGGACGGGAAACGAAGCTGCCCGACTCGGGGTGGGTGAAGCGTGAGCAGCGACACCAGCGGGTATCCGCGTTGTCTGCGAATGCCCGTCTGGGTCCTCTGGGATGGACGATCCTTCGTATCGCGGGTATCAGAGGCGGCCTGGGTCAGATTCTCAGAAATCACTTTGGGTCCTCTGGGTACCCGAACTGCCGCCCCTTGTTGCTCTGATACCCGGCCACGAGACGCAGTACCCGGAGTCTGGTCAATGCGGTGGGCAGGTCTGTCCGCGGAGCATGACTACCCGGGGGCCCCGAATGCATCTGCCAAAGCCAGAGTGTACGTTGTCGACGTTGTGCCCACTGCAGTCCTTACCGCGTAGACCTGGGCCCTGCCCGTATACGTGGTGCTGAGCCCGTTGGGGACGGCTTCAATCGCAGCCCACCAAGCAACGCAGCGACGCGCATCAGACCAAACCACGACGCGAGCCGTCAACCGATCGCCACTAATGCACCGCGGCCTGCAATCGCAGTCGACCTGCGACAATGATCGGATCCGAGCCCCATCGCCGAGTCCCCAAGCGTGGCCAGCGCAACGGTTCCACGACATGTCCAGGCTGCAACTCCACTCCCTGCGCAACCATCGTCACCACTTGACTCATCCCCGTCGCGGCCAAACGACGACGACGAACAAGCTGCACCTATATCAGTACCGCCTCGCCCTCGCGCTGCTGTTAAGCGGCACTCTTCCACCGCAGAAACCACCGCCATGGCCGCCAAGCAAATCGCCCTCGTCACCTGCAGCACGCGCTCCCCGCGCCTCAACCCCTTCATCACGCAGCACGTCGAGCGCTCCATCGCGCCCCTGCTCCCCGCCACCGTCGGCCTCGCCACCGTCGACGTCGCCGCGCTGGCCCTCCCGCTGTACGACGAGCCCGCGATCCCCTCGCGCCTGCCCGCCGACGACCCCACGCCGCACTACGCCCACGAGCACACGCGCCGCTGGTCCGCCCTCGCGCGCCGCTACGACGCCTTCGTCTTCGTCACGCCCCAGTACAACTGGAGCGTCCCCGCGTCGCTGAAGAACGCCCTCGACTTTCTGTTCCACGAGTGGGCCGGCAAGCCCGCCGCCATTGTGTCGTACGGCGGGCGCGGCGGCGGCAAGTCGGCGGCGCATCTGCGCGACATCCTGCACGGGCTGCGCATGAGGCCCGTGGAGGCGGCCCCGGGGTTGACGACGAGCAGCACCACGCTTGCGCACTGCCTCGAGGCGGGCAGCGTGGGCGAGGCGGACGTCCGGCGGTGGGCCGAGGCGGGCGTGGAGGAGCAGCTCGAGGCCATGGCCAAGGAGCTGTTGCAGGCGCTGCTGGCTTGAGTTGGGCCTCAGGTACGTACGCAAAGGTGCCTTGCCAGCAACGACTGCCAACAATCATCATCCGTAGCCAATTGACACACATTGACCTTTTCACGTTGGCCTCCATCTGTGCATCGGAGGCGGCTGCTTGTCGTCGGATGGGCTGGCGTGCCGGGTGCCGAGAAGGAGGCGCAGTCCGGCATCCCAGCTTCGGACGACGCCAGCTGGACCTGGCTGCGGCTGCGGTCCGGGCGCCTCAAAACACCAGCACTCAGGGTACAGCCTATGGCAATCCATCCCGCGACCACCGCCAAAATGCCTCGTGCCGTGATCCGAGCCGCAGTCACGGGCATCAAGCCACCAACGCCGGCGCGGACAGTGCGCAGCAGCTACATAGCCAGACCCCAGCCCATGCCTCGACACGGCGTCAAAGGGATTACCTCTCGCCAAAGTCGCAAGGGCATTCATACACAGATCGTGTCCAAATCAACACTCACCATCACATCCACGACAGCCTCGGCAATCTCAATGGGCAAAGGAAAGGAAGTCAGCCGCCCACCCGCTGAAGGCCCCAGTCCGCCGCCATACAGCGAGCGCGATGCGCAGTCCGAGGCGCCACCAGCATACGACGAAGCGCTGTCGGAGCAGGCCATCCACACGCCAACGCAGTATCCCCGGTTCCCCAGCGTCCTCAACCTCTACGGCTCGCGGTTCCGGTGGCTATCCGCCGACCTCTGCGGGGACGATGCCAGGCAGCGTCTCTTCCAGGTCGACTTTCACACCGGCGTCATCGCAACGGGACCGCTCGGCCCTCGTCCCGGCATCGTTTTGCGCAAGGGGCCCAGTAGCAAGGCGCCCGTCGCAGGGGCGGCGGGCTGGGCGTCGGCGTCGGCAGCCACGTCGTGCTCCTGCGCCCCCGACTCCATCGTCGTCCTGCCCAACTGGGATCCGGATGTGAGCGCCAATCTTGTCGAAGAGACGATGCACGGCATGACAACGTCCACGGGGGATCTCCTTTTCTGCTTCAAGGTCGAGGCGGGCGAGAAGCAGGCGCGCCGGGAGTTTGCCTGGGTGAAGCTGGACGGCGGCGGGGGCGGCGAATCGAGCACGAAGCAACACCGGTTCCGGCTGGTGCAACAAAGCCCAAGTCCCTGGGGAAAGGACGGCAAAGGCAGTGATGGAAGCAGCAGCAGCAGCAGCAAGATTGAACCTGGGACGCTGGCCATGCTTTCGTTTTACCCGACGCCAGCACACACTCTGCACTACTTCCGGCTCGAGCTCACCGGCGTCGACCTCGGGCCGCGCTGGGCGCTCATGACTGTCCTGACGGCGCTGAGGCTGTGGATGCTGCGGGTCAATCTCCAAAACGCACCAGGAGAGGCGCTCTTTGGCCCGAAGCGTCATGCAACCAAATCCGCACACTGAGCTGGACCGAGGCCGAGACCCCGGAGCCCGTCTCGGTGCGAGCCCCGCTTTTCCGGCACTGTCCCGGCCGTCAAGCCGGACCATTCCCTCGCACAGTTGAGTCTGGACGGCAGCGCAGGTAGCAATGATTCTCATGATTTCTTGCGCAAGACATCAGCTAAAAATGCCACAGCCCTAGCTCCGACCCAGCCACCTGCGAAACTCGTGCACCTGCGGCCTGTCCGACTCGCGCAGGTGCACCCGCCTCCCCTCGCCCGCCGTCCACCGCTCCGCCGCGCGCACCATGTCGCGCCCGTCCCGCGCGCGAATGTACTCGACAATCGGCCGCCAGAACGTCTGCTTCATCTCGCGGCAGTGGATGGCCTGCACGTAGTGGCGCAGGCACAGGCCGTGGATCAGCGCGTTGTACTCGTCCGACTCGGGCGAGCCCGCCATGTCCTCGCTGCCCGGCTCGTTGCAGTACGGGTGCTCGTTGAAGATGAGGGCCTGCACCGACACCAGCACCTGCAGCAGCGACGACTTCGCCGGGTTCCACGCCTCGCCGTGCCACGTGCCGAGCAGCGACAGGCAGACTGTTGGTCAGCGTGCGTTCCTCAGTCTAGATGCGGGAAAGGGGGGAAAGGGGGCCTTACCGATGCCGTCCTCGTGGAGGTTGGCGTTGATCTTGTGCGGGCAGCTCCGCCGCGGCGACCACACCATTTCGGGCGGCTTCTGCGGGAACTCGTTGGTGCACAGCATGGAAAACTCGAACAGGCCAAACTCGTACGGCGTGTCGCGCGGGCCCTCGATGATTACCTTGATGGCGTCCGGCCGGCCCGCCGCGTGCTTGACCCAGATGCCCGGCGGCAGGCTCGACGAGAGCACGCTGAGCTCGCGCAGGATGCGCTTCATCCGCCCGGGCCGCGTCCTCTCGTTGAGCATGCGGTGCACGTCTAGGAAGGGAAAGTGCTCCATGATGATGTCATCGTCGAGCGCCTCGACGCAGTGCTCGCGGTGGAAGCGGTCCTCGCCGTTGGCGGACAGGCCCGGGCGCGGGGTGCCAGATGATCCCGGACGCGGAGTGCGAGACGGTCCCGCGCGTGAGCTGCCAGATGATGCCGGACGCAGAGTGCCAGACGGTCCCGCGCGTGAGCTGCCAGCCCGAGACGAGGTCGACCGCCCGGAGCCCGTGCCGCCACGAGAGAAAGGCCGCTGGGCACTGCCTACGGCGCCAGACGCAGCAACCAGCTGGCCTATTCGCGTCGCATCGCTCCCGCGCGCCGACGAGCGCAGGTCCTGGAGCAAGCCCAGCAATGGCCGCGACGCAACGCCGGGACCACGCGCGCCGCTCGGATGCATGGTCATCGAGAACAGCATCGACTCCGGGCCATACGTGCGCAGTTCGCCGTGGACGACCTCTGCCAGGACGGGGTGGCTCTGCAGGGTCTCGATGACGCCAAACACCTGCTCGTACAGCGCGTGTCGCGCGGCAAGATCCTGCGTGGTCCCCTGCCGGATCATGGCCGCCATCCTGATGAACAGCGGGCTCGAGCGAAACATTTCAACCAGCGCAGAGGGCGGCTGTCTGTCGAACTGGGACGTCCCCGACGGGCGCGGCAGCATCCTGTTCAGCGCCGCCAGCATGTCAGCGAGCCGAGCCTCGGCCCTCTCGCTCTCCTCGCCGCGGTTCTCTGCCCTGTCCGCCGGGAGGCCGCACAGCAGCACCCAGGTGACATAGAGCCTCGCCATCGGGCAGCACTCGGTGCGCGCGTTGGACAGGACCCGGCCGCAGGCCATGCACACGGCCGCGCCGCAGTGCGAGCACGGCGCGCAGCTCGTCTTGGCCTTGAGGGCGCCGATGCGCGCCGCCTGTCTCTGCACTGCCCTTTCGTCCTGGATCATCTGCGAGCTGCACTTGGGGCAGCGCAGGCGGCGGAGGTGGCTGCCCAGGTGGCCCAGCGGGCCGACCGACGACTGCGGCGTGTCGTCTGTTTGCTGCGTGAACTGGTCTCTGCTTCCGCCCCCTGGCGAACCGCGTCCAAGCCTCCGACCTTCGCCGTATCTCATGTTTGGTCGATGTTGGTTCATAGTGCAAATGCGTCGTGGGTTGGTGTCGGCGTATGCAGCCTGCTGCGCGGTTCTTTACAACACTGGAGGCCGGTGGAAACGGTGTAGATGGTCTGCTGCGCTTTCGATATGCACCGCCAAGGGATTTGGTTAGCAGGTTCGGGAGCAATGCAGTCGAGGATCGAGCTTTTGTACGTGGACGTAGGAGGAGCGGCGTCTCCCCGCCAAACATGGTGATTCACAAAGGTCTTGCAGTGCACGTAGAGATGTGTCCCCCCTGTGTTCAACGCAGCTTGCAGAGTGACGACATGACCGTCGGTTTGTTTCCACACGATATCAAAGGGAACAGCGCGTGACGGCACGGTGAGCACGTTCAGTGACTGGCGCGCCCGCGTGTTTGCACGGTTCTCGCAGTGGGACAGTCAAGCACAATGGGACAGCGCCTGTTCATTGCTAGCCGCTCTACTCATTACGCCACGACGCTCAATCACTTTGTCGTAATGGCCCGCCGCTTCAGCACCGCCGAGTTCTCGTTCAGCCCGTGGTAGTCGTGCGCGTCGAGGCACGCCTGGCGGCTCAGCAACACGGCCGGCGCCGCGCGCTCGCGCATCTCCTCCTCGTACTCGACGATGGCCTCCGCGCGCGCCTTGCCCCCCGCGTACACCTCCTCGATGCGGCGGGCGAGGATGTAGGCGTCGAGGATGCCGTGGTTGGCCGCCTCGCCGCGGTACATGGTCATGGCGTGGGCGGCGTCGCCGACAAGCGTCACGCGCCCGCCGCGGCTGTCCCACTGCTGGCACGGCCAGTCCTGCAGCGCAATCTCCATGACGGACGCCGTCGGCGGGATGGCGTCGACGACGTTGCGCAGCAGCGGGTGGAAGTCGGCCGCGCGGCGCTGCATCTCGGCCACGCGCGCGGCGTCCCCGTCGGGCACCTCGTCGGCCTCGGGGTCCCGCACGGGCCACGAGACGATGACCTGGATGCGGTAGTGCGCGTCGGGCGTGCCCGCCGACCCGTTGGTGTCGGGCGTCTCGAGCATCGAGATCCACAGGAAGTTGCCCGTGACGGGGTGGCAGCCCTGGAAGAGCAGCGGGTCGATGTCGCGCAGCGGCTGCGCCTCGTCGGGCCGCAGGTCGATGGCGGCGCCGACGAGCCGCACCGGCAGCTGGTAGTTGCGGAACGTGTCGGGCACGAGGAAGCGGCGCGTCTGCGAGTTGGAGCCCTCGGCGCCCACCAGCAGGCGGCCGTCGACCGAGGAGCCGTCGGCGAAGACGGCCCGCACGTCGCCGTCGCCGTCGATCCCGTCGCCGTTGCCGTCGAGCAGCTCGACGCCCGTCAGCCGCCGGCCCCAGCGGACGTGCTCGGCCACGCCCCGGAGCAGCGCCTTGCGCAGCCGCTCGCGGTTGACCCGCCGGCGCTCGTTGGGCGGGATGCGGAACTTGGTCTCGAGCGTCTCGAGGTTCAGGAACAGAAAGTTGCCGTTGTCGTTGCGCCCGACCTCGGGGTCGACCTGCACCGCGTCGACGGCCGCGAGCGTCTCGTCGTCGAGCATCTTGCGCAGGAACGGCAGCACCCAGTGCAGCGTGATGGCCCAGCCATGCGGTCGCGCGTCAATGTGCTCGTCTCGCTCGTAAATCTCAAACGGGATGCCCGCCTGCCATTGTCAGTCAGCCCGTGTTCTCCATCTGCCATTGTTGGCCGCGTGCGTGGCGCTGGTGACGGCGTGGTCCCGGCGGCCATGGCGGCGATGCAGCGTGCAGCGTGCAGGAACTCGTACCTTTTTCAGAGCGTGCGCGAGCGTGAGCCCAACGACGCCGGCGCCGCTGATGATGACGGGTTTGACCACGGAGCCCATGATGGATTGCGTCGTTTGCTGTCGGGGACTCGGGGCCGCGGGGTTGCAGTCTGGGGTCCCGGCGTGGGCGCGTAGATATAGAGTGGCGGCACCCCAGCCAGCTGCCGGGGGCCCCTCGCCGTCTCCGCCGTCACTTCAGACATGCGTGACTGAGCTAACCCGCCTGTGAGCTGCGGCCATGTAGCATCCGTCAAACCAACGCCGCACCGGACGCGAGCACTCGCAGACGCGCCTCAACCGCCGTCCGAATCGCGCCTGTCGCCGTCGGACCTGCGTCTCAGTCAGCTGCCACTGCCGCGCTCGCGACGGACGGGACCTGGGACAAGCGCGGGCCTCTGCCGCCGCACCTACGTCCCCGCGGATCGATCAAGCCAAGCAAGCCCCGCGCGGATCCCGATAGCTTGTCGGGTGAGGCCAGGCGATTGCGGGGAGCCGCCGCTTGGGGCGAGTGCCGGGTGTAGGGTAGGCGGTCCGCGGCGCGGTGGCTTGCCGGCGTTGGCTGGCGGCTCGCGACATTGTTGTGCCGATCCGGCTGGACAATCAACCGCTGGCCTGGGAGCTTCATGCATCGCGTTTGCACGCCAGACGCCGACGGCACACCACGATCCACGATCCGCAGACGACGCGAGCACAGCGACCGCGCATTCGGCACTCCCGCACCCCGGCGGAGCATGGCCACGCCCTGACGCCCGCCATGTTCACCTTTTGCCCGCTCCAGGGCGCCCTGTCCGAGTCGACGGCCTCGCAGTCGCTGCTCGAGCTCGACGGCGGCGTCAAGGTGCTCGTCGACCTGGGCTGGGACGACTCGTTTGACGTGCACAAGCTCGAGGAGCTCGAAAAGTTGGTGTCCCAGTTGCTTCGCGGCCCGGCGTCCGTCGGCGCCTCCGCAGCAGCAGACTGCTGATCCCCCTGCAGGCAGATACCGACGCTCTCCCTCGTCCTCCTCACCCACGCGACCGCCTCCCACCTCGCCGCCTACGTCCACTGCTGCAAGAACTTTCCCCTCTTCACGCGCATCCCCGCCTACGCGACGCGCCCCGTCATCGACCTCGGCCGCTCCCTCACGCAGGACCTCTACTCCTCGACGCCCGCCGCCGCCACCACCATCCGCCAGAGCTCCCTCTCCGACGTCGCCTACGCCTACTCCCAGACCGCCACCGCCGCGCACAACCTCTTGCTGCAGTCGCCCACCCCCGACGAGATTGCGCGTTACTTTTCCCTCATCCAGCCCCTCAAGTACTCGCAGCCGCACCAACCCATACCCTCGCCCTTTTCGCCGCCGCTCAACGGCCTGACCATCACCGCGTACAACTCGGGCCACACGCTGGGCGGCACCATCTGGCACATCCAGCACGGGCTCGAGTCCATCGTCTACGCCGTCGACTGGAACCAGGCGCGCGAGAATGTCTTTGCCGGCGCGGCCTGGCTGGGCGGCGCGGGCGGCGGCGGCGCCGAGGTCATCGAGCAGCTGCGCAAGCCCACCGCCCTCATCTGCAGCAGCCGCGGCGCGCAGGCGGGCGGCCGCGCCAAGCGCGACGAGCACCTGGTCGAGATGATCAAGTCGTGCGTCGCCAAGGGCGGCACCGTCCTCATCCCCGTCGACTCGAGCGCCCGCGTCCTCGAGATGTCGTACCTGCTGGAGCACGCGTGGCGCGCAGACGCGTCGCAGGGGGGATCCCTCGGCGCGGCCAAGCTGTACCTGGCCGGCCGCAGCATGTCGAGCACCATGCGCTACGCCCGGAGCATGCTCGAGTGGATGGACAACAACATTGTCCAAGAGTTCGAGGCGTTTGCCGAGGGACAGCGGAGGGTCAATGGCGCCGGCGACAAGAAGGAGGGCGGCCCGTTTGACTTCAAGTACCTGCGCCTGCTCGAGCGCAAGGCGCAAATCTCCAAGCTGCTGGGCCAGGCGGCGGAAGAAGGCGGCCGCGTCATCCTCGCCAGCGACACGAGCATGGAATGGGGCTTCTCCAAGGACCTGCTGCGGGGCCTCGCCGCGGACACCAAGAACCTCGTCATCCTGACGGACCGGCCGAGCATGGTCGACGGCGCCGCGCCCTCGGTCGCGCGCACGCTGTGGGAATGGTACAAGGAGAGGAGGGACGGCGTGTCGGTCGAGCAGACGGGCGGCGGCGACAGCCTCGAGACCGTCTACGGCGGCGGGCGCGAGCTCGAGATCAAGGAGGCGGGCCGGCAGCCCCTCGAGGGCGAGGAGCTCGCCGTGTACCAGCAGTGGCTCGCCACGCAGCGGCAGCTCCAGGCCACGCAGCAGGCGGGCACCGCCGTGGAGCCCGCGGCCGACGTCGACGACGCCTCATCGGAATCTTCATCCGACTCGGAGGACGACGACGACCAGCAGCAGGGTAAGGCCCTCACGGTGTCGGCCACGCTGGGCCAGGCCGGCCGCAAAAACGTGGTGCTCAAGGACGAGGACCTCGGCATCAACGTGCTCATCAAGAAGCGGGGCGTCTACGACTTTGACCCGCGGGGCAAAAAGGGCCGCGAGCGCTCGTTCCCCATGGCCATCCGGCGGAAGCGCACCGACGACTTTGGCGAGCTGATCCGCCCCGAGGACTACCTGCGCGCCGAGGAAAAGGACGAGGACCACGCCGACGCCAACGTGGCCGCCGAGGACGACAAGCTCGGCAAGAAGCGCAAGTGGGACGACGTGGCCAAGGCCGGGCCCGGCAAGCGCGCGCCGCCCAAGCAGGCCGACGACGCCGACGCGGTCTCGGCCGACGGCTTCGAGCACGACGAGCTGGACGTGGCCGACGACGCCGAGCCGGAGGAGCCGGCGGGGCCGTCCAAGCTGGTCTACGCCTCCGAGACGGTCACGGCCAACCTGCGCATCGGCTTCGTCGACTTTGGCGGCCTGCACGACAAGCGCAGCCTCGACATGCTCATCCCGCTGATCCAGCCGCGCAAGCTGATTCTCGTGGCCGGCAACCGCGACGAGACCATGGCGCTGGCCGCCGACTGCCGCGCGGCTCTGGGCGGCGCCGACGTCTTCACCCCCGAGGTGGGCGCCTGGGTCGACGCCAGCGTAGACACCAACGCCTGGGTCGTCAAGCTGGCCGACCCGCTCGTCAAGAAGCTCAAGTGGCAAAACGTGCGCGGCCTCGGCATCGTCACCATCAGCGGCCAGCTGCTCGCCGCCGCCGCAGCAGCAGCAGCAGCGTCGGCGCCAGACGGGGCCGACCAGCACGACGAGTCGTCGCCCGCCAAGCGCCAAAAGACGGAGCAGTCCACGGCCTGTCTCTTATACACATCTAGATGTGTATAAGAGACAGGCGCCAGACGGGGCCGACCAGCACGACGAGTCGTCGCCCGCCAAGCGCCAAAAGACGGAGCAGTCCACGGCCGTCACCCTCGCGACGCCGGCGTCGGGCCCGCTGCCGGTGCTCGACGTGGTGCCCGCGAACCTGCTCGCCGCGGCGCGCACGGCGGCCCGGCCGCTGCACGTGGGCGACCTGCGCCTCGCGGACCTGCGGCGCGCCATGCAGAGCTCCGGCCACGCAGCCGAGTTTCGCGGCGAGGGCACGCTCGTCATCGACGGCGCCGTGTCCGTGAGGAAGACGGCCGAGGGGCGCGTCGAGGTGGAGTCGGTGGGCATCCCGGTGTCAGGACGGAGGAGCACCATGTACGAGGTGAAAAAGGCCATCTACGAGGGCCTGGCCGTGGTGGCCGGGGCATAGTGTACAACACGGCGTCTGGGAAGACTGGGAGCGCCCATGTAACGATTTAGAACAATACCGTGAGGCCGCGTGGGCCCGTGATGGAAATCCATGCTATATGAGTTTTCGCTGCGTGACGGCCCATGAGCGGACGTCGTCTATGTTGCAGGCCACGGCGCCGCTGGCCCGCTAATGTACACATCCCAAACGCCGAGCAATGCCGCTGTTTCGACCTCGACCTCGATCCTCAGGCCGCCTTTTGCATCTGCACCATTTCGTACTCGCCCGCGCCGTCCCTGCCGCGGCCTCTCCCCCTGCCGCGCGTGAACCCTGCGTCTGCGTCCTCGGGCGTGCCGTCGCCGCCCTCGCCAGCCTCCACGTCGACGTCGCCATCGTCGTCGTCGTCGTCTGCGGTGCCGCTCGCAGGGGGTGCCGCGCCGCCGCCCGAGCCCAGGATGCGCCCGCCGCCGAAGAAGACGGGCTGCAGCTCGCGGTAGCGGCAGCCCCAGGTGCCGGCGGCGACGGCGAGCGCCGAGGACGCGAGCATGGTGGCCCACCACATGGCGTGGCGGGGCAGGGAGCGCGTGTAGAGCGTCGTGGCGAGCAGGTGGAGGAAGTGGATGGTCAGGGCGAAGTCGGGGACGAGCTTGCTGCGGGCGATGAGGACGACGATGGCGACGGCCCTGGTGGTGTCAGCGATGCTATGGAGTGCAGCCCATCGCCAGCAGAGTGGCAGATCCGTAGATAGGGGACGGGGACGGGACGGGACGGGGGCGGAGGTTGAGGAAACGTACATGCACAGGCCGCCATCGAGCAGCCACACAAAGGCCAGCAACCAGCCGGTCGTAGTGTCGCCCCGGACGGCATCCCAGCCGAGCAGCATGTTGAGGCCAAACGGCAGGCCGGCAACGAGCGCCGTGAAGAGCAGGAACACAACGGCGGCGACGTAGTAGAGCACCTGCAGGAGGGCAATCTGGGAGGCGATGCGCAGGGGCTGCAGCTCCGAGAGGGCGCCAGCGCGCGGCGGGCGTCTGCGTCGCGGCATCGCAGCTCAACGACGTCTGATGCGCGGCTTTGGATGTGTTGGGGGGGTTATCGCATCGCCGGGTTGTCGAGGGTGAGGTGGGCGTCGCGGTTCGAGCTATGTGTGCGTCGTGTGCGGCCAGGCGTCACGCCACGGGGAGATGATGGTGATGGGGAGTCGAGAGTGGAGGGCGCCAGAAGGATGGTGGAAGCTCGCCTCAGGCGACGGGACGGGGAGTGTCCGGGACAGCTTGCACCCGGGGCGTTGCAGTGCCGGCCAGTGGTTGGAGGTGGCTGGCCCAGGGAGCGGAAAGGGGCACACCGCCCGATTCTGCCGCGGCGTCATCGGATTCGCAGAACGACGGGAATTGATGGAGCTGCGCAGCTCCACGGACGACGACCGATCTTCAACTGGCGAGAACCTAACATCTCGACGACCGCCGACTGCACGCCCGCCCACGCTACATCGCCGCTGCATCGACGCTCGCTGAATCCTCGCCCGCCCATACCGACTCGGCTCTGCATCGACGCTGCATCGACGCCCGCCGAATCCACGCCGCCCGGCCTGAGCCTCACCCCATCACCCGGAGCTCTTCACCTCGTCCTCTGCACATCCACCATGGGCTGGTGGCCCTTCTCCTCCGACTCGCGCGCCGACGCCATCCGCTCCGGCGACGCCATCCCCACGCGCGCCGAGCGCCTCCAGTGCTGGGCCTCGCGCGACGCCTACTTTGCCTGCCTCGACGCGCACTCCATCCTCGACGCCACCAAGGACGCCTCCAAGGCCGCCCGCGCCTGCCCCCGCGAGTCGGCCGACTTTGAGCGCGACTGCGCCGCCGCCTGGGTCAAGTACTTTAAGCAGTGGCGCGTCGCCGACGTCCAGAAGAAGCGCCGCCTCGAGGAGCTGCGCCGCCAGGGCGCCCAGGAGATGGAGGTGTCGACGAGCTTTGCGCCCGACGGCGGCGCCGCGGAAAAGGGCAAGGGCCGCGACGACATCCAGGGCATGCTGGACCAGAAGCGGAGGTAGCAACATGCACAGGCTAGACCTCACACTGTATCATCATGTACCACCATGTATCACAACGCACTCATATCTACCATTGTCTAAGATACCGACTTTCGCTCGTCCAAATGAACAAGGAGACATATGAAATGTAAAGAGTGCAGACACTGCATGCATGCTAGCCGATGCGTGGTATCATCCATGTTGGGACAAGAAAAGGCACACCGTTCCTCCGCCGCGGCGTCGTGGCCGCACTCCACCCCCATTAGTCGTGAGATGTGGTCCCCGCGCATCTCGGGCCTCGCCCGTCGTACGGGCCCGAGGCGTACTGTACTCACTCCGCCAGGCACAGGCACGTCATGGTCGACGCCACCTAGGCCGCCATCCGCACCCCGCTGTCCTGCGTCTCGCCCTGGGGCAGGGGCGGCAGGTTCTTGTTGAGGCTGTCCTTGCTCCGCGGCGACCGCGCGTAGCTGAGCGAGTTGTCGCGGCTGACGGTGCCGTTGCTGTTGCCCCCGTACCCGCTGTCCGACCCGTCGGGCCGCGGCGGGGCCTCGCGCTTGGGCGGCGTCGGCGGCGGCGGCCCCGTGGGCGGCGGCGGCACGTAGTCCCGCGCCTCGTCGGCGTCGCTGCGCTGCTCGCCGGTCTCCTCGACGATCGGCAGCACCGGCTCGTGCTGCGGCGGCTCGCGCTTGTCGGGCGCGTTGGTCCGCAGCGTGCGGTCCGGCACCTCGCGCTCCGACGCGCCGCCCATGACCGACTTGCGCGCCTCCCGGTTGGCCATCTCCACAGTCTCCCGCGCCTCGGGCGAGCGCGGCCCCGACGGCACCGCGGGCGGCTGGTGGTCCGGCATGGGCGGGATGCCGTGGTGGCGCTGCGTCGAGCTGCGGTGCGGCGCCTCGGCCGCCTCGACGGCCTCGCGGTCCCTCCGCTGCGCCTCGCGCCGCGCCTCCTCGGCCGACATGGTGATGCCCTCGACAAAGTTGTAGAAGCGGTCTCCGTACTGCTCCGGGGGCAGCGCTGAGATTTGCGTGCGGTCGTGGGACAGGCCCTTCCAGAAGTGCTCAATCTTCTTGATCATTCCGTACTGCGGCGGGTTAGCAACGGCACCCCGTCGGGTGGGCATGGCGCACTCACGTGGGTCAGGCAGTCAATGACGCCCAGGTAGTAAATCTCGTCGGCCGGCGAGTTGTCCTCGTGCGTCGCCCGGAACCCCCCGTCGTCCTGGTTGAACACGAAGCCCGCGCGCGCGTGGCCCTCCTCGAGCTCGTCGGGCATCTGGTCGAGCGCCTGGCCCATGGGCACCGGCCGCTCCTGCCGGATCATCTGGCGCAGCTCGCGGGCCTTGCGCACGCTCTCGAGCTTGGACGGCGTGCGCAGCAGCCCCGTCTGCGGGTCGTCGTCGACGGCGCCGGGCGCCTTTTCGCCGCCCGGGTTGAAGACCTGCAGCGTCTTGCCGCGCAGGTTCTCCTCGTTGCCCCGCGACAGGTCGTGGATGCCGATGAGCAGCGAGTAGTCCATGATCTGCAGCCGCTTGAGCAGCACCACGTCGCGCTGCAGCTGCTCGAGGAACATGCGCTTCTTCTGGATCCCCAGCTCGAGGTGCTGCTGCCGCCGCAGCCAGTTGAGGTCCTTGAGCGTCGCCCGCGGGTTCTTGGCCAGGTCGTCTTCTCTGTAGTCGCGCCCGACCGTCGAGCCCTTGAGGTCAAACGTCGTGTGGATGTCCCGGTGCGGCGGGAACAGGTTGTTCATGACGACAAAGTGAATCTTCTTGCCGTACGGCATCTTGACGCGGTGCAGCCCGTAAAACTGCGACAGCAGCGTGTTGGGGTTCTGCTGCACGTGGTCGTAGTACTCGCGCAGGACCTTGCGCAGGAACTTGTGCTCCGCGTGGTGGATCGTCTTGATGATGTACTTGTAATCTCTGGAAAAGTAAAAGAAGCTGCCGCTCTTGCCGGGCGACCCCAGCTCCGAAAGTATGTACTTGCCCGTCAGCGACATGAGGTAGTCGGCCGGGTCGAGGCGGAAGAGGGAGCGCAGCCGGCGAAAGACCCACGGCGCGTAGTCTTTGAACTTGAAGTCGTACTTGGCCGACGGCACGAGCTCGTTGCCGGTTCTGTCTGGTCAGCGGGGGACACTCGGCCGGGGGCAGGGGCACGTACATGTCAAACGTCGACTTTTGCTTGGCGTCAAAGTCGGCCGGCGTCAGCTCGCGGTCGAGCTTGGCGTTGGTCCGCGACACCGACACGCGGATCCCCGTCAGCATGTTATACGCGGTGACCCAGTTGGCGTGGCTCTCGTCGACCTTTGTGCCGACCAGCACGCGGTCGTCGTCCTCCTCCTCCTTGCGCTTGCGCTTGCTGGCCCGCTTCTGCCGGTACGCCTCGGCCCACCGCAGGGCGTCCTCGTCGGGGACAATCTCGTCCCGCGGCGCGTCCGACTGCATCGAGCGCGTCGTCCTGCGCACCAGGTTCAGCGAGGCCCGCCGCGTCCCCGTGGAGCCCGCGACGCTGGGCGAGAAGCGGCCGCTGGCGTGCGCGTCGAGCCCGTCCTTGGACTGCCGCCCCGGGGGCAGCTTGGGCACCTCGAGCGTGTGCCTCTGCTTGAGGGACGACGGCGGCTGCAGGTGGCCCGACGGCGAGGTGGAGAGCGGGTTGGGGACGGGGTGGTACGCGGGGGGTGACGAGAAGCGGTGCGGAGAGGTCTTGCCGGTCGGGGAGTGCTGCTCGGAGTGCTGCTCGGCGGGCCGCTGCTCCGACTGCGAGGCCGGCAGGCTCTTGCGCGGCGTCGCCGGGCCCTCGAGCGACTCGCGGCCGTCGTGGTGTTGTTCATGGTGGTTGGGGTCGGCTGGCGGCCGGGGCGCGGTCCGGTCGGGGAGGACCATGGATCCGTTGAGCCCGTTGAGGCCGTTGACCGGCCGGGCCCTGGGCGTCGCATCCAGCGCGTCGTCGGCGTCGGCAAAGACGCTGTGGTCGTTGGTCGAGCTCATGCTCGTCGGCCGGGTCCCGTTGCCGTTGCTGACGGGCACGGGGGTCGTCTCCGAGACGTCCGAGTCGCGCGTGGACAGGGTCGAGCCCTCGTCGTAGCTCCCATTGACTATGCCTGAGCGACCGTGGCCGACGGGGCCCCCATTGGCCGCCTTCTTGCCGTCGAGCCCGAAGCGGTTGTCGGGGTCGAGATCGAGGACGTCGACGTCGGAGAAGGGCGTGTCGCTGAGGAACGAGGGCATCTCGCAGCCGTCGAATGCTGCCGGGCCCCGTTTGTTGCTGGGTGGTTCAGGAGGGAGCCCGTTACCGATAGATGGACGAGGCTCGGGCGGTGAGGTGACGTCCAGATTGGGCCCCGTGGGAGCGAGAGACGGCGGCGCAGTCTCCAGATGGCGGCTACAGCATCCAGAGGGCCGGCCAGGCGCACTACATCGATGCGCGGCGGCAGCAACGGGGGTGACGACAATCCGGGCGAGCGTTGAATTGGACTGGGCGGTGGGGGCGTGGACGGGGGACGGGCGGCAGAGGCGGTGTCGAGCGAGCGAGTGAGCGACCGAAGCAGCGGGCCCCCCGGGTTCTCCGCCGTGATGATGCTGATGACGATGGCGATGGCGATGGGACGGCGTCGGGGTCGTGACAGGTTTGGGCTCGGAAAGTGTCGATGAAGTCGCTCGGGCAGGCCGTTGGCTGGGTGCAGGATGGCTGGCTGGGCGGCGTCCCGGGTTGCAGTTCCATTGGATTGGGGTCAGCGCAGCTCCAGCGCAGACGAAATTGCAACGAGGCTTGGCCGGCAGCAGGGGGCTGCGGCGCCCACTGGCAGTCGCCCATCCCCCTGTGGCGCCGCGACATGCGTGCCGTGGGATTGGCGGTGCGCCGGGCGGTGGGCCTCGATACCGGATGCTGGCGACTGGGCTGAGCCGGCGGGGGGGCACGCTGAAAGGGGGTCACCACACCACTGAGCGCTCGGGTGTGGTGCTCGACGTCAACTGGAAGCTGGAGCTTCGTGCTTACGATCCCTGGCCCAATTGCTGCTGCCACGCACGCGGTGGTCCGCGAGCCGACTCGACGTCAAGGCACCGCTCCCTGACAGTCGCAGCGCGTCACGAGCCGGGCCCTGGGCGTCGCGGCGAAACCGCACGGGAGCGGGTGATGACGATGCGCCCGAAAAGAAACCATCGTCAGGGCCCGCCACGTGCATCCCGCGGCCGGGCGACGACTCAGCCACGGCGGTGACAGGGCTCCCGCTGTCTCATGCCTCGAGCCTGAGCCTCATGCCACCGCTGCGTGTGCGGTTTCTGTCGCTATACGAGCGCCCGCCTCCAGCGCGACGTCTGGCGCGCGCACGGGTGCATTGACGGCTTTGCGTCATGCGGTTTGCTGTCGCCTTGGCAGCGAGCGGCCCGAGACGGCCCTGCTTGCGCAACACGGCGGTCGCTGGCCTAGAGGGTGCGTCGAGGGCATGTCGTCACCGCCGCAGTGGAACACACGCTGCGGAGCCATCTTGGGTCTCAGCCGTCTTGGGTCTTGAGCCGCTGGGAGCCACGGGACACCACCGACAAAGTGTAGTACAGTAGAGCAGGCTCTGGCTGGGTCCAGCAGGTGTTTCAATGCCGCAGGCCAGGCCCGCCTGGACAGACGTGCCTGTCCGAGCTCTGATACGTTTTGCTTTGTGCGGGTGAGGTTTGAAGCGGCGCTGCGACAATAGCAGCGCCATGTCGGGCAGCGCAGCGTCACGCAACGTCATGCCGCAGGCGAACGGTCAATTGAGAAACGAGCTGGCCATCATGCCGGATATCTGGTAGACACGACGCAGTGGAAGCTGTCGGCGAGGTTTCATGTAGATTGCAGTGCAAGATCTGTCTAGGGTAGCTCGCATGTGAAGGGCGACAGCTGGGAACAACACAATCTGGAATCTAAATCTACAGACATCCATGGATCTCCGGACGCTGCCTCGAGGGACGCTGGTGGTTGACTGTCGCGGTCTGAGCAAGTCACTGGAAGCCGTCTCTCTCGCGGGCACCGCACTGTCAAAGTTCATGGCCCAGCACCCGCCGACGGAGCCGCATGTGCTCCCGCCAAGGCCCGACACCAACGCCCACCTCACGGAATGCAGCCCCACCTTCAGCTTACCACGCAGCTGAACCTCACCTCGCTCCCCCACAACCTCGCAGCGACATCACCGGCCCGCGACCGCATCACGTCCGCCCGGCGCATCGACCCCGACACCGCAGACCACAGACACTGCCCGGCAACTCGCTCCAGCGCGGGCCCATCTGCCCTTGACCCCACGGACAGGCGCCTCCCGCCCCCGCCTCCGCCTCGGCCGACAGCGCCATGGACGGCCAGAAGCAGCAGCCGGCGCAGGCGCAGGCGCCGCAGATCCAGCCCTGCCGGTACAAGGTGGGCAAGACGCTCGGCGCGGGCTCGTACTCGGTGGTCAAGGAGTGCGTGCACATCGACACGGGGCGCTACTACGCCGCCAAGGTCATCAACAAGCGCCTCATGGCCGGGCGCGAGCACATGGTGGGTGGGACCCGGATGCAGATGCAGGCGCAGGATGGACGGACGCAGATGCAGACAGAAACGCAGACGTAGACGGGAAAAAGGCGCTGACCACAGACGCAGGTGCGCAACGAAATCGCCGTGCTCAAAAAAGTCTCCATGGGCCACCAAAACATCCTCACCCTCGTCGACTACTTCGAGACCATGAACAACCTCTACCTCGTCACCGACCTGGCCCTCGGCGGCGAGCTCTTCGACCGCATCTGCCGCAAGGGGTCCTACTACGAGTCCGACGCCGCCGACCTGATCCGCGCGACCCTCTCGGCCGTCGCCTACCTGCACGACCACGGCATCGTCCACCGCGACCTCAAGCCCGAGAACCTGCTGTTCCGCACCCCCGAGGACAACGCCGACCTGCTCATCGCCGACTTTGGCCTCTCGCGCATCATGGACGAGGAGCGCTTCCACGTCCTCACCACCACCTGCGGCACCCCCGGCTACATGGCCCCCGAGATCTTCAAGAAGACGGGCCACGGCAAGCCCGTCGACCTGTGGGCCCTCGGCGTCATCACTTACTTTTTGCTGTGCGGCTACACCCCGTTTGACCGCGACTCCGACTTTGAGGAGATGCAGGCCATCCTCAACGCCGACTACAGCTTTACTCCGGTGGAGTACTGGCGCGGCGTCTCGTCCCACGCCAAGGACTTTATCCGCCGCTGCCTCACCATCGACCACACGCGCCGCATCACGGCACACGAGGCCCTGCAGCACCCGTTTGTCGCCGGCCAGGCGCCCTCCGACGGCGCCGGCGAGAACCTGCTGCCCACCATCAAGAAGAATTTCAACGCCCGCCGCACGCTGCACGCCGCCATCGACACGGTTCGCGCCATCAACAAGCTGCGCGAGGCCCAGCACCTCATGGACGGCGCCCGCTCCGGCGAGCCCTCCCGCGCGGGGCCTCCCCGGTCTGCCGCCGCCGCCCCGGCCCCACGGAGCGACGGCGCCCTCCATTTTGGCAAGGACGACAGCGGCTACGCGACGCAGCCCGACGGCGACGACGTCGTCATGGGCAACACCACCACGGCCGCCGCCTCCGAGGGCGTCCCGGCCGCGCTGCAGCCCGGGAACCAGGGCAACCGCGTGGTCCAGACGAGCAAGGGGCTGTGGAGCGCGCCGGCGAGGTAGCCGAGATGCGCGCGCGGAGGGTGTCGGCCGTGCTGGCTGCGGCCGGGCCTCTGCCGCGGGTGGGAGACGGAGGCAGCGTGCAACGAAAACTGCCTGGCGCTGGGAGGAGGAGGCAGCGTGCAACGAACTGCCTGGCGCTGGGAGGAAGAGGCAGCGTGCGACGAGACTGCCTAGCGCTGGGGAGGACGGACGATGACGCATTTGCATATGCTTGGCAATACCGAATACCTTTTCAACACGATTGTAATGTGCCATGAAATCTATCTTTGTTTTGCCCGCGCGTGCGCTTGTGAATGAATGCTCAGCCGTGTAGTCAATCTGGCGACGCGACTGGTGCATGTCGTGTGCGTGAACAACGTCAAGGCTGTGACCAGCATCAAGGCAACGCTCCCATCAGGCGGAATCAAGTCCTTCCATCGTAGGCCTGTGCCGCTGTTGACATGCCGCCGTTGAGATGGCGCTACCCTGGCATCTGGTCAAGCCAACGGACTGAACCACAACACACCATTGGCAATCCATCGCCAACCCCATCGCCCACCCACATCACACGCAGTCTCACTCTTCAGCCTGTCATTGACTTGTCGTCATTGCTCTACCATCTAGTCTAGCGAGTGGCACTGGATTCCCGCCTGCTCACCCACCTCCGTCATCATTACCCCCCTCGCGGGCGGCAAAAACCCAGCAGTTAAAGATCCCATCCGAGAGCGCCTTTCCCCCCGACCAGGCCGGCTCTAGCGAGCATATCGGTGCATTTCCCATATGCACACATGCACAATGACCCCCTTCCCCGTCCCGTTGTTATACACATTACGTACTCTATCGTTTCCACGCCCACCCCGGGGCCCGGCCAATGCAGTACGTGTCCACGCCCCCCCCTCCCGAAATATCCATTAAGTCGACCGCCGCGACACCCGGGCGGGCCGCGGCCACCTCCCCGGAGGCGTGGCGTCGCATAAATACCACAATGTGCGCCAGTTCGCTGTGCCGATGATGCCAAGATGAATAGGGGTGTTGAAGAATGTAAATACCAAGAAGCTTAATGTCGTCAGGCCGCGGCTCGGCTCGCGGCGGCGTCGGCGGTGTCGGCGTCGGCGGCACGCCCGTGCTACCGCATCACCACCACCTCGCTCAGCTCGACGTCGCGCGGCGCCGCGTTGCCGTCCCACAGCTGGCCGTTGCTCTCCATGTCGACGAGCAGCATGCCCGGCGGGCCCTCCGAGATGGTCGGGCTCACGGTGCCGCTGCTCGAGCTGTAGCTGGAGCTGCTGCCGAGGGTCCAGCCGTCGCTCGAGCTGGCGCGGCGGTGCTCGAGGAGCCCGAGGCTAAAGTACTGCCCGCCCAGCTCCTCGTCGGCGGCGCGGTGGCGGTCGCCCACCTCGACGTAGTCGTAGTCCCACCGCGTCATCTTGTCGGCCTGGCGCCGCGGCAGCCACCGCGCGCGCGCCGTGTAGTAAAAGGCCATGCCGATGAGGCCGCCGCCCACGAGGTCGATGGCGTAGTGGTGGCTCAGGTACATGGTCGCCCACCAGATCCAGCCGGCGTACGCGATGAAGAAGACGCGGAACTGCGGGAAGCAGTGGCTCATGAAGAGCGCCTCGAGCACCGCGTACCCGCCGTGCAGCGACGGGAACGCACCGAACGGCAGCGGCGCCGCCGTGAAGTTGGTCGTGTACAGGTCGATGCCAAAGATTTCGTCGACGCGCGCCAGGCCGGCCGGCGACCCGGGCATGCCGTAGGCGGCGGGGACCAGGCCGTGCTCGTTCTCGTACCACGGCGGCGTGCAGGGGAAGACGAGCTGTATCGTCACGCCGAGGATGCTCATCCAGCCAAACGACCGCGCAAACACGGGCAGCGTCCCGGGCGCGGCGAAAATAAACATTAGCAGGGAGCACACGGCGGGCGCCCCAAAGTGCATGATGCCGTACGGCAGCCACGCCAGGATGTCGAGCACGGCGTGCTTGTGGGCGGAGAGGATGTTGGAGAGGTTGGCGCCGTAGAGGACGTTTTCCAGCGCGGGCAGCACGCGCACCCAGATGTGCGGCCGATAGTCGTAGGGGATGAACCTGGACGGCGTCAGCGAGGAGGATCGCGCGGGCGGATGAGCAGGGATGGCTTACCGGCTACAAAAGAAATACAGCAACCACACCCATATCGTCACCGACGGCAGGAAAAACTGCCGCGTCGCGGGCACGAGCAGCGCCCAGACGCTGGCGACGAGGGCAAAGAACTTGATGGTCGGCGCCGGCGGGGCGATCCACAGCATGAAGAGGGTGAGGCCGGCGACGAAGAGGTACTGCAGGTCCGTCGGCTTGAACTTGTGCTTCTGCAGGTCGCGGATGCCGTCCCAGAAGCTAAACGACGTCTCCAGACTCGTAATGTCGGGCATGCCGTTGCGCGCCGTGTTGGACTTGGCGCGCATGCGCCGGCGGCCGACATGGTAGCGGTTCGGCAGGCGGTTGAGGACGGCGAGGGTGAGGTTCTCGGTCCAGAGCGACGGGAGCACCGGCTTGCCGGGGAGCGAGCCTGGTAGGTCCTTCATCGCGGGGCGTGAGGAGCCACGGTCGACGCCGTGGTTGATGGCCGTACGCTCAGCAGATTGATGTCAGGGGTGGCCAATCTCCGTACGGTGATTGACGAATGGTCGTGTGGTTTTCGTCTCGTCTCGTCGTCGTCGTTGTCGTCGTCGAGGGCGGTCGTCGTCGGGCGACCAAATGATGCCAAAAGAGATACCCAAATGCTACCTCATAATCCAAGCGGACGGCGCAATCGTGCACTGCCTCACGCTGCCTGGGCTGCGGACGGCCGGTCGGAGGGGGGCACGTGTGTATTGGTCGGGTCGGACGTTGTCGCGGACCAAGGCCACACACGCGGATTTGGCCGAGCAGCGAGGCGCTGGGCTGCCTGGGTTGAGGGCGGGCGGAAGGGCGGCGGGAAGGCGGCGACGACGGGAGCGGGTGGAGGAGAGGAGGGAAGAAGGAGGCGTGAGGGAGGAGGAAAGGCGAAAGAAGTGATGCTGTCACAGGATGAGGGAGGAAGGCGGGTAAGATTGGGAGTGAATCGATCCACCAGGGGGGGGGGGAGAGCAGCAGGCCGATGGGTTCCATGATGTGTGTATAAGAGACAGGGGTAAGATTGGGAGTGAATCGATCCACCAGGGGGGGGGGGAGAGCAGCAGGCCGATGGGTTCCATGATGACAGGCCACCCAGGCAGGCGGGCGGGCAGGCAGGCAGGGCAGGGCAGACGCTGCACAGCGGGCTTTGGGGACTTCCCGAGGCGCCCTCACCGCACACGTACGCGGGCGGGACCCTCTGCTGGGCTCTGCTGCGATTGGGGCTTGGCGCTGTCGGCCGCTGGAACCCTCCGCCCGTCAGCGCAATGAAAAAAGCCAACAGCGCCCGCCCCGGCAGGTACCCTCCGTGGGCTCGCTGAACTGGGCCTGGCGCAACGCACCGCTGCGCTACGCTGTCTGCGCTGGCCGCCCGCCGCGCGCGCGCGAGGGGGCAGCAGCCCAGCCCCAGGCGCAACGCCGGATGCTGCGGCTGGGCGGTACCGGTACGGGGGCGGCTTGTACCCGCCGTCAGACTTTGATGGGCGAAAAAATTGCACGAAAAATCGAGCGCCGCTGGGCCTGATTGGGCTTAGGCCAGCCCTGGATAGCGGATCGTGGCTGAAATTGCAGTGGGAGCAGCCGTGGCCCGGTGTGGTTGGCGCGGAGGCGTCGGGGGTTGTGGAAGCCCGGCTGGCCGTCGTCGTGGGCGAGGCCGCTGCGCTGCGGGTGCCGTCGAGGCCGAGGAGGTGGACATGGTCGCCTGATGCGAGGCATCGCAGATGCACCGCGAGCGCATCGCGAGACGAGACATGTTCGCGGCAAGGGAGAAGCAGCCTCGGGCTGGCACGGGTGCGGGCTGGGCGCTGGTTGGGCGAGCTGCGTCATTCAAAGACAGCGCGCCGCCGCAGCCCGGAGGCCTCTGCATCATGGTGGACTGCGCTGCACTGCACGGCACTACGCAGGACGGCCGCATTTGGAGGTCATCAAAGCAAAGTCAATGGCGGTCACTGCGCGTGGCGGCGACGGACGGCGACGGCGACGGCAGCGGCAGCGGCACCGGAAAAGTCTGCCCCCAAAATTGGCGACAATTGCAGAGCCGCCCATCTCAATCTTGCTCGTCGTGCAGCAGCTGCGGGCCCGCGCACGGTCCAATCGACATCCCATGGGTCATGGGCCTTGCCATGGGCGTGATGGCGGCGACGGAGGCTAGCGGATGCCGAGTCGCGACGCCGCGCCCATCCTGCCGTTCCAGGCCGGCGCGGCGGGCTGGCCATGGCTGCGCTGGCTGGACGGACTGGGCGAAAAGAGGGGCGGCGTCGGCAGTCACAGGCGTCACGGGCGTCCGTCACGGCGGCGGCGGGCATGGATGGCAATGGCATGGCATGGCATGGCATGGCAATGACAGAGGCGTGGCCTGGCATGGCATGGTACGGCAAACTTGTGGCATGGCTGCCCGGGGCCATCGCGTCTGCCTCACCGCACATCGGCATCAGTCGACTGATGTGGGCTGCCGGCAGTGACCAGCCCTGCACCACCTCGCGGCGTGCCATTCGCGAGCGAGGGGGCTCGTCACACGATGGCGGGCTGCACGACAGCCATGGCCAGCCTGGCCGACTTCGACAGCGACGAAGAAAGGCGCCGACGATGACGAGGACGAGGGCGACGGGGCCGGCCTTGGGCCCTCGTGGGACCCGTCGTGGCCGTCGTGACCGTCGTGACCGCCGTTCGCGCCGCCGGATGCTGGGGCTCCAAGAGGATCCAAGAGGGACCAAGAGGACCCTTGGGTCCCAGGCTGGCGGCGCGCGCCCTCAACACCAGCTCACAGACCGACTCGGTGGCACGGACGTGTCTCGCACGAGCTCGCCATCCTCGCCCGCGACGCCTGCCAGCGCCAGCCAGCCAAGGGAGACGAGGAATGCGAGCCAGACGCCAAAACCTGGGGAAGCTGAAACGTCTCGACCTCGATGCGGACGCCTCACGGCCAATGACGCCGCCGCGCCCAAAGCCACGAGGCGCTGCGCGGGTGTGCGGTGGACGCGGATGCCATTGGCCGTGGTGGTGAGGGAGCTCTCCGACCGATCCGGTGGTGGTGGTGCCGGGCTCCAGCTCGCAGCAGCAGCTCACAACAGCAGAGGTGCAGCTGCAGACGAGACGAGACGAGACGGCGGAGCGGACTGAATCGTCCATTGACGGACCAACAGCACCGCAGCAACAGCAGCAGCATCGGACGCTGACGGGGCGACGAGGTCCACTGCCTCGGCCGCTCGACCGTGCAGTGGGCAGCTCGGGCGCGTCTGGGTGGGACTCGGTCTCGACGGCACGCTGACGGAGAGCGAGAGCGCCACCCAGGACGGGGCGCTGGGCGGGTATTCTTGGCCATGGAAAAGTCGACGGTCCGGTCACGACGCACCGTTCTGGACGTGTGTGCCTGTCCGTTTGTCTGCTTGCCCACACGCGACGACGCTGCACAATCGGGCCAAAACGCACGAGACTTGTGCGACGTGCAATCTCGCGGGACGGCCAGGCCTAAACCCCGGCGCCGGGACCCTGGTCGCGTCTCACTGGTCGCGTGCGTGAGTGGTCGGCGAAATTGGACGGGACGGAGGCGGGCCAGACGGGGGGAGCTTGAGGAGCAAGCATGGAGACGGCCAGGATGGATGGATGATGGATGGATGCCACGGCGGATCCTGGACCGAACCGTACCGTGTCGAACGGGGGCATGAGGCCGTGAGCCCAGGTCGCAAAGTCCGGCGCGGCAATGTCCGCGAGACCATGGGCAAAGCGACCTCGACTGACCGCCCGATCCGAGGCCCTTTTCACTCGGCAGCCCGACGTCCACCAGACCATCCTGGGCATGCACTGCACAGCACGGCACAGCACACTGCCGCCAGAGTCGCATGAGCGTCATGGGACGCGGGAGGCATGACGACATGCAGCGCCAGACACCTGCCGACTTCGTTGCGGACGGCGGCGCGGCGGGCGGGCGACGGGCCAAGCCAAGCAGCAAACTGACGGGGCGTCGCGGCCGAGGTACAGGTACCTGGCGCCGATGTACCTCGGTCTCGGGTGCCTGCCTGCACGGCGACGACGACGACGACGGGGACGACGACGTGGACGTGGAGGACAAGCGCAGCGCCGGCGCCCAGACGCAGGGCGCTGGATTGAAACCCCCAGCCCATCCCAAACGGTGGGGCGTCGAGCGCCAAGACCCCCGAGCATCCCAGCGCCCAGCAACCGCTGGCCCCGGCGCGACAGAGGAGCCGGAGGCAAAGGGAATTAATCGAGGTGCTCAGGAGGATCACGTCAGCCGCGCCAAACCCGGATTCCCCCCAAGCCCCAGCAGCGCTTGGTGTGTCGACGGCGCCGCCATGGCCCTCCCGACCCAACTGTCTGGTGGTGAGGTGATGAGTGGCCGCTGCGCCCGCCAGGAATAGCATCTGCTCGCTGGGCCAGCCCGAGACCTCCCTCCATCCATCCATCCATGGATCCCTCCACTCCATGCCGGGTGAGCTCACCCAGGGCCTGCCCGACGGCGGCTGTCTGTCCCGCGCCCCATCTTGGCGGACATGCCTTGCCAATCTCCGCCGATTCCGATCGCCCGCGCGCGCACATGTGCTCAGGGTCCTGCGGCGCGCGCGTTTGGCCCCGAATTAGCCAGAATACGCACAATACGCGCGTGAATGGTGGTGCTTGCATGCGTGCTTTTGCACGAACGTGGTGCGACTGCCAGTTTCCGCGGAGTTTGGCACGGCCAGCCAGCCATGCAGCGTTGGGCTCGGCTTTCCCCAGACTGCGACGTCGTCACTCGGAGCGGACGTCACCTCGCTCGCTCGCGCAGTCTTGGCGGCCACGATGCGATGCGTCCGTCGCCCGTTCACACCGTCCATCCTGGCGTCCTGGCGTCCTGGCAGTGCAGACCCCCGCCTTTGGAATCGCCTCCGCGCGTCGACCTCCCGCTGAGCCTCGCCGGCGTGTCGTCGCCGCACGTAAGCTCGCTGACGCCGCGCCACGCGATCTGCCTCGCTGCGGATGCGTTGCGGATGCGAGATGGCCAAGCGGCCCAAGCCACAGCGCTCCGTCATGCTCCATTCTGCCGTGATTTGCGAGCTGCGACGACACCTGGCGCGCATGGCGACCGGGTTCTGGGTCTGAGGTGTCGTCGCCGCGCCGCCACGAAACGGCATGCCTGCTCGCTGGGGCCTGCGACGGCCATGAAACGAAACCGTCTGGCCAGGGCAGCGCTAGCAAACGAAACAGCACGGGTGATGCAGTGCGCCGGCACACGTAGATGTCATCTGCTCAATTGCTGCCTACTCTACATCTATGCAAGCTCTCAAGCTCACCGAGAACCCCACCGCGTCGTGCGGATGCTACGGGCCATCCCGGCTCACCGAGATGCTGCTCTGCCCCTGCTCACCGAGTGTGCCTCGATCCGATTATTCCCCAGCTGCGTCATCAGCCAAGCTGCCTCGATCCGGGGCCCCGTGCGTGATCAGCTCTCCAGTCAACCTCTGCCTGACCTCCAGCTCACCGAGCATGCCGCCCAAACATCTAGCTCGTCATCAGCGAGGTCACCATTCCGGGTATCCCCGCTGACCCAGCTCGGAATCCTTCCCAAGCCTCAGGCTGCGTCTCCAGCTCGCCAAGCATCAGAGTTGCTCCTCCAGCGCCTCGAGGTCATCCCCTAGGCTCCAACTCATCGGCCGAGTTTGCCTCTCCAATGTCCTTCCGATGTCCTTTGCTGAGCGTCTGCTCACCGAGCATCCGCAAGCCTCCCATGTACCCCGTAGCGCAGCCTCCTTTCGCGGCGAACCAGCCTCGAATTCAGTGTTTTAAATAAATCCCCAACGCCGTGCCAGATGTAAATTCGCGGCCGCTCGACGCACCGCCGTGCTACTTGTTCTGGCGGTAGAAACCCATATGCGGCAGCTACGTTCGTGCTCCCAAACCCGGCCGGCGCGCCCTCTAGGCAATCTGCGGCGGCGGGACGGGCGTCACCTTCTTGTCCTTCTTGGACGGCTGGGGCTGCGCGCTCGGCGGCGGGCTCTGCTGCGTCTTCTCCTTGCGCTTGCGGCCGCGCTTGGCGCCCTTGTCCGCGCCGGATGGCGTGGAGGTCGGGTGCGGGACCGGGACGGGCGAGACCTTGGGGACGGAGCTGGGGATCGGGGGGATCGGCACGGCCGTCTGGCGAGGGGCCGACACGGGGGTCGCCTTCATCGGGGGCAGGGATTGCGAGCTTGAGGGGGCCGCGGCCTCGGCCTTGGGCTTCCTGCCCCTCTTGGCCTTGGGCGGCGTCGAGGCTGCGGCCGGCTCTCCGAGGCTCGCAAACGAAAAGCCCTGGCTGGGCACGGCGGGCGGCGCGACGGGCGTCTGCTTCCTGGCGTCGGATCCGAGGTCGGGGCTGGGGCCGCGGGTCGTCTTCTGCTTCTTGGTCTTGGTCTCGGCCGTCTGGCTCTCCGCCCGCAGCTGCTCCGCCGCGGCCGCCGCCTCGTCCTCGGACGACGCGTGCTTGCGCTTGCCCTTGCGCGGCGTGTCCGCGTCCTTTTCCTTGCGCTTCTTTTCTTTCTTGACCTTGTCGGGCGTCGCACCTGCAGCGGGCGCGTCGGCCATCTCCTCATCGGCGTCCTCGTCTGGCGCACCGATCCTACCCATCGCAGACGTCACGCCGAGCGGCTGGAAGCGGGCCTTGAGGCCCTTGGGCTGAGGCCTGGCCGCGCGCTGCGCCGAGGGGCCGACGGAGCCGCCGCCCAGGT